TCAACCGTTGGATGAAGTTGTCCATAATGTAGAAAGGTGGAAACTTGCTGGGATCCGATGCTTCCTTGAGCTTAGTGAACAGGTCCCTCGTGTGCTGGATGAGATGGAGGTCGCTGGCAGCGGACGGGTGGTTAGGTTCGGCGACAAGCTTCCAACCGAGAGAGACGACAGCGGAGAGGATGAACTGCGCATAGATCCTAGACACAGGGTACAAGTCAATACGACGATTGGAGCAACGAGAACAGAACCATACCAGAAGGTTTGTGGAATAATGAGATGGCGTAATCGACTAAGGTAGAGCAGGATCGAGCGCGCAGCCTGATAACACAGCTCCCGACTCGAAGACAGGGGCGAGATATCGTCCAGCGAGGGGTACCCTCCGCCAGCGACGCGACACGCGCCATGGATCTTGGCGAGACAATAGTAGTATTCCAGATGCATGTTGATCCCCCGCAGACTGAGGTCGAGAACCAAAGAGTCTGGGATGCTTCCCGGGGACAAGTTCTCCGGGCGGCAGTCGGCGGGAAATTGCGCTCTCAAACTACTGAGCTCCTCGTCCAGTTCGCGGACATACTGCACTCGGACTGCAGCGGGCTGCGCCAGACCATAGTCCGAATACAGCAGACGGTAGATCTTGGACTTGATAACGCACATGCGAAGGCCGGACGGATAGAGTAGCTCGTCGTTCGACAAGGGGCCCAGGCGGAACTGGTTGTCGGACGAAGCCATGACATATTTCTCCGGCAGGTCGAGGTCACAGTCGGTATCATGCAGTAAGGGTGAATGTGAATTCCGGATCGACATTTCTCTATCCACCGAGTAGCAGAGCCAGAAGAGAGCCCGAAGATGCCGGCTGTGATGGTCATCGACCCAAGAACCGGGGTGCGCAGGAGCGAAATTGCCACCGAGATTGGTGAGGAGTCGAATGGCCATGGCCAAGATCAATTCGGCCGATTGCGGTGCACCGAGGGGTGCCAAGTACAATACCTGGGGAGGTCAGAAAGCGCATTGAGAAACGTCTGAGGACACCAGCTACTCACCACCAGGATCAGAGCCTGTAGGGTCCAGAGATCATCATCACCGGACATAACCAGCTCCGGCAACTGCGCGAGCACAGACTGCAGGAGGGCTTCGGAGTCGACTTCACCGAAACCGGGCTCATTATCGCGCAAGCGGGTGACCAGGGCTGTCAAGGCCACCAAACAGGCCTGGACACTTTTGGGGAGCTGAGCCAGATCTGGGGAGGATGAAAAGAGATCAGAGTTCCGGAGCGACACCAAGGTAACCGGGTCGATCACGGGAAAGACCGAGTAGAGGCTGTTGGTCAGAAAGTAGTCGATAACGCTGCGAATCAACGCGGGCGAGGGTCGCTGGGGGTGAATGGTCCTGGAGGTATGGTGGGGAAACTCCAACCTAAACGAAGAGGTCACATCCTGAGCAAAGCGATCCAGGTCGACGAGAGAAGGCATGCGATGCTGGTCGGTGGGGAAGAGGAATGGGGTGGATTTAGGGCCGAAGCCACAGCAATTGAGAGTCCGCAGGAATGCGGTTAGAGCCGCGTCAAAGCCGTGCAAATCCGCCAATCCCCCTGGAAGAACAAAAGAATTGGGTGCTTTATTCTTTGCATTATGGTTTTTGGCTCGCTCCACTCTCAGTGCTTCTTCCAACTCCTGCACTTGGACTTTGCACTCGGCTAGTTGTCTGTTGCGAGCTCACAATAACCGTCAACTTAACCTGTCACCAGTACTAGGTAACTACCGCACAGCACAGGTAGGTAGGGACAGAACTTACTCTCGGACTGTCTTGCGAGGCACGTCCGGTGGCGGTGTAAAGACGCAAGGCACTCCGGCATACTGGCATGTCTCACATGCAGGTTTGACTCCGTCACAGCGGATCTAATCTGTCATGTAAGTACTTCGTACGCTGCTATGCATGGATCGGAAGGTCGGAGATCGGAAGGCTTACCCTCCGAGACCTGCACAGATCACAAGCAGTGCGCGCCCGGCCTGCCCGAGGAGCAATGGCTGAGTCGGACATGAATAGACAAGAGGACTGACGGGCCGGACGTGGAGTTGGGTGAGTTATCTTTCTACTTTGTCTATATGACTGACTCTATGGAAGGCACGCCGCACGCGCTTGAAAGTGCAGTGGCTGTTGCCTGCTCAAAATTCAGGGACTCCCGGCCCCGGAATTAATCCGGGGGAAGTGACGTAAGCTATGGGAATTGTCGAGGACTGAGTCGAGATTAGGAAGTTAGGACATTAGGAAATTTTCTGCTCAAACCGATGCCTGAGGCGCTCAGTGGATCTGTCCCTGACGCCCTGCCCGGGTCCCGGGTCCCTGAATCACTGAATGATGATGTTACCTAGTAGGTCGACTACTCCGTAGCAATTTTGGGGTCTCCCCGCCATGTGAAATCTCTGCCCGCCAATTGGTTCCGAGGCTTGGAGAAGGAAATCGTAGATCCCGCTGACTCAGCCTTCTATACAACTACCAGTACCTAGTAGCCTTGAAGGTATACCTTGAAACTGTCCACGGTGTTTAGGCTATTCGTCCGTCTGTTCTCATCCAACCGAATTCCTCTGACACAAGAGACTTCGTCACGCATGCAGATCGTTTCCGGTGACCTTCTTGGCTCTTTCTTGGCTCAGCTTGGCGACCTCGTTTTGTATGAGGCATACCGTTGATTCATATGCCCGCCCTACCCTAATCCCAGCAGCTCTGCCCAGCAGCTCTCCACTTCGATCCTCTCTAACACATGAAACCGCCAGCAACGCGTGTACTCAATATTTAGTTCCCGAAATCCAGAAGCACGCATACAAGATCTGTTTTACTAAGCGGAAGCAAACACCTTTAGTCCATGGGAGAACGACAGTCACGACAGTGCAGCGGATGGGAATGTGTCGGGGTTGATGCCAGGATATTGATTAAAAACGCAAACACGGGGTTTGCTCCGGTCACTACAATGATCAGGGCATAAGAGAAGATAACCTCGAGAGGGAGGTATAAAAACCCTCGTCTTCCTGCTCCATTTCCTCGTCCATCAACAGCCCGAACTTCCTTCCTCTCCAGTACCACTGCAACCTGCTCATCAAAAGCCTCTTTCTCCTCATCGCCCAACATGGTGCATTTGACCTCGTACCTGGCCACCAGCGTGGCCCTGCTGGCCTCTGTTGGATGGGGTCATCCAGGCCACAACGTCCAGGAGGAAGCCGCTGAACGCGCAGCCTTCCTCAAGCGGGCCCCCGTGCACTCGCGCAGCTTGTCTCACTGTGCATCCAGCCTGAAAGCTCGTGAGGTGGAGGATGCAAATGTTGCTCGTCGTGGCGACGCGCTCGAGCACTTGCGCCGCGAGAGGGGATTGTCCAGTATGTTTCCTCAAATGTGCACCCGATATCTTCATTTCGAGCCTCAACTGACTGCGCAGACAACCAATACCTCAAGGCCCGCGACCTGGACTCCGTCCTAGGCACAGACCACCATTCAAACCTGACCCACGTTGACCCGTCGACCGATCCCCGCATCCTCTTCGCGTCGGGAGGCACCTGCATCGTGCAGCCGGAGGTCACCCAGGGGCCCTACTGTAAGTCTGCCACAACAGGCTCTTGAACCCATCTCCATCGTTCTAATCCTCGCCACCTCCCCTAGATATTGCTGGAGAGCTCATCCGCCGCAACGTGGCCGAGGACCAGGAGGGCGTGCCATTGTTCCTGGACATCCAGCTCATCGACACCAACACCTGCGAGCCGCTGCGGAACATTTACACCGACATCTGGCACTGCAACGCGACCGTGAGCACCCACCCAGTCACTTATGTGGGACGAGCGAGAACTGAACCACTAACCTCTTGTTTGCCCGACAACAGGGAGTCTACTCCGGAGTCGTCGCGAACGGCAACGGCAACCAGAACGACTCGACCAACATCGACACGACCTTCCTGCGCGGCGTGCAGTCCAGCGGACACGACGGCGTCGTGCGCTTCGAGTCCATCTTCCCGGGCCATTATACCGGCCGCGCGATCCATATCCACGGTGCGTGCCTTCCGCCTATCCCTTCCAACTAGATTCTGCATATCTGTATCAACCCTGTGTATGACTGACTCGAACGTGGCAGTCGCAACGCACCCCGCCAACGAAACCAAGATCCTGCCCAACGGCACCATCGCCGGCATCTACGACGGCCACTCCTCCCACGTGGGCCAGATCTACTTCGACCAGGCCCTCATCACCGAGGTCGAGAAGACGGCGCCCTACAGCACCAACACGCAGGATCTGACTCTTAACGAGGACGATATTATCCTGAAGAATGAGGTGGATGACACCGACCCACTCATGGAGTATGTTCTACTTGGGGACAGTGTCTCCGACGGCATCTTTGCGTGGATCTCGATCGGTGTGGACGGCACACGCGATGACTCCCTTTCCCCTGAGGGGTTCTGGACCGAGGACGGGGGCGAGGTGAACGATGATTTCGTGATGAACATGGCTGGCATGGGGGATTTGGGTGACTTCGCTTCTTCGAGTGGTGTTGCCGCGGCTGCTGCTACGTCTGCTTGAGGGCCAGCATGGTGAGAAGTTGGCGAGTATGTGGAGGAGGGTTACTGTTTCGGTTTCCTTTCGTTATACTGCATCTCGGGCGCTCGATTCTGGGGATTCAAGTTTAACTTGAGTACCTCCTAGAACTGTTCTACCTGGACGAAGTCTTTTTATTGCTAAAGATATTATCACTGAATTGGAGCGGAGAATAAACGTCAAATCGAGAGCATTTCTCGCTGATACCACTCTTCGCTAAGTGGTTCATTCTTTTTAATTTCTGGTGTGCATCGTGACTTGTACGTTTCCAAGTGCAATGCTTGCTAATAAGGATAGTTTGGTTGGAAAGAGTAGCATCATACTAGATAGTTGTCTTCTTTGGATAGATCAGTAAACACAATGTCATTGTAAGTACCATGTGCGCCCCTGTTCCAGGTGTGGTAGTATGCAGAAAACATACGGTGTTGGTCATCGGATGGCTCTGACATCAGCAAGGTCATACTCATCCCGCGGATCCCAGTCTTCATCGAAGGACCTTTCCCAGCGCCAAAGCAGTACCTCTTTTGCTTCTGTCTCCATTCGCCCCGCGTCCCAGAAAACGTATCCCCAGCTCCGCAGCTCCCAGGGGATCCACTCCCCATACAGATTGCTGTAAGTGTCGTGCCACATCAGGGTCCACGCTCGAGGAGGAAACTCTCCCTTCGGGTCTGGAACATGATCGCCTCGAAACGGAAAGGCCTCGTGAGCTTGCGATCTCAAGTCCTTTTCGGTGAGGCCGTGCTCGTTCAGGCGGTTCCAGAACCAAATATGGGAAGTCACTTCTTGTGGTCCAATGAAGCCTGATTCCGGCGTCAGCCTTTCCCGCATTATCTCGACCAGCTGCGCATGGTGTTCCTTGTCTTCCATCTCGCGTAGGGCCTTATGCAGCAGCCAGAGTCCCTGTGCAGTGGTTCCTTCGAGGTAAAAACATGTCATCAGATCTGTTTTGTTCCAGCTTGGCGTTAGGAACAATGCGGAAGGTACGTCGCAGTATCGAGGGTTATCACAAAAGCGGGACTTGCCTTTACTCTCCATTTCAAAGTCCATAGGGTCAAGACCCACGCGCGCCTCGTCAAAGATGTCAGGGTATAGATCCTGCACGAAAGTATAAACGCAAAGAATCTCCTCAATTTCCCAAGCGTAGAACGTAGCTTCAAGATGCTGGAGGATGTCCAAGTAACCGGTCATATCGTAGTCGTTGCCCCAGGGACGATCATCAGTTCGGTTTCCGAATAGATGGCAGCAAAGCTGGAATCGATAGAGTGCGCGAATGATACGACTCTCTTCAGTAGGACTGATCTTGGGCTGGCTTGGCGATGTGAGTTGTATCAGTCCAAGCTCTGCCTCTTTCGGAAGGTTCCCGTGCATCCAAGCCGTGAAGCGCGGGACAAGGGGAAGTATGACTGTGTAGTGAAACCGTAAGATGCGTGAGAGTTCATTAAGTGTAGATGCTGTGGTTCTCGGTGGCGGCTCCTGAGATAGCAAACGACCGAGCCTGTACTCTTCGACCATCTCCGCAATATTCTCCTTGGTGCGTGCTTTGGCAGACTTGACCTGTCCAGAACGGTAAACAGCTTGAGCCTCAGGTACCAGGTCTCGTAAAGAATCTGTGATTAAATCCCACAGCACTTTCTTGCCACGTCGCAGTACTCGGTAGTGTATAGGTGAAGCCATTATCAAGGAGCTCAGGTCCTCATAGGATATGAAAGAAAGAATCAGGGTCTGAATCTCGACAGGAAAGGTTTCAATGGAGAGCTGGGACCGCAGAGTCGTGTCTTTCGACAAGGACGTTTCAGAGGTCAGAGGCGGGTGAACGAAAAGGGTCCGTAAAGAAGACGAAGGTGACGGTGAAAAAGTTTCGATTGTACGCAAGCGAGCGACAGCAGGCTCTTCTGGAGAGACGCGTCTGCAGGCCTTGAGCTTGCGTCAGATCTTTTTAATTTTGTTCTTGCTGTCATCAACCCAACGCAGCCATCGAAGAACGTGAGGCTTGGACCCAGCCATGGTGAGGTAGAGAATGGAGAGAGCAACAGATCAGAGAATGACCAGAGGATGGATTGAGGGAGGTTGAGAAGAGAATGATAAGGAAAAAGCATGCGGGGACAGAGAAGAGCGAGAGCAAAAGAAGAATCAGAGAAGATGGGTGAGAGAACAGGAGTGAGACACGAGCAACTTGCAAGTGAATGAAGGGAAGAGGAAAGAGGGAAGGACTGGCAGGAAGAACTCTAATCCGAGGGGTGCGTGTGTGCTACTGTACTAAGTATACCATCGCCCTGGACGGCTGCGCATAGTGAATAGAGCCAGAAAGTTGCAGAGCTATAGTGTTGCCTATAATCAGGTCTGTATGCAGACTTACCATTGTAAGCATGTTCGTCTCAACCAACTTTACCCATATCTTACAACCCTGATACTATTTCATTGCATAACTGTATCTATCGCAACTGAGTGCCGCAATACACGTCCTAATCATGTCTAATGAGCTGACTGAAGACAATGCCTTCGAGTGGACAGTCAAGAGACTCGCTCCTATCGACGATATTGTGAAACAGTTTGAACACGATATCCACAAAGGGAGATTGGTGGTTGAGTCTTTGAAGGAATGGGTGGCCGGCTTGGACCCGGACTCCTATATACGCTTTGAGCCTCCGCCGGAGCTCCAGGCTGAGTATGACGAGTACAAGGATGCGTGTCATGAGTTCGCGGACAAGAAGGCAGTGTACATGCGCCTCCTAGAGAAACCTCGCAAAAACGCGCACCCAGAGGATCACCTGGACAGGGCAAGAGCGGCGGTAGAGTGGGCCGATGCCGCTATCAGGTATTTTATGTCTTCGTGGCCTTCATATTTTGTGGTTTCTCACTGACCGATTCTTCTCCTCGCTGGAACAGGGCCGCAAAGGGGCGGCTCCACGTATTAGCCACCTACCAGAGCGTTTACCACACCCTTCGATCAATCAATGGGCATATTCAACAGGCGGACGAGGCAATTACCAGCGGGAGCAACGCAGTCAGGGCAGTTAAGGGGCAGCTCAAATGTGAGTTCATCCGACACCCGGCGTAGTATGGCATTCACGCCTGATTTCAAGCAATTGCTCACTCTTATTTTCATAGACATTTGCTTGAGACACAAGCGTTTCTTCGATAAAGACGTGTTCAAATAAGCGGTCGAAGCCTCCCTCGTTGCCCGTAGTCGATCACCTCGACTTCGTACACATACATATCGCATACAGGAGGATAGTCGCCAAGGAGAAACGTTGGTATAGGGTTTGGTAAAAATTGGAAGCGTGGTATCGGATGCTTGATACAAGCTTAAGTGATCTTATCTTACCCCATTCGCTGCACAATTTGAAGGTAAACCCACTGCCTCTTTCATCATCAATCCGTATCTCGCTCATCTGTGACTTCACTGACAAGGTCAATTGACAGTGTAGGTAAAGTAGGGCCTCATTGAGCTCTTGGTCAGAGGAAAAAGAGGCTAAGTATGATAGAATCTGGAATCTCCGCAAAGGAAGTCATTTGGAAAGGCTGAGGTATCATGCAAATTTCAAAGAGAGACTACGCTTAGGAGTAATCGACTGGCTGAAATGAAGAATTAGTATCCAAAGAAATCATCGTAAACCTACAAGTCCCAATCTGAGCGATGCTGCCCACAGAACGGACAAAAGTATAGCGCACCAGGGGTGAGATCAGCCCGCCAGCGTCTCTCACAGGTCGGGCAGAGGTATCCCAGGTCTCTCTCACGGAGGACGATCTGCCGTAATTCCCGAAGGATGCCCCGATATCCGCTGTCCTCGGCACCGGTGAACTTTGCCATGTCCTGTCCGTTGTCAAATTAGCAATACTTCTCAAGTGAGAGGATTAAGACGGTGAAGTGACGAAAGTTGTAAGCATACCATATGGTTAGCGGAGATGGGAAAGTTGGCCTCACCGTCGATGGTGGCCGATTCCTCAGAGACCACGCACGACTTGAACGTCGGGATCGTTTCATAGAAGCATACAATCCGGACGCGGGCCCCTTCTTCTTTGCGTCTCTCTAGTAAGTTGTGGAAGGACCGTCGCATCTCCAGTAGCTCCCTCGAGCGCGGTTCTAGAAGCCCCAGGATCTGGCTGTTGACAGGTTTGACAATGTTCAACACCCGAGCCAGACGTTCACCCCATGTAGCGAGTGAAGCTCCCCGATGTGGGGTCCCGAGGAATAATAACCCGATGGTATAGGTCTCGAGGCAGCGGAGGTGCCAGTCGGAGTTGCGGCTCTCGCGGGCCATGGTCAAGGCTTTTTGAACGACTAAGCCTCCTAGGCTGTGAGCGATGAAGACCAGGGGACGGGTTCGCTTTTGGCTCCTCGCAATTAGCGAGCTGCTTTGTCATGGGAACGTGCATTGGATGGGAAGAGGGACCAATCCGGCCGATGTGAGCGTTACGTACCAAGGCAAGGGTGGCTCTGCGATCGGACAGACTGCCTAGAAGATCGGTCGCGTACCCGGTAATCCATTCCTGAGAGACCTGGTTCCAGGGATGCCACACGTTGACGTCGTATCCGAAAGCCATGATGCGTGCCTGAGGGAGGTCCACGCTCAGTAGGTCTTTTGGCCAGTAGGTCTTGCCCTTCTCGTGGTACCAGGTCCGGTGCGAGGAGCCCATCATTCCGTGGACGAAGACGATGTCCGCAAGTGCTTCAAGTGGGTCACTAATAGTGGTGATACCATACGATGATTTTGGTGGAGTTGAAATATTCACTCTGGGTCCAGGCTCCTCAAGCCCAGTTGCTAGAAACGGTCTTGATGCGTCCTGAGCATGACCGGATGACTGCGACTGCTGCAGGGAGCGAGTGGACGAAGCCTGAGCAGACATGCCATGTTCGGCTATGGCCAGGGTGGCTGTGGGTGATGTGGCGCTCGAGGTTCGAAACATGGCTGATGACTCTTTGTTATCGATCCTGTTTAAAAGCAAGTGCAGGATCAGCAACGCGTGGTGGCGTTCGACGTTTGTCACTGAGACTCAAGATAAGGCTAAAGCCTTAGGGCTTTGTGCTGGCAATGAGAGCAGCGTGCCTAGCTTCGCCGGTCAGCATTGCCAATCATAGCTTTCAACAAACATCCTCGCCAGCGAGGACCACTACGCTCAGTGCTACATGGGACATATTGACAGTGCTTCGGGACGACACTCTCTTGCATAGTTGGCAAGAAAGGGTCCGGTCTCATACAGGATTGTATGGACATCTCCGAGATAAATATATGGTCCGAAAATCCATGTCTAAGCCGTGACTGCGGATGCTAGTTTGCAAAGGCAAAAAGATCCCCAATCCAAGGTTCCGGTGGCATATCCTTTGTGGGCATCCTCTGGGAGACAAATCAAAATGTGGAATCCAAGATAGTCCACCCTGTGGCTAGGGTAATGATTTGAAGTGTTCATATGTGGTCTGGTAGTATAGGTCTGATCATAGACTCCTAGCATGCATGAGGCTATGCTGGCATCCGGGTCTCACACTGGTTTGTATGGCTCCTCTGTGGCCTCGTGGGTCGATCATGAAAGTCCTCCGTAGATAGGTAGCATGCAAAAATAAGCAATGCTTGGGTCCAGTCACATTGGGTAGTATAGCTCCTTGCAGGCCTTGTGGATTGATCATAGAAGTCCGCGGTAGATTGATAGCATGCAACATAAAGCAATGCTTGAGTCCAGTCACACAGGCTAGTGTGGCTCCTTGACGGCCATGTGGGTTGATGAGAGAACTTCCCAGTGAAAAGATAGCATGCAACATTAAGCGATGCTTGTGTCCAATATCCAGCTTGTCTTGGGTCGACATCCAATGGGGCGATGTTCCAGACGAGTGCAGGCCACCGTCAGCCGTGAAGAGTGCAGTGCCATCGTCGTGAGTAGTCCGACAAGAGACCGATACAACATATCCACAATCTCGATCGAACCGTGCTTCTCACCAGACAATAGAAATGGGGATATGCAAAGACGAAGCAAAGACGTTGGAGCCGGGGGATGCTTGCCTTGAAAGTAACAGATTCTCCACAACAAAAAAAAGATGAGAAAAGGAAGAAAGCAATAGTTCAAGAACAACTTGCGACGAGATGGTAGAACACATCAAAGTGCAGGAAGGCGAAGGGACGAAAGTGCGAAAAATCTTGAGAAACGTCGAACAGATGTGTCGCCGAGTACGGGGGAACGAAGACATATACTACTTGCTCAGAGGCCTATGCACCAGGCATGACAGACGCTTCTGAGGCGGCCAGTTCTTGCCTGCAGGCCAATAACGGCATCTGGCGGATCTAATCGAGCCCGGGTATTATGCTTTGGGCACAAATTTGCATGGCTGGGAGCAGGTCAACAACGAGGCTGTATACTAGAGGAGTCGGACTGGCCAGCGTTGCTCAGCCTCGCGCGGGGAATCGATTCCTGCGGGATCCGGGGTGTGATAGCTATTCGTAAAGAGAGGTGGAGTTGACTAGTAGAAGGGGTAATGCTATTGGTATTAGGCAGGCAGAGGAACCATATTGTTTCGTATGATGTATATCAAATGTAGTAGTAGTATGTACACAACACCAGAGGGGAAGGGGGAAGTAAGAAAGGATGCAAATGGACGAGAGCCAGAGTGAGGCGGCCATCCATGACGTTTGTTCTGTTTGCACCTCCCAGTGTTTGCCCGGTTTGCATGGTCGCGGGCGGCTGTTGCCGTGTTTGCCTGACTATGTTGCCTTTTTTCTCAGGCCACAGCGGAATCCCGTCCATCTCAAGATATCAGGCTAGCATTCGCAAGAGCAAAGGAGGAACCTTTCGCCCCCTTCATCACTTTTTCTTCACTGAGACTCAAGGGTTATCTCTAGCACTCGATATAGAAAGACTCGTTGGCTCCTTTCTTTGACATGATCCTTACTCGTGAATGATTTCAACTTCACATGGCTAGGAACCTACCACCGCACGATACAATACCTGCAAGTGTTGTTAAAATGGCAATGATTGCATAAAGGCGGGTGTTACTTCATACGAGGTGATTTTATTCTTTGTACTCCGTCAAGCAGTCGAAAAACAAAGATCATACACTGAATTGAGTAAGGAATTAAGAACCCAAGTTATAGCCTCCCGCAACACACCCGCACTCAGTCCCCTCAGTCCAATAACCACCCACCAGGAGCTAAGGCATCAGCAGAAATTAGGCACGACGGGCAAAGTCCCGAGCATGCACGCCACTGGACCGCGAGACCAGAGCACCGAAGATAGCGCGAATATCATCCAGAATCTCAGTGGGGGTGGTGGGAGTAGCCAGCGCCACTGAGGCAGCCGTGGCCGTCGTCGCAGCCTCCACTGCCACCTCTGTGGTCACTGAGGAAGCAACGGCCGAGGCCACAACCGCAGCAGCGGTGGAGACGGAGCTGGTGGCTGCGGATGAGACAACGGCGGGCTCAGCGGTTGCAACTGTTTGAGCAGCAGAGGTAGTGATCGAGGCGGCAGTGCTTGAGGTAGCCTTGGCGGTGGACTGGGGAGCGGAGGAGGTCGAAGAGCTGACAGAGCTAGATGTCTTCGCCGAGCTGGAGCTAGAGCTAGAGTCCGAGCTCGAGCTCGAAGGGCTACCCGACCCAATCTCCTTCGTGATCGGCGACTCCTCGATATAGATGCCAGACCAGAACCAATCCTCCGCCGCATCGTTCGAGGCTCCGCTTCCAGGCAGACGCAGCTCGCCGATGTGCCAGTCGGCCGAGTTGGACGAGGCGGACGCGCTGACAGGCGACACAACCTCAGTCAAGGGGTCGGAGCCGTTGGACGCCCACAGACCCACCGTCTGTGCGTCGAAGTCGATATCATAGGCAAAGTTGTACCAATTGCCGGCCTCCAGCTGCACCGACCAGTGGGTGTTGCCGCCGGCGTTCCAGCGGAGCGTGTTGTCGGAGGACCCCGAGGCGTCCGACGCCAGACCGTACTGCAGCTCGGTGAAGTGGCTCTCGAAGAAGGCGATCTGGTGCTCGAACGAGGCGTCGGGGGCGTTGGTCGTCTTGGTCGACAGGGAGAAGTGGTAGTAGAGGTGGCCGGAGCCGAGGTCGGCCTTGGTCTGGGGGATCAGTTCGGAGCGCTCCATCGTTTGGCCTTCCCAGTAAGAGGTGCCGTCCTAGACGGTGAAATGAGTTAGCCTGCTCAATCCCGATCCCCAGAGGGGGCAGTGGCATACAATGCTGATGCGCAGACCCTGGGCGTCGCTAGTATCGGCAGGGTTCTTGAAGTCCGTGGAGAGACCCAGGTAATCCGACGTGTTGCCAGTGCCATGAATGTACCATTGCCATGGTTCAATCTGGTTGGACCACGACCCTATCTTGTCAGCTCGGGCTCATCGCGGCCGGGGAGAAGGTTAAATTACAATCATCAAAGTCCTCGACGGTAGCTGAAGAGTTGAAAATGCCGCTCCACAGCACGGTTCCAGCCAGCGAGGAAGCAGGGAAAACGAGAAGGGAAACGAAAGACTTCATAGTGAGTGAAGGGCGAAGGAGTGACGAAGAAAAGGAAGAGAATAGAAGTTGTGACCGGCACAGTTGGTTTGGAGAATGTGTTGTGGGCTGAGGAGTCTTTTTATCATCACGGTCCTGGTTGCGGTGGAGAGGATGGAAAGTGGAGCGGGTGTCAGGGTTAGATTGACGGGCGTGTGCTGAAACACCCGCACTCTGGCTCTCCGTTTCACCTTAATCCAAAGGGTCTCAGTCTCGACCCTGACAACTCGACACTGAAATTAAACGCTGCTCTGTCACTGAGACATTGCCTGTTATTGCTGGTCCGTGGTCAATTGTCCTTCCAGTCGCGCTCACTAACACCTCCGCCGAAACAGAAAATTGAGGAACATTTCATGCATTGACCATTACTTGTCTCAAACATATACTGCCGCCAAGCGACCTGATCACTCAGTACATACATAGTCATTAACCACCCCTTACAAAGCCAACACGGCCGCCTTGAGCTTGGCGAAATCAGGAGTTCCCAAACCGGTGGTCGGATCCCAGCCCGCCGTGGCATTCCAGCTGGCCCACGGGATGTAGCCCGCCCCGGCCGAGCTGCCATCACATCCACCTGCCGTACCTGAGGTGATATCATTCAAGCTCTTGTATCCACTGGAATACAGCCAAGGGTTTAAGAAGCCCAGGGACGTCTTGCCCGCGCGCAGACGAGCGTCGTTGAGCAGCGCAATGATGGCAGCAACGACAGGGCTGGCGCCCGAAGTACCGCCGATAAGCTCCAGTTCACCGTTCACATAGGTTTCATAGCTAATTTACCCGTCAGATCTATTTTCGGCATGTCAAAAAGTCATGGAGTGGAGCTTACTATGGCGAACCACCATAGGCGGCAATGTCCGGGAACGCGCGTCCAGTGAAGTTGACATACGGAGTGTAGTACTCCTTAACCGCCGTGGAGATGTGCTTGTCCAGGTAAGTCTCGACCTGGTCAGCTTGGTAGGACGGACGTGCAAAGTAGTTGCTGAAGCCGCCGCTGCTGTCCACCCAGGCGATCTCGGGGATGTCCTGAGTACCACCCACGGCAGTGATGTAGGGGCAGGTGCCAGGGAACTCGGGAGTGAATTGGACGGTGTCGGTTCCGTCGTTCGAGAGACAGGCCTCACCAACGCCTGGAAATTGTTAGCCGGTGATTGGAGCGGCTGAACGCAAGAAACTTACCAGAATCACCAGAGGACTCCAAGACCGAGATACCGCGCAGGCCGATCAGACCGATGAGGTTGCAGACGCGCGTGGCATAGGCATATGGGACAGTCTATAGGGGGTCAGTCAGAGCATTTGCAGCGGGCTCAGCGAACGTACATCCTCATCGTCACCGTAAGAGTTGGTGATAACCTGCGGCAGCTCGTCGTTGGTCTTGTTCAGCAGGTACTCATAGTACTCCACATAGGGCTCGTTGGTGTCCGTGGTTTCCAGTACGTTGGGAATGAATGGACTGCCGTCTCGTTAGCTTTTACTTTTAGACCCGATTCACTGGGGACGACATACGGAGATCCAGCAGTGATGAACTCGACTACAGGCAGGGGATGCGACAGGCCAACGATGTTCTGCACATCCAGGTCGGCTTCACCCCCGTCCTCCTCTTGGTTGTTGACCCCACCGTTGATCAGCTCCACGGTGAAGTTCTGCTGCGGAATGCCGAAGCGCTCGGTGAAGAGGTCGAGGTCCGAGTACAGGGCGGACTCGCCCAAGAAGCTTCCGAAGCCAATGCGACTGCCGGAAGAAGCCTTGGGAGTGTAGTCGATGTTGTACTGCTGCTTCAGCAAGGTGGGGGTGATGTACTGGCTGGCGCTGCTGGACCTTCTGGCCACCTTCACGGCCTGGAAGGCGGCGGCGCGTTCGGCGCGCGTCTTACCGAAGAAGACGGTGGGAGCGATCAGGTCGATCGACCCGCTCAAGCTGTCGGGCACCGAGTACTGGGTGGTACGCACCTTCTGAGTGCCGGCCTTCTCGTAGACAGAGAAGGTGGTGTTGAGCAGCTTGTTGGCTGTCCCGACGGTGGTGGCAAAGCTGATCAATCCGCCCTGGTGGGAGATGTCGGTGACGCCCGCCTCGGTGAGCCAGGAGATGACAGTCGAGTGATCGGCCAGAGGGAACTGGGCATTGACTTCGTCGGCATCGAGGTACTGCCCGTAGGTGCTTTGCCCAGGGGTGGACACGGACAGCAGCTTGGATTCAAGCTGATCCAAGTTCTGACGCGTCAAGGCAACGGAAAGAGTGATGTTCGAGCTGGTGTCGGCTTCCTCGACCAGCGACCAGCTGCTGGGCACGGCCTGGATCTTCTCCAGCACCACATTGCCTAGAGCAGGGGCAGCCACGGCCAACAGGCCGGTAGAGATGCGCGAGAAAGCGACCATGATGAGGGGAGATCCAGCACGGGAAATGAACACTGGGGGGGAAGAGCGAGGAGCAGACAGGAAGCAACGGGGCCGTCGCCTATTATAAGACTTTTTTCTCTAGCGATGAGGCCATCGCGGGTGGATTGATTGCTCCGACGGGGAGCGGTGCAACGCCGGGGATGGCGTGCACAGTAAATGAGGTGTGATGCAGGAACCAACCCACCTCGACTCTCGTTCTGCAGATTCGTCATACTCCTTGCCGAGTGCCAAGCCGGATCTAAGCTTCCTTTCCGCTTGCTTATCAGTGATTGATTATCTTCGCCCACTTGGCTCCCTCGGCTCGGTTCTGTCATCTTTCCTCGGGCATCGCAGACGACTCTTTTTGAGAGACAATCAGGAAGCCTGCTAGATTGCGAGAACGATAGACTTTGTCCGTCCGAATACCTCACCATTCTTTGGGACTCCAATTGAGCAACTGAGACAGCAGCAGGCAGTTATCTTGGCGCGTCGGAGCGAGGCCGGAGTCCGGTGGATCGCGCCATTGCGAGGCGGGGTCTCCAGCTGCTAGTGTGGGATAGCTGCAGGGGAGCTTGCATTGACGCACACTTGGTTCATTTATTTCTCTGCAGGAGATAATGGCCTCAGTCTGCTGGTATTTGACGCCAGGGACTGGCATTCCTCTTTGATGGGATCACCTGATCGAAGTGCAAACATCGCAAACAAACAAGTGCCTGCTGTGAGCGTTCGGATCGCTTCATCCGTTATTCATCAAACCACAGAACTGGGAGCTTATATATTGGCGAAGGATGAATCCGAGGGTCTGTTGTTGGGAGCAGTGTCTTTTATTCTTCAATGGAATAATTGATCAGACTGACGATAGAAGGTTGGGGCATTCTACTATCTTGCTGACGGCTCATAATCAGTTATACCCAATATGTCGATAAATCCAGAGTAAATCTGGCACGTAATTTGGAGAGACCTCTTGGTCGTCTTTACTAGAGAAGATTAGTCTTATAATACTATCAGCATAAATTCAACGATTTTTCCGAAATCTTTAACAGTGTCACCGGTACCTGGGCGCTCTGGCATATCTCTCCACTCGTGCCAGGCTACCCATGCCCGAAGACTAGGCGCTCCTGCATATAATGACACTTCCGCTCGGGACTTCACTCCAGTATCTCTCCATGGTTCCTAACGTATGTCAAACTCAATCACGCGGGTTGGAGAAAGGGACACCCGTAGGTAGTGAGGAATTAACATGAAGGTAGACGTGCAGCGGTTGTTGTTCGTATCGAAGGAATGTTGACCCCTAAATACTCCGCAATGTGTTAAGCCTTGCTAAATATAGATGTCTGATATGGTAGTCACAAACCAAATCACAGGAATCCAGAATCTGCATATATTCCGAGGACGTCCCATAAACACACCAATGATGCACCCAATTCCGGATCATATTCTGTTTCAAACCGTCGGGAATCGCTGCATATATCAGAAAGTCGGGCATTAGCGCATCTGATCTAGGTAAGGGTAAGGAATGAAGATTGCCTCATCCGTTCAATGCGCAAAGCGGGAACCTACTGCCGCAAACTCACCTTCTGCTGCTGTTCAAAGTTCTCCCTCAAGTGTATGGCCCAGTTCGGAGAGGACGCATGGCCCTCTAAGATCGGGAATGAAGGATTCACAGTCCGATCACGAAAAGTGGATGGCCGGCAAGGTCGCTAACCCCGGCCACTGGGTAGCGGGCTACAAATATCCTAAACCAGTTGATCGCTGAGTATCAGCGGTAGGCTTGCCAGGCAACAACGCCGCATCTTACGAGGTTTTTGGAGGTTCGTGGTTAGCCTGAGATTTCAGCTCTTGCCGCAATTCCCCTCGCCAAGTGCACAAAGTGGTCATTCGTTGATCCATTACGTAGTATATTCAGCCGACCGCGATGGCGGGGTGTAGAGTATCATGGGCGGAGAGAGGCAACCTTGCATACATTTGTAGTTTGGGGAGCAGGCGGGATGTGGCGCGTCCCGGGACAGGGTGCAGAACTCGGAGAGTTTCGAGCGGTATATGGAGTATAGTAATTATGGGTTGGCAAGCTTGTAAGGAGGATGAGAAGAACACAATAACTGGGCAGTTCCCGGCGATCAGACAGACTATGGCAAGTGGGGTAAAGTGAGCGGTTAGCCTTGCAGCTCGAGGAAACATCATCTGCGATATGATGTGCACATACTCCGTAGAAGCTGAGCTGAAGAGCTAAATAGAGGGGTCCTGCACAGGCTCTAGCTATGTGACCTATCATAGTGAAATCTGGTGGATAGAGGTGGGGTGAGCTGAAAAAGACCTGCAGATCTCCACCCCGCTAGATCCGGTAGAGAACAACAACTCCCCATCCCCCCTTTGACGATGACATGCCCAAAAACGAATAAATCCTCGGCGCGTCGGATGGCAAATTGGAACCATCATGGATCGACGAACCATCCACGAAGATGTACTCGTACTGGACAATACTATGTAGTAAGCCTGGTGCGGGGGCGTTTGCGTATGCATCGCTAGACGTATCGGGTAAAGATCATTGGTCTGTCAGCTAGCCACAGTGCTCTGCCTTGCTTTTTGTAAAGCATCCACGCTTGTATCAGCTCAAGTATGCTAGTAGGCAAAAATACTTTTGTGACGTCAATAGTGAGGAAATGAGTTTCATACGTGAGGAATGTGATAGATGGTGCGATTCGATTGTGTAGTAGTACACAGCTCTAGCTATCGAGATGGGGCATGTAGCATTAGGGCTGTGATGAGGAAGGTAAGGAGGTGAGATCCGGGATGCTGCAGGAGGGGAACATGATCGGCAAACCTCCACACCAGGCGTGATTCCACTGCAATCTCGAACATAATGACTAGATTCTGCGGATCCTTAGGTCACGATGAGCTGGCTGAAGTGCAGAGACCAACGAGGTGTCAAGTCGGATGCACGTCGAGTCATAGCAGACAAGGATGAACCCGATAGTCAACACGAGGCGAGCAGATCTGTCAAAGATCGGATGGCGATATAAAAGCCCCATCAGATCCAGTCTTCCTTCCGTTGTTCATCTTCTACTCAAGATCAAAGTCTGGATAGGAAAGAAGCTCATCTATCATGGCTGCCGTACCTCCTGCCCCCGCTCATGCTGAGCGCGGCGAAGACCAGATCACCAACCAAAATGTGATCAACAACTATTTCATCGGCCCACGGGCGGCAAATATGCCTGATTTCCGAGCAAACATCAACGCGATTCTGGATGAACTCCTTGAAACCAGGCTCGATTATTACCCCGAGGATAATGTAACTCCGTCCCCTTCCCTTCTGCTGTGTCGGCCCGACTAATCCCTGAAAGAATCAGAAATTTATCACCAAGGACGTCCGACGATCGGCGGAGTTCCGCAAAGTCAGGGACAACTTCGGGGATGTCGTTCGAAAAGTTGCCCAGCTCCTGGGAGAGCACTCGGTGCCTTTCTGGTCTCCCCGTTATGAAGCTCACATGTGCACTGACTTGACCATGCCTTCCTTGCTGGGATACTTCATGACGATGTTGTACAATCCCAACAACGTCGCTCTCGAAGCCAGTCCCATGACCACGGTCGCGGAACTGTTGGTTGGGCAGCAGCTTGGCGAGTTGTTCGGATACCGAACCCCCCTCTCTGTTGATCGCAATGAAGACAGACAGAATGAGCCAATGTCGTGGGGCCATATTACCTGCGATGGCACCGTCGCCAATCTGGAATCCATTTGGGTTGGTATGTGCTGTGTACCCTTTCTCAATTCTTCAGAACCAAGCACTGAGACATGACCAGCGCGAAACCTGAAGTTCTACCCTTTGGCCCTTCATCAAGCCATCACAAAGGGAAAGCTCAAGTTCATCTCGAATAAATTCATGGTGGAAACCTGCAAGGACGGATATAAGAAATTTGTCAATTTGCAAACCTGGGATCTTCTCAATCTAAAGCCCAAGACTGTCCTTGATCTGCCGGACCAGCTGTACGAACAGTTTGGCATTTCCAGTGACTTCCTCAAGGATGCATTGGACCCGTATAACATCCAGTCAGCTGGTCTAATGCACGAGGAGGCCGACGAGATCCACCAGTTCTATAGGAGTCTCAAGGCGATGAAATTTATTGTGTCAAAGACTAACCATTACTCCTGGCCAAAGGGTCTTGGTATGTAACTTTTTCGATCTGCCAACATGTCCGGCACCGAAGAGAGCGCACAGCTAACGTGTCTAGCAATTGCCGGGCTGGGTTCCAGCAATCTTTTGGAGATCGAGGTCGACGACGATGCTCACATTGACCTTGCGCAATTGAGGGCTACACTGAACGAGTGCCTTGAAAACAAAATTCCTGTGTATGCGGTTGTGGCCGTGATTGGGTCCACCGAAGAAGGTGCAGTCGACCGGCTTTCCGAGATTGTGAAAATTCGAGAGATGCAGAAGAAAGGTCTTTCTTTCCTTGTTCATGCTGATGCTGCCTGGGGAGGTTACTTTGCCACCATGCTGCACCGAGGGCTCAGGGGTCCTGAAAGAGGCGGTGCCGACAGAGGTGCTGTGCCAGCACTGACTCTGCGAAAGGAGACGGAAACTGATCTGTTGGCTCTTCGGCATGCGGACTCAATCACCGTGGATCCTCATAAGGCTGGTTACATCCCATACCCGGCCGGTAGCCTGGTGTACAGAGACGGTCGGATGCGGTACCTGGTGACTTGGTCCAGTCCCTACCTGTCGCAGGGATCGTCGGAGAACATCGGGGTTTATGGAGTTGAGGGAAGTAAGCCCGGAGCTGCCGCCATGTCAACTTGGCTTTCGAATCAGACAATTGGTCTGGATCCCGACGGATACGGAAAGCTGCTTGGTCAAGCATCTTTCACCAGTTCGAGGGTAGGTCACTCGTGAAGTAATATAATTGATTCTCTGTGCTGACACTCTGACAGCTGTCTGTGCGGTATGCGGTCCACAGTGATTTCCGCGAAGGGAACAGAAAGGACTTCATCTGCGTTCCTTTTAACAAATTGCCCAAAGAGAAGGAGGGATACGCCTTCAATTCTCAAAAGGTTGAAGATTGCCGGGATATAATCAGAACGCGCATCCTGGGACAGCAGAACGAGGCCCTCCTGCAGGACCCTGTCGCAATGAATCTGCTCCGTCAATTAGGCTCTGACACCAACATTAACGCCTTTGCCCTCAACTTCTATGTCGACGAAGAGAGGACAACCCTGAACACCGACATTGAGGAAGCCAATTACCTGATGAAGAGGGTCGTTGACCGGCTGTCCATCACGGGCGTGGACACCGACCCAACCAAGATCCCCGTCTACTTGACCTCGACCAAGTTCGAGCCCAAGCACTATGGCGCGTGCGCAAAGATCTTCATGAGCAGACTGGGGCTCAATGCGGTCGATGCAGACCTGTTCGTCCTGCGCAACGTGGTCATGAGCCCATTCCCCACCAAGCACTACTTTATCGGCAAGCTCTGGGACGAATTCGAGAAGGTCGTCAATGAAGAAGTCAAAGGAGTCCGGACACGCAATGATCCAACGGCACACAAGGCCCAATTCCTCCTGCAAGGAATGGAGGAGACCGGAAAGACCTTCCTGGTCTTGCAAACCTCGTTCCACACTGCGACTCTCCGGCAGCAGCTCATTGTCCGCGCAGCACTCAGCCCCGACCTCGAAGAAACGTATCGTGCCTACAAGAGCCAAAATCCGGAAGCTTCTCTTCTCTTAGTCACGCAAGACAAAATCAATCTTCAGCAAGGCATCCAAGACCTTCCCAACGCGGCTTTGACGTTCACCGCAGCGATCTACAACAAGGCCGAATATCTTCGCACCCACGAGAACCCCGAGATGTAAGTTTCTTCCCTATGCCTCTTGGCCTCTGAATGACCACTAATACCATCTGCCAGTACTGTGGACTCCTTGGCCCAGGGAGAGGTGACCATCGCAGAGAACGACATCATCAAGAGCCGGCCGTTGAACGTGGTGAACCGAGACCCGAAATACCCGGACACCAACACTCCGTTCTACCTCTACGGTACGCCCGAGCACATGCACATCTCCCACGTGCTGGTTCGAGCGCCGAACATCGCCCTCTCCGCCGCCGACGTCTCTCTGTCCGCCGATAACGGGGTGGAAGATAGCATCAGCGCCGACGACCTCGCCAACGGATTGATCCTCGCCTTGGCCGACCACCCGGAAGTCGCCATGCAGCCCGTGTCCGGAAAGGTGTCCGCAACAGCAGCTTCGCCCGACGACTTCTTTTTCCGTCGTGGCAGACAGTTCAAGGTTCACGTCTGGAGGGACCCCAAGGCCAGCGACGCTCAAGGCCCCGGACTGTTGAACGATCTGGGTGAACCCTTCTGGACGGGAACATTGACTCTGGGCGAGGACCTGGACTATGACTCCGACTGGCCCAACAAGGACCCGGCGGCTATTGCGAGGGTGAATTCGGCTCACTGGCGCGAGGAGCTGCTGAAGATCGGCAACGTCCTGAATGCCAAATACAGGGATCCGGCGGAATAGCCTGCGATGCAGGAGGTTATCATCTGTGCTGCTGATCTTACTGGTTCTTTGAGTTGAGAACATGACGATCATCTGGGGTTCTTGACTATCACAACTAATCCTTTCATATATATAGGTCCTTTTCAACTCACTAAATCAACTCTATTCTCTCTTGTGTTTGCTTTGTCTCGATAAGCTTATCTCAAAAGCGGTTTGAGTGTTGCGCCGCGCTACAAGAAGAAACAGCAAGGTCAATCTTCGACCACAACATGAGAGATGCATGACTACATACCACGTGAACGGGTCTTTCAAATATCGACATTATCAAAGTCTTTGCAGATGATAGGAGGACTCAGGGCTAGGTTATATCGAACGAGTTTTTGAATTCATTGTGGTTGAACTATCTGAGTTCTCAAGGTGGGCAGCTCGCTTGCTGAATCGCCTTGGATCACGTGGCTGGGTTACTCAGGAACGCCGACAGCTTCAACTTTCTCCAACATCATATCTTAGATGACCGTAGTTCACAAGCTCTGATGCCATTGTCTCACGTTCAGCATGGCGTAAGTGATGATAATTCTTCTGGGGACGGAGAACCCCAACGGCCAAACAATCTACAAGGAATTCGCATCCCGCTCTACGACAACCGTAAAAGAAAAAAGCACTCATACAATTATCAACGTTAAGCTCCATGTTTATATCACCTACCAGCTACGAGGATAAGTATAGCTCAGATACACTGAAGTGCCAGGAAGCTTGCCACACTCCCCTCCGGCTGCGTGCAGGACTCCCACACCAGCCGCCTATCCACCCCTTGCACCAGCGCGACGATATCATTCTTGGTCCGCTCGTGACCCCCGAACAGCGCCAGCATCCGGCAGTCCATGTACCGCACGATCGCTTCTACCTGTCCAGAGGACGATCCCAATTCCGGGACGACGATGTCCGCAATGACCACCCACACGCCGGGCCGCAGAGCGAGCGATAGATTTGCGATAGATTTGCGATGATACGACAGACGTCCTCATCCGACCAGTTGTGCAGGATGAACCGTAAAAGGAAGCAGTCCGCCGTCGCAACTGGCTGGGGCTCGAAGAAGCTGTGGGCGAGGTACTCGATCTTGTCCGCGTAGGTCGGGGGCAGCGTCTCTCGGCCCCCGCTGATTACGTCGGGCAGGTCTTCGACAATGCAGTGGAGGTGGGGGTGTGCTTCTGCGAGGGCCATGCTCACGTGGCCTGAGGAGCCGCCAATCTGAGGATCGTCATTAGCGTATTTAGATCTAAGAGCCGGAGATGACTTCACTTCTTACATCAACCACGGTCTGTATACTCGACCAGTTAAATCCCCGCACGGTGTGCAGGGATGAGTAGTATACACTCCGCGTCGTCGCCTTCACATAGTCCTGAAACCCCAGCTCCAGCTTCAGGTACAATCAATAATAGTCCCAGATATTAGTGATTTGCTTCTCCCGGAAAGCATAGGCCACACTGGCGGCGCAGCGCGTGTTGTCGCTAGCAGTAGGATCAACCTTAAGCCCTTCGTAGATCTTACTGGCAACAGGGAAGATAATATTCAGGTTCCACATGCAGCTGCGCGTGGCAACAGGATCATACACACAGAGCACCAACAGCGGGGTATGACCGAACATCTCAGGCTCAACCTCCTGCAGAAAGCCGTAGCTTACCGTATATCAAATTAGACGGCGGAGGGGGTCCCTTCCAAGACCAGAGAGGAGTTCAAGGACGATCGCAGCCAGTGGCTCGTAAAGAGGGATCAGTTAAGAAATACCGAAGTTCATCAGTACACAGATCACGCCGACCTGGAAAACCTGTCGAATGTAGTGCGTTAGCGTCTGAGAGTTCTGACAGGTGTTTCTTGATGATAATCTCTGTAGCTACCTCGGACATCATATCATAAAACAGATCATAGGGCCCAGTCACCAGACGGATCAGCCGCTTCGATGCGTCGATGACAGCCAGACGCGCCTTAGAGGTCTCTTCGTCCATCCGACATAGATCAGCTAGGCAGCTTCCCAGCAAACTGTTAGTTTCACAACACACTTGCTGCTTCAGAATCTCTCCATTCTCCGCGATTGAGTCGACAAGTTCCTCAAAAATTCTGCGGGTCATTGTCAAATCACATCTCCAGGCAGAAGCTGTAGAACGGGGATACCTCAATACAGAAGAGCATCTCGCTACTCCTATTACCTTACATTCCACCTATATAGACGCAGAAGAGCTACATATGTGACTGTTGGGAAGATTCAGTAATAAATCACAACTAAAGTAACAAGTCAAAGTCGCATAAGCCACCCGCATTATCAACCTGTCCAGCCGGCCAAAATGCCGGCCAATAGCTCATCCCACCGCAAGCCTAACTCCGGTTCCCTTTAGAAATCTTAATAACCAAGCAAGGAGGTTAAAATAGATAAAAAAAGGAGTTAATTTACTTCAATGTCAAGGTACAGTAGATCAAAATCTCAATTTAAGGCTTGGAGAACGGGGGGAACAGGGAGGACATCAAGTTTAGGTGTTCCTAGGGGATCAAAAATCAGCAATAAGTCTTCAAGCAAGTAAAATAAGGTGCCATACCTTGGTTGCAAGCTTAGGGAACCCACGCTGCAAGAATACACAAATATCCTTTAGTATTGAGTCTGGTTATTTTGTGACTTTTACAACCATACTCACATACTATCCCAAATGGGGAAACAGAAATATATCGCAACCAGGAAGCGGCTGCCAAAGACAATGCTTAAGACTCAAGTCAAGACTTGACACACGTGCATGCATACTGCAAAGAGGCAGGAGGGCGAAGCGGTGGTGCAAGATGTTTGTGTGGTTGAGGAAAGTGATGAGAAAGTGAAGTGGATGGAAGGCGTGACGAGTCACGTGGCAGTCTGCCTCAGACTATTCAACCATCACCAAGCAACAACTCCACCTAGCAAATGAGTCCATTCATGGACGAGGAAATGGTGAAAGCACCACCATCGTCGAGATCAGTGTTACTGCGACCAGGTGCTGCAGACTTAGATTGGTAAGCAAGCCCCGCCCCACCACGCATGGTACGGTATGGTAACCTGCAGTAAGCTTAGGTATGGATTGCTCATGCTCAAACAGAAGGCAGCCTATATGGGCAGTGATCGACTGAAAATACCCTCGGGAGTCGGTTTACGTGCCGATGCTGGGATTGATCAGTAATCAAATTTGTCATCCTGCGTCTCTAGCCACGGTTGACTGGACTTGTGCAGCAAATGGGGGTGTCTTCACCCGAGCCCACCTTCTGAACCCTTCTTCCTTACGTGTTTCCAGCCTGAATGCATTGAACGGCCTTACTATAGAGTAATCTCTCTTTCTTTGGGTTAGAATGAACTGGACCGAGAAGCCACTTCGAGCCCTCACTCGTCCGCCAGGCCCAAACCCAGGCCCCGACCCAGAAGGCAGCGAGCTGCCACCCCCTCCGGACGGAGGACTCCAGGCATGGACGCAAGTCCTCTGTATGCACTTTGTCTTCTTCAACTCTTGGGGTGTCAGCAACAGCTTCTCCGTCTTCGAGCAGCTCTACACAGAAACCCTCCCGCAATCCGCCTCGGCCATTCCTGGATCGGCAGCGTGCAGGTCTCTCTCCTTTTCTTCGCCGGGGCGCTCGTCGGCCGCGCCACCGACGCAGGCTACTTCCGTCTGATCTTCTCGCTGGGGGTTTTTCTGCAGCTGCTGGGCCTATTCATGCTCTCCCTCTCCAAGACCTACTGGCAGATCTTCCTGATGCAGGCCGTCTGCATGGGTCTGGGCAATGGCCTGACTTTCAGCCCGGGAGTCTCGATCATGTCCTCATACTTTGTCGATAAACGCGCCTTCGGTGTGGGGGTAGCCGCGGCCGGGGCCGCGACAGGTGGCCTGATCTACCCCGTGCTGGTGAACCAGCGACTGTGCACGCAGCAGATCGGATTCGGGTGGACGATCCGCGCCGCGGGGCTGCTGATGCTAGTCACGCAGATGCCCGGGGTGGTGCTCTTCAAGCCCCGTCTTCCGCCGCGACGAAGCGGTCCTCTAATCGAATGGGGCGCCTTAACCGAGCCGCCCTTCCTCTTCTTTACCGTGAGCATGTTCCTCAACTTCTGGGGCCTCTACTTCGCCTTCTTCTACCTCGGGACCTTTGCCCGCGATCGTCTCGGGGTGACACACACGCAGAATCTGATCCTGGTGTTGAATGGCGTGGGCATTATCGGACGCATCGGGCCTAGTCTCGCCGGGGACCGGCTGGGCAAACTCAACGTCTTGATCCCGCTCAGTGTCGCCTCTGCGATCGTGATTCTATGATGGATGGCGGTCCGCACTGTCGCGGGGTTGCATGTGTTTGCGGTTGTCTACGGGCTGGTGGGCGGCGCAGCGCAGTCGCTCTTCCCCACGATGATCCCGGATATCAAGCGAACGGGGACGTAGAGCGGGATGATTCTAGGTCTTGTTGGGTTTGCGACGTTGACAGGGCCGGTGCTGGAGGGGGCATTGATCTCGCGGGACGGGGGGCGGTATACAGGGGCGCAGATCTTTGCGGGCATTTGTATTATACTTGGTTCGGGGGCTGCATTGGCTGCGAGAGTAGCTAAGGTCGGTTGGGAGTGAAGGGCGAAGGCGTAATTGTGTCGGATTGTACAAGGTTTCAACCCATGATAATCGTCCAGATGAATATAGCTGGGGACGGGGCATCGTATCTACCGGGTGCGCTATAGGATAGACCTAGAAGGCAGCGACAGAAAAGACGAAGATAGCTGAAGTTTTCGGCGATATCCCCAGTGAACCAAGAACATGTCTAGATATACAAATTCAGACGCTCAACCGCATAATACATCCTAGTGATTTTCGTATGAAGTCAACTCCCCAACAGCGTAGACAATTTCGCCTTCCAATCAATCACCATCTCCTTCGCCTCAGCCGCCTCCTGCCTCGACCTCTCCAGCTCCGTCTCCAGGGCCTCATTCCGCGCCCGTAGCTCCTGCACTTCCTTCCTCGCGCTCTCGAGCTGCGCCGCCGTCGTGCGCAGCGTCTCCATTTCCTGCTCCGACGACCGGCGATACTCCAGCTCGCGCCGCAGCGCCGTCAGGCTCAGATCCCGGATCTGGATGATCTGCTGGCACCGCAGATTCTCCTCGCGCAGGTCCTCGTTCTCGAGCCGCAGCGACGCGTTCGACTCCAGCTCGCGGTAGAGGACGTTCAGCGAGGCGTCGACGTCGGCGGGGAGGTTCGTGTACCGGGACTTGCGGTTGCGGCGGGCTGGCGGGGGGGATGGGTCGGGGTGTGGCGCGGGAATCTGGGTTGAGGCGATAATGTTGTCGTTGGCTGGGTTGGGTGGGGGTAAGACGCCGTGTCTGGGGAGTGGGGAGACGATGGGCGGTTTGCCATTAGTTAGATCGGTATAATGCAACGGCGTAGAAGATAGAGTGTTGTGGTGGAGCGCAGGGGAGGCGACGGGCGCTGCATCAGACGTCTCTACCCCCGTCAGTCGCGGTGAGGCAGGAGGTGTCAATGTCGGAGGAGAGATATGCCACTCGCGCCGGACACAGACAGAGCAGAACACGTGGTGGTCGGTGTCTCGTATCCAACCGGTCGGCAGACACTCGGTGTGGAATACCAGTGGACAGGTCAGACATGGCTCCAGGTTCTTCTCGCGGAAGCAAACACGACAGTATGTTTCGTGGATCGACCCATCTCCTATAGGTTCGGAGGTGAGGATGAGAAGCAATCTACACAGAGAACAGGGGAGAAGAACGTACGTTTCCATTGTTTATGCCGTTGAATTTGAGATGCCATGGGCTCTTTTTCTAACGCGGCGAGGGTGTCCGCCCACGAGATCCGCGGTGGCGCTTGGGGGTGAGCGACCGGCGGCTCCGACAGTCTCTCTGCTTGGACGGTACGGAGACCAACTCTTCGGTTGTCCGAGCTGCGTGTAGGGCGTTTTGAGCGTGTCTTTCGTACGGCCATCGGTGTATGTGATTGTGAGTTGGTGGGATGGATTGAAGATGTTCGCATGTTTCTTTTACCCTCAACAAGCCGAGGCGCGGGAGTAGATTAGTCAGAACAATGGGCAAAGCGGTCTATAATCACGTGACAGTAGCACACAATAAATGCTTTCCAATTAAGAATGATGACAAATTTAACACAGTACCTAAAAATAATCAACATCATCCAGGCCCAACTAGCTACTACTACCCTCCCAGAGTACCAGCTAAGCCGATCGTCTACCCAAAAAGCATTAAGCCTTTCCCTCTGCCTTCAGAGACTGGGCCCATTCTTCCACAGTCTTTACCTCGGCGAACAATGGCCAGACCAACTCGGTCGCCGCGTCCGTCAGCTCCTTCGACCAACCGGCCGTTGCATCCTTGCTGTCCGAGTATTCCTATTAGTATGTGAATATCGATCGAGGAGCAATCTTCTTACAGTAGAGTCACATGGTATCCTCTATATAGTGGAACAATCACATTAGCCTCGCACAGACCACATATTTTACTCCAAATACAAACTCACAGCTCATAAGCATGCCGGGCAGTGCTCTCCAGACAAGTGTTGGCCGTCAACCCGGCAAGGACCAGGTGCACTTTCTCACGCTGGCGCAGCTGGAAGTCCAGGTCGGTGTTCTGGAAGGAGCTTCCCCAGTAGATTCACATTAGCAACAAATCTGCTCGAGCGTTCAGATGAGAGAAGACTCACTTGCTATTCCAGTGTCGACTCACGACCACATCCCCATTGCTGCGATCGGGCTCCAAGCCTTGGTAGATCTGGGCCCCAAACGTACCTGCTTCGAACAACTTGATTTCCTTCTGCTTGACGTGGTTGGGGGTCATGTGCCGCCAGGCCTGGAAGGCAGTGGGGGTCCACTGCTGATGCAGTCCGTAGTAGACTGGGATACGATGCAGACGGGCGGCAGCCACGGCTTCCTGGATGTGGTTGATGGTCTCTTTCTCCTCCAGGTCTTTCAGCAATGGGGTAAGCTTGCCGTCCGGGTGGAGGAAGTCATTGTAGGGGTCGATCAGGATGAGGGCGGTTTTGGAGAGGTCGACCATTCTCTTGAATGGTTGTTGAAGTTGCTGTTGATTGAATTTATTCTTGCTTATCTGTCTTCTCATTTGCCTGACATGACCAGTTATTTATAGCCCTCCTGAGGGAGGGGAGGGGGGGTGTTGCTCGGCCCAAACTCGCTCTTGAATTGGTCAGCAACGTCAGCAACGTCACTGAGAACCAGGTCGTAGTCTCTGGAACAAAGAGACAGCAGTTTCTTGTACTAGTAAGGACTTTATTTTTGAATTGTCATCGACTTTCATTACAAAACAGTCAGTTCTGGTTACCTACGGCGTGCAAGATACTGCTTACCAATTTCTTGTCTCAACTGCCTGACAGGTCCAGCAAGGCCTCTTGTCCGTGCTGACAAATTTAAGCCATCCACTTGTGCAGGCGGGAGCGAATTCCGAGTACACCGTACCGTGCCTGCTTCTTCCTCACCAGTAGCCTCCAAGGTACCCGACCTTCCCTTCTACAAAATTATTGTCTGCCCTTCAAATCTACTCTGTACATCCACTGCATCCCATGAGCATAAGAATCTCATTCTCCTTTACATCAAATCCCAACACCAGCATCATCAACAATCTACAGCCACGTTCAGAATTCCACCAGTTTACCACAACAGATTCCTGATTCTCCACACCGAAACCACCTCTCGTCTGTAATTCATTCCGTGGTTATACCAGTCAAACGCACTCCATCGCAAGATCCCTTTCGCCATCCTTTCAGCGCCTGACTGCTAACATTGCCATTCAAAGTCTAGCATAGTCCTCACGAAGTCCATCGCTAACATTCTCACAAGAAGCATCGCCAACCCCACCCAGTCCTTCCTCCCCAGAATCAGAGATCTAAAGCGAAGCCTTCAGCTTCCCCTCCTTCTCCGCCGTCCATGCCGCAATAGCATCCATCAACCCGGGCGCCAACACATCAAACGTCTCCAGCCCCAGCCCACGCAGCCGACCCCGCACCTCCTCCATTTTGTTCGGGGGAAACCCCTGCTCGATGATCGATGAGACAAACCCGGCAAATTGCACCTCCTGCCACCCCTGCTGCTCCGACAGCTCCACGTGCACAAAGTCCAGCCCCTTGAAGGGGTGGTCCTTCTCGATGCGCCCGAACAGATGCACCCCGCAGGCCGTGCAGGCGTGGCGCTGGATGACGGCCGCTTCATCCACGATAGCTAGTTTCTCGGCGTGCGACGAGACCTGCACCTTCTCCCGCGGGACGACGCCCACGACGGAGAACAGGGCACCCTTCGGTTTCCAGCATTTGGAGCACCCGCACGCGTGGTTGTGGGCGACGTTGCTGCTGATCGTTACGGTGACGGGGTTGGTGGCGCAGTGGCATTTGAGGGTTCCGCCGGTAAAGTTGGGGGAGCCTTTCTGGATGGGTTTGTCGAGGAGGGGGTGCAGTGAGATGGCCATTTTGGGGGGTTCTTTCGGTGTCGGAGGAGGTGTGAGAGAGAAACGGTAGGTAATAGCAGGTAAGTAAAGTGGTAGAAAAGTAAGGGGACTTTGCCGACGAGCTCGCCAGTCTACTAACAGTGGTTATATAGCCCAGGTCCCCCTCAGAACATGCAGAAAATACCTGCAGCATTCCCCCATCCCCTCATGCGGGGACATACACAATGCACCGCCAACCAATGTCGCCATTTTGCACGGCCATCCGTGCCCACTGGGCACAGTGCGGTGCCGACCGGGTAAGTTAACCCGTTTAGGCGGTTGGATGCGCGATCGCATGCCCAAAGCCAACGGGGTCTCGACGCGATCCCCACTGTGGAGTCCTGCGCCGCGGGAAAAGTAACGCCCTCGCGCGGTTGGCCCTAGCCTTCCTTGTCAGTGATCGTTCGTGATGACTTTAGGGTGAGTAAGTATTTCCTTAAGTACTGCACTCTTGTTTGCTCATGAACTCGCTTTATTAATGGTATGTACATGTCACAACCTACAGATCATTCAAACAATGGCATCCTGACCGCACTGCCAGCTCTTCTCCGCCGCCCCCTTGCTCAACTCCCGATCCTCTCCCTCCCCAGACGGCGACGATAACGCCTCCAACTCCACCATCCTGGGATGCTCATCCCCTGAAGTCTCCATCGCCACCAGATACTGATCCGTATCGCCAGACTGCCGACCGCGCTCCCGCTCCCGACTGTGTCCCCCGTGCGAACCGGACTGCCCCGTCGGCGTCCGCGTACTGTGACTGTGGCTCAGCTTCAACGACCGCAGCTTCCCCGCCAGGCTGGAGGGCACCTGGTACCACCGGAAGAACACCTTGACGGCCGGCAGGCTGGCTGAGGTCGCCGCCAGGGCCACCTCCAGCAGGGCCAGCACCCAGCAGTACCAGGCCATCCAGGACCCGTCGTACGTGGCGTAGAACATGCGCCACAGGAAGTAGATGCGGATCCCCGCGACGACCGCCGTGAGATACCCGACCGAGAAGACGGCCGTGAGTGCCACCTTCTGGCGGCGGCGCATGTGCAGGCGGATGCAGAACACCGCAGGCAGGGTCGTGGCCAGCAGGTCCTGCGCGAGGCTGATCGAGGTCGCCGCGATCAGGTGCGCGCCCTCGTCGTAGCAGCTGTATTGGTGCGTCAGCGCCCAGGTCGGGTCGACCTGGCGCCAGAACGCGCGTAGAGGCCGGCACGAGAGGAAGAGCGCCAGCACGAACGCCACGCTGTAGGCCACCACCGAGCCGATGCTGACCCAGATCAGCGCGCGGAACCGCGGCGACACCGTCCGCTGGCTCATGCGCCGGTAGAACAGCAGCACCGAGGTCTTGATCAGCCCCGACGCCAGCACGTAGAACAGCTCCGAGGCCGCCGCCACTTTGCGCTCGCCGATCAGATCCGCGACGCTGTTGTCCCAAGAGTGGTGCTTTTCACCGTACACTTCGCTGGCTGTGGGATTCTCGGTCAGCCGGTGGTTTCCCGAAGAATGGGGTAATACTTGCCTATCGGAACGGCGACGATGAGGCCGAGGGTCGGTAGCTGGATTGGTGGTGGTTAGTTTCGGGCCAAGGATGAGCAGGATGCGACGTCACATACCAGCGCCAGCGCAATCAGGATGTCATCGATGCCGCCCTGGTGCTGAATAATACACCGTGCGTACAGCCGCACCATCACCGTCACAATTGCAATCCCGCCGAAGACCGCAGCGACCACAATAGCGGCCGGGCCATGTGAGTCGGGGTTGACGGTGTTGGGTGCTGGCCATGACTCGATCACCGATAATGGCGGATGCAGCCCTCCTGGCATGGCGGCGGAGGAACGGACTCAGTCTGGCTGAGTGAACTTCCAGATAAGAAATAAAGAGAAAGAAGAAATATTGACAGGAAAGTCAACGTCAATGTCCCGCAAAGACAGACAAACGGTGTACCAGCCCTGTCTGCAGAGCACAGCGATGCGGACATGGCGCCATTTAGATACCCTCAAACCCAACCGCCACTGCAGGGGAAATCCGCGGATCAACGGAAAAGCATCATCAGTCTAGAAGAGGGATTGCGATCAAAGGCAAGACTTAATTTAAGCCAGCCCCACTGATGTGAGCCATCGAATCCCTGGCGGGCTGCACGGGGGCGCCCTCGCCCAATTTTTGCGACCGAGCGTTAAGGTTGCGCAGGTGAAACGGTCACCGTTTGAGTGGACGACGCATGCACCTGCAAATGGCACCTGTCACCGCGAGCCCCAACAAGCAGCAAGCACTGGGCTACAGTGGAGATGTCGACGCTGCAAGACCCATCTTTGTGATGTATCCACCACTGACAGCCTCATGCGGCAGGAGGTTTCCTTCGGCCGAACCAAGGGTCGCAGGCAGTCAGAGTTTGACAGCAGAGTCGGAGACACCCATCAATAGCAGTTCCGCCTGCAAGACGGAATGCAATCCGTACTACGGAGTAGAGCCGCCGGCATATCGGCCATAGGGCTTTTGATTGACTCTGCAAAGGGAAATTGGCGCAGTTCTCATAATCGAGTCCGATGTGCTGAAGTGGTCTGTCGGGTCTCCCGTACCCCATATGAAAGGGGTTGCGTCGAGGCAATCACCATCCCCTAAAGACTAGCCCTGTCAATCATGCCCAAATGGGCAATTGGAGGCCTATAACAGCTGGAATTATAATTCCGTAGTCAATCCAGGAATGCCTCGGGATCGTGAATTTTCCGATGGTGAAGTCATTGGGTCTCTTGCTCAAACCCCCGGCCCGTGCGACTTGATCCATCACCTCCTCCCTCCACAATCAATCAATCGATCACTACGAATCAACCTGTCAATCAATCAATCAATGCGAATCAATCTCCACACATACACAGCTGTAATCTGCTTCATGCTACAGGTTTACAATCCCCTTAAGGCGCAGGGGGGAAGCTCGATGGTGTCCGCAGACTATAATAGCAAGACCGACTAAGCTGGATAGATGCGTTCCTGTCCTGGATAGCTCACTTGCTCCTCATTACATCCCCAGTCTGTCACCATCACCATCACCATCACTGATCGCGGGCTGGGGGCCAATCAGATAACCCTTCGCGACGACAAACCTCCTGAAAAGAAGGCAGGGCTGTGAGGTGATCCACGTACGGGGCCAAATGCGGCCAAGTCGTCGCCGGTCGGGGCATGTCCCGCGACCAGCGCATCAGCATCACTGCCAAAAGGTCCGCCGTCGTCAAGGTCTCCCCTACAAGGTAGTTTGGGGTTCCCCCTGTCGAAGGCGATCCGTGGGAGCCCGCTGATCCTGCCAATCGCGCATCCAATAGATCCCAGGCCCCCTCGATCCGTGATCGAGCCAAGGCACGCACCGCAGTCGCGCCCTCGGCCGGGCCGTCCTTGTCGGCATAGAACCAGTCGCGCATGGCGGGGAGGACCGTGTTGGCCAGGTAAATCATCGTCTGCAGCCACTGCGGGCGGGTCGCAGCCTCCACTGCGGGCATCAGTCCGCGGTCGGGATGGCGCTCCGCCAGCAGCATCAGCAGGGCCGTGCATTCCCCGTGAGCCTCGCCGTTCACGATCAACGTGGGGACGCGGCCGGTTGGGTTCAATCGGCGGTAGGCCTCGCTGTGCTGGGCTCCCGTGGCGAAGTCGACGGAGATCGCATCGAAGGGCAGGTTGGCCTCGATCAGCATCCAGTGCACGCATAGACTGGCCGTGCCGGGGGAGTAGTACAACGTGTACGGGTTGGACGCCATGGATCGCAGGCTGCCAGTGGAGATTAGCAGGACTTGATCAGCGGCCTTAGGATGATGATCCTGGAATTACCGTTGGATGAGCGAGGGAGGATGTATTGCAGTCTGATGGGCTCTGATCGTCGAGTCAATTCGGCGTGGTTGACTTCGAGCAGTGTTTGTTCCAAGTTGAGGTTTTTCGCGTGAGTCACCGACCGAAAGAGCTGGCGCATGGACCAGATCCCGCTTTTATTGCGGAAGCCGACCGGAGACAATCATCGAACCCTGGTCGATTGTACGTCTTCATGCAACGCATCACCCGGTCCCTTTTCATTCATTTGTGTCATTTGAATCTAAAATAAACGCATTCTAGGATAATCGTCTACCATCTATGAGCAATCGTGTATCCAGATCCAGTCTATCGCGCCCTCCGTCGTCAAGGTGGTGTTCGTGCCAGGCGGTATCGTCCAGACGATCCGTGGGTTCATGTCGTGGTCATTCATGACAAAACATGCAGTCGTCGATATTACAGTCCGCTAATGCAGGCGCAGCTCCCCGTCCACGTCCTCAGCCTTGTCCAGCGCGTCCGCAATGCGCGATCCATCCCCCTCGTACAGCAGCGAATCGTAGACCGTGGCTCCCACAAAGCATCCGACGACGGGGGCAAACAAGGGCACGACGAAGTAGTAGTTGGCGGCGGTAAACACCTCGCGACCGTAGAGGATGGCCGAGAAGAGACGCGGGCCGAAGTCGCGTGCGGGATTGATCGCCTGGGAGCAGCCATCGCGGTTAGCATTCTACATACAAATCGAATCACGAGGGCACCTACGTAGCCAGTCTGCCAGCCCAGCGCCGCTCCAATGGCGAGCAGAAGCACAAACATCGAAAACTGGGGGGAGTGGAAGCGATGGGCATTGGCCGGGTCCGAGACACTCAGTGAGCCGAACATGAGCACGGCCGATCCGAGGACTTCCGAGAAGACCGCCTCCCAATTGGAGGAGAAGAAGCTAGCGGGATAGGTGGAGAAGATGCCGGCCGAGTGGTGGCCCCGCGGGCTCAGAATCGATCCCCCCGGGATCGTATATTCCGGGTCCCAGTCCAGGATGGCCGACCGGTAGTTGATGTAGACTATGGCCGCGCCCACGAAGCCGCCCAGGAACTGGGCCAACAGCTTGCCGGGCAGCTTCCTCCACTGGTCGGGCTGCGGGCGCACGAAGGCCATGACGAGGGAGATGGCGGGATTGCTGGCGGGACTGGGGTCCGCGATGTAGCCCGAGAGACAGACGGCGGCTGCCCAGGCTAGGTTGATGGAGAGCCAGGTGCCATACTGGTAGTCGGAGAGCAGGGTTTGGGCCACGACGCCGTCGCCGATCACGATGATGAGGGCAGTACCGAGGAATTCAGCAATGTACGGTTTGAAGGCTCGTCGCGAGAGACCGGAGAGATGGAGACGCATCTTGAGAACGAGTATCTGTAAGTCAACAGTCTGTTGGTTGATTTGGCACGGAGAAAGAGGTAGGAGAGAAGAGGGAGAGAGAGAAAGTAAGGGAGAGGAAATTGATACCGTGGACAACAGGTGGAGCAGGTGGGGGCCAGTCTATCGAGTGACAACGAGTGATATTATGAAGAGAGGAGAAGGACGAGAGGAGAAAGCCATGGGTTGAGATGATGCCGTCATTCCCTCGGAGACGCTCCTGCCTTCTCTCACCGCCATCTCGGCTGCGCGAGGTTTGCTGTGTTTGCACTTACAATCACCACCATGCCCATCCAGGCTAAGCGCAGTTATTTGTCCGCTTACTCACCCCCACCATGCCAGGTCTGGCAAGGCGTCGGAGAATTCCATAGATCGAATGTTGCTTCTCGATCTACTCCAAACCTCCTATCATACAAAATCCCCACCACAAGGAAAGTCCATTCTATCTGGTCACTGTGTCTGAAGTTCAAGAAGCCATACTCAACTCCGAAGTGGCAGCTGTGATGCAGGGCGGCACAATTCGATATCCAACTAGAAGAGACACTGAGGCGATAACCCATAAGCGATGCATCTCCATATCAACACACTTCACCACTGCGATATCACGATGTCTTGAAATAGAACCCCGGTGGACCCTTTCACGCGGTGTCTTACTCTAGGCAGTCTGTTGGCTGTTGCTTTTCACTTTTCTCTGCCCCTTTTGCCATCGATACTCACAACCGAGATCCGCGCCAGGCTTTATATATCTCAAGCCCTCCGACGTCCTTGTACCTACCGTCCAAGTTAGCTACTACACATGCTCTGTGCCTACGCAGGGCCTCGACCCCGACCTGCCAACATGTTCCTCCTTCCCGTCCTCCTCCTCCTCATCATCTTCACCCTCACCCTCGCAGACGAGACCGACTGCAACCCGCTGAACAAGACCTGCCCGGCCGACGCCGCCCTCGGCACGGCGCACACCTGGTGGTTCAACAGCACGCTGGACAGCAGCCTCTGGAACATGACCACCGGCACGCCGGAGTACACGTCGGAGGGGGCCAACTTCACGATCCGCAGCGTGAACGGCTCGACGCTGCTGCAGTCGAACTTCTACATCTTTTTCGGGGTAATGGAGGCGCACGTCAAGATGGCCGCGGGCGCGGGGATCATCAGCAGCGTGATCCTGCAGTCGGACGACCTCGACGAGATCGACTGGGAGTGGGTGGGCTACAACACCAGCGCGGTGCAGTCGGACTTCTTCGGCAAGGGCAACACCACCACCAGCGACCGCGGCGGGTTCCACGCCGTCGCCGACGCCGACACCCAGTTCCACAACTATACCTCGTACTGGGACCGGGACCGGCTGGAGTGGTGGATCGATGGCCAGCTGGTGCGCACCGTCAACTACTCCGAGCCGCTGACGGTGTACGGCCGCAATTACCCCCAGACGCCGTGTCGCGTCAAGGTGAGCGTGTGGCCGGCGGGGATCCCGTCGGAGTCGATCGGGAATATCGAGTGGGCGGGCGGGCTGGTGGATTGGGATGATCTGCCGTTTACCATGGTGGTGCAGCGGATCCGCGTGCAGGACTTTCATACGGGGAAGGAGTACGAGTATACGGATCGGTCGGGGTCGTATGAGAGCATCAAGGTGGTTAGGTGAGTGTCTGCTTGTTCTGTTCTTTGGGGGGAGGGAGAGTGATCTAACGGGTGAGTGCAGTGGGAATTCGACGGCGAAAGCGGAGATCAACAAGACGCCCAAGAAGACTCTGGCGCAGAAGTGGGCGGATCTTCCGACTGCCGCCCATGTCGGGGTGTACTGTGCCGCCGCGGTGGTCGCTGCCGCGGCCGTGGCGGCGTTCGTGCTCTACTGCATCCGGCAACGGCGCCAGGGTCGGCTGGAGCGGGCGCTGGCTGAAAGCCCTCAGAGTCCAGTCCAATCGACCGAAATGGATACGTACAAGAAGCAGTGGCGGCAGAGCGAGTGGGGGCGACGGGGGTACCGGAATGTCGAGCAGTGATTGCCGACGTATACGTCCAGATGTTTCAATGGATAGTTTAGGATGCAGAGGTTGGATACTACCCTGGCTCCTGTTGGCCCCTAGGCCCCTTCACAATATAATAGAGATACTCTAATAGCGATGATAGCTAAGGTGTATATATACGAAACATCTCGAACCGTGTCTAGCATGTACATGAATCGAGAAGACGCTTGCACAAGCTAGTCGTCTTGGCTAAGTTGCCTGGTACTCGCACCCCCCCCTCGCCTTAACAATGGCACACTCCGCCAGCCGTCTCAACTCCAGGATAATGCCCCTCGCCGTCTCGATCCGCATGGTATAGCACCTGGGATGCTGCTGGTAGGCCGACCTCTGAATCAGCTCCGCGATCCGCCCCATCAGCCGCAGGACCTCCTGATTATCGCCCTCCAGCGGCTGCGAGAGCACATGGCAGAAAAGCACGATCACCGCTTGAATGAAGTACGATAATGAGAACCTTGATCAATTAGCACCGTCCGCGCCGTCCGCACCATTCGCAATGAACTTTCCAAGAAGATGGGACCAATAGGACATACAGAAGATTCTCCGGCCCCAACTCCAGCCGTGACTCGAGGAACTCCTCCAACAGCGCCCGACTGGCCGCAACGGAGATCGCCAGGCTCGAGCTCGTCCCCCGGGTATCCTGGTTCCGGATCCACGCGGCACACCGGCTGCTCGTCTGGTGGATCAGGACCATGCAGTGGTGGTACTGCACGTGGAAGATCGAGAACCGCATGTCGCGGTGCGGCGGGGTGCGTCGGCCCGCTGCGAACGAGGGCTGGTTCACGGGAGGGAGGGTGGTCTTCCATGCTTCTAGCTCGTGGTCGAGGTCGCGGATCGTGCGCAGCAGGTCCGCGTCGGATTGGCGGAGGGCCGACGGGGAGTAGAGGTCGCGGTAGATGCGGGATTGGAGGGTTGCGAGGCGGGCGTAGGTGTGCAGGTAGGTTCCGGGGGAGGGGTCGCCGCGTATTTGTGGTGGTTGGGTGTCGGGTGCGAGCGTCAGGTCGCAGTGGCTGTCTTCGAGGCGTGGGGGCAGGCCGGTCACCATCGTCAGGCCCTTGTCGCAGACGTAGATGATCCAGAAGAGTTCCCGGATGTGCTGGTCGATGAGTAATGGGCGGTCGGTGGTGCTGTGCGGGGATACGTTGCCTTTGAGGTAGTAGATGAATCGCGCGGCGGCCGAGAGGAAGTGGTCGACTAGATAGAGGTTCCCTGCCAGACCTTGGCAACACAAACACTTCTTTGTGTCAGTATTTGGGGTTCAGTGAGCATCATAGATCAGGGCGTACTAGTAATAAGACAGTCTGCAGCCCGTCCACGGACACGGGTTCACCAAAGACAGCCGGCAGAAGCCGTTGCGCAGCTTCGAAGTATTGATCACTGTATCTGAGTGGGTATCCTTTCGGACCATGCACCGTCAGAGAGGTTAACGCAAGGAGGGCGAAGATGCACGCGCGTGCGCTGTTCATCCCGGGGGACGCGGCCGAGTATTCCCGGCTGTAGGCCGCCTTGATCGTGCTCTCGAAGAGGGATGCGTTGATGACCGGGAAGAACAGTGCAAAGCTGGATGATTGATAGTGTCTAAGCTCGTCGAAGAGAAATCCCAGGTCGGGTAGAGGGAGCTCAGCTGCGCTTGCCACCTGCACCAGGGTTGATTCAGGCGATGGCTGACGGAACCTGAATTCGTCCCCCGTGCAGGCAGCAATCCATTCGCGCCCGCTGGCAGAGAAGAATGGCACCCCATCGAAGGTGCAAATGTTCCCCAGATGGCGCCCGGCGAAATGCAGGTCTTGAGTGAAAGTGGGCGCATATGGTTGGTATGGTTGCGCGGTGCTTGGGGTTGGGTGGATTTCCCGCTCCGGTGGATTGACGGGACTTTTTCTGTGTAGGTGACAGTGATGGTTAATGAGAAAGACGTGGTATGTTATGTGTCGTTCAGCCTACTGCTTGTTTCTGTCGAAGGTACATGGGAGGTTTTGATGGGAACACCAGTCGCATCGCGGGCTTGCGGCATTGCACTTGATCTGTGTTACCCGGATTAGCTCTGCTCAGAATGCTCAGAGTGCTCAGAGTGCAAGTGCAATACCTTGCGCGTGAAACAGGCGTCACACGAGTGCGCAATACGACCCCTGCGCTTGGGTGGTGGTCGCCCAGGCTGCCCCTCAAAGAACATTGGAGATGCGTGTTCTTAAGCAGGGAAGTTTATGAATCAACTGTATGTCTGGCGATGTGGAGAAATAGAGCAGCGGAGAGAGGAGTCCGCGGCAGAAATGATGATTGGCTGCCAAGACCTTGTCCGCCTGGATGAAAGATGCCCTGGAGACACTTAATAATCACAGTACTTTTGAGGTGTACCACGTAACTACTTCAAATTCAGAGTGGATTGTTCTTGCGACATTACTAGAAAAAAACATCACGATGCCATCCGCAATGCTATCGATGCGCCGTCAACCCCATCAACCTCATCATCGATCTCGATCGCTTCACAGCCATCTACCGTCATTGACAAACTGCGTTCTGGAAACCATAAAGTCCGCCCTCTGGGCTACGTCGTCGTCGTTCTCCTCCTCCTTTTCCGGGCGCGGGATGTACTCGTAGTTCCGGCACACCAGCTGCGCCAGAAAAGTCGCTTGCCACTCGTCGTCGACTACTCGGGAGTTACACGCCCTCCACAGCGCCCGATAGCGCGGTGGCAGCCTCATCGTCGGGGGATAGGCCGGCTCGATCATCCGCACGAGCAGCACGAGCCACTCTTCGAGGATTCTGGCCCCCCGGAGTTGCATAGTCCCGGAGCATACAGTCCAGCAGCGCCACGGTCAGCACGTTCGGTTTGAGAGCGCGCACTGGCCACAGCCCGCGCCAGTACCCACTGCCCCGGTCCTCATCACGCGGAGGCACGGTGTTCGGATCGCTGGAGAACATGTACGGCACCAGGGGCCCGTGTGGACTTGGAGGCCCGGGGACCATCGCTCCGTTCAGATCGGGGATAATGCGGGACTGGTTATAGAGCAAAAGCAGGTGTCATGCTCATCCCGCTCCGATGTGTGCAGGTGAGCGTCGTATGTCAGTCGCGCGCCCGGGATGCCGAGACGGTAGCGGCAGTGCCATCGGAGCGTGCACTGAAGGAATCCGCCCGACATTAGGACCTGAACAGCCCGTTTCAGATCGGCATCGTCTATAATGAAGGAACATTCATTGTCGGGTAGGTGTGGGTTACTCAGGTCGCGGCCTCCGGCCAGTCGCACAGCTAAATGGCCCCAAAGGAGGTAGGGGATGCGACCAAAGCTTTCCAGGATGTGAGCGGCCATCGCTGCGGTGTGTGCGGCTTTTGGATTGGGGTCGCGCAACGGCTCCATAATGACGACCGTGTTGATGGGGTGGAGTTGCAATATCGCTGTGGCTCTCGAAAGCGATCTTCGACAAGTACCTGCTCAGCGGGTCGGAGTAATGAGCCGTGGAGGATTGTCATGCCAGGTGAATTTCGACGAGGCTTTCCAAGGTGAATTCATAACCAAAATTGGCTGGTGCGGGCAGGAGGTCCCTTCCTACTCAGGGTCAGGGTCAATAACACTTACCAACTCGCGAAGGTCAAAAGGGAGTCACGAATGCTCGTCTCAAACCCAACGGATCCTCATACCTATTCCTCACGATCCTGCCATGTCTCCAAGAATCCTGTTTTCGATGGTATGATGGTATACGCAGGCGGTTTGCACGAGAGCTTGGAATGCAGAAGGGGAGGTAGTGATGAACAAAGTGATTTGATCGCTAACTTGACACTATAACTGACAGAAATGAAAACACGCGGCTAGTGATGACATCTTCTTTTTCACAGCACCGGAAAGAAGCGTGGCGGGTTCCTCGGCTAGATTTAAGCATCAATCAACGCCTTGAAAGCCTGCAGCAGATCGTTCTTCAAATCCTCCCAGTGCTCGAGACCGACGCTGATCCGCAGCAACTTCCGATCGACACGAGAATCAGAAAGCGCGCGCCACTCGATTAGCGACTCCACGCCCCCTAAACTGGTCGCATGCTGGAAGAAGCTCAGCTTGCTGGGTAGCGTCCGTGCGAAATCCTCCTTATTGAGCACAATCGCGAAGACCGGGCCGAACCCGTTAGGCATTTGTTTCTGTAGCCACGGCTCATCCTGCAGGCTCGCATGGTATATTGTGCTCACCACAGACTGCACAACGCTCTCATCGCTGCCTGGCGCGGGGTTGGCGGACTTCATTGCCTGATCCAACCAGGAGACCAGTTTGCCGCAGGTCTGGCTCGCGCGCTGCACGCGGACCTCCAGAGTCCGTAGACTCCTCACCCCTAACCAGGCCTCCAGATTTCCGATCACGTTGCCCACGGCCAGGCGATCCTCGATAAGCTGCTTCTTCCACTTTTCGTCCTTAGTTGCGAGAACACCGCACAGCATGTCACTGTGGCCGCCAAAGTACTTGGACCCCGAGTGCAAGACGAGATCTGCTCCCCATTGGAAGGGATCCTGCAGGCCGGGGGGCGCAAATGTGCTATCGACAATCAGGTACGCGCCGCGGGAGTGCGCCTTCTTGGCATATGCTTCGATGCTAAACGCCGTGCCCAATGGGTTGATCGGCGTCTCCAGAAGAACAACGTCCCCTTTCTCCAAACTCTCAGCAGGGCAGTCTAAGTCGAGCTTCTGCAGCCCCGACAGGCGGGAAATCACGGCAATGACTTCATGGCTACCGTGGTAGCCTTGTCCCACAGCAATACGCCGAGGATTTAACAGAGTGAGCGCTGCAGTGAGGGCCGCGAGACCGGTGGCGTAGCTCACGGCATGTCCTCCGATCAGACTGGTCAGGATGGATTCGAAGCGGGTTGCATTGGGCGCGAATTCGCGGGAATAGACGTAGTTCTTGCCGGTGAACTCATCCTGGAGAAGTTAGCCAAGGTACACGAGCCACAGATCCCAAGTCAATCACGTACGACAGGATCTACCGACGGAATCAATTCATCGGGATTGTCGGGGAAGCGGAAGGTGGTCGAAAGATGAATCGGTGGAGCGACGTCGGTCACCAGATGCAGAGGGTCGTCGGCATGAAGTGCCAGTGTTGCAGGATGAGCTTGACCTGGAGCCATGTCGGACACGTCTAGTGAGCGGTCTGGAAGTAAAGACTTTCGGTTGAAGACCTTCCTCGTACGAAGACCTCGACATGAAGCACCTTATATGGTTGTGATTACTGTAGTGTGGCGGATGAGAACGGGCCCCACTCCCCTCACTTTCCGTATGCGGAAAGGCCTCTTTCGCCCGGGCCCCGCCACATCCATTTCTTCCGAAACAGGTTAGCCGCAGTCCAGCTGCCCCAGCCACACCCGCACAAGCCACGGGTTAAATCAGAAGCCAATCACGCCCGGACAGCCCAATATCAACGATCCACGGCGAGGAGTCCTGTGCTTGACGGCCGCTGCGCTGCCAACGTGCTTGCAAGATCTTAGCTGCATTGATCACGTTGACGCATTTCGTTTTGTCCCAGAAATGCTCGAGCGACTGAATCAAAAAGTCTCTTTCCCCGGCCTGGTCACACTCCAAGCCTGCAATACAGATCGGCCATAGAGCACATTTGAGAAGGTTGTCGCTGGCGCAGAGTGCTTTGATGGACTGGATCAACTGGGTCAGAAGATCGATTATTGAAGTGTTCGTGTGGCATAGAGTGTCGAGGACGCGCTGCCCGTAGATCTCGGCTCCGAGCTTGTAGGACGCAGCTAAAATGCAAAGGTCGTTTATCGCATTCTCCTGGGTCTGGTCAGACTGCGGCAAGTTAACGGCCCAGGACCAGCAATCGAACTCTGTCACCATCTGAACGACCGATGCCACGTTGTACTTATGGTACTCCAATGTCTCTTGGTCGAGAGGATCGTGGACTGCGTCGCGAGAGAGTGAAATGCATCGAATGGCAATCAACAGGTAGTCTGGACAGCCGAGAAACGACTGCTCTACGGCCTCTGTTTCCTTGGGCACCACGCGGGCTTGATCTAACGGATTTGAATCCGTTAACAAATTGGGACGCACGAAGGTCGCGCCAAGCGTCTCAATGCTGCATTCATCAATTGTGGGTACTGAGGGCGTCGACGGTTGTCACTTACAGGTATATCTGACTATTAATGAAGTCTCGAATGAGCTTGACCGTCTGCCCAGGCTCGCGAGCTTGGTGCTGACTGAAACGGATCAGCTTCTTCGCACCCTCTAGATGAAAATTCCACCGATCGCTTCCAGACTCCAGCAGGTCGAGGAAGATCAACAAGAACACGCTGGCCACGGTGCTGTCTTGGGCGCATAAAACCGGATCATTGAGTGCATTCGAAATTGCCTTGATTGCGCGATGTTTGTATCCCAGGGCGTCCTGGTGCACATTGAGGTGAGTGGGCGGGCTTTCTTCGTCGTACCGTTGGAACGAATAGCCCAGGTTCGCTCTGTGGCGCGCTGCCAGGGCGAGAGCAGCCTTCAACAGAGTGGCGTCACTCAAGGCTAGCGACATGAGTTTTCGGAACGGATTGCTATCGCTATCGTAGACGATGAAGAGGCTGCATATACAGTCCTCATCTGTGATTTGGTGATGAGAAAGATGTACGTGAGACAAGTGGAGAAGGCACTAACAGTAGCTTAAGTAGTATTTTGAGGTTGGATCTAAGCAGGCGACAGAGGGATCTCCGAGCTCGAACGGCATCGTGGCAGGCGCTGATGGTCACACACTGGTTAGTGTTTAGATCCTCGGTTTCCCTATAGGGCGGGTGAACCCACCGGGCACCGCGATCTTACCTATCTTGCTTACATGATCTATGGCTGGACCAGAGGGTCTGGGGCGTACGACAAAAGGGATGATGGCCGACCCGGTCGAAGGGCCTGCCTCAGAGTTGCTGAGAGACAACCCTTTTCGCTTGCCTCGGATGGAGATGCCCTTGACCCATCGGACGGGTCTCTTGTCCAGGCATTCCACCCCCGCCTTCTTGCATTTTCCGCAGGGTCGTGCCGCCTGGTCGCACTGAATGCGCCGATATCGGCAGGTATAGCAGGCCTGCAGGGGTGTCATCGAGGTGTGAGGATGGATGACATTGGCGATCTAATTATCACCACCAGTCGAAGCAGGAACCATGCCATGCGACCATGCGACGTTTGTGATAGCTGATAAGGCTTGACATCAGATCATGGCGCACTGGGCAGCTGCTCACGCCCCTGCCGCCTTGGAAGCGACTAACCACTTTCGGCCAGATGATCAGGTGATGCACCCCTATCATGTGACCATCGCTTGATGTTTTTTGCCATAACCGGCCGCCTTCTCGTCCGGTGTTGCCGTCCCCACGAAATGATCAAACAACTGGGAAGGACGCTGAAGCCACCGCTATAATACAAGTGCAACATGTGTGAGGACTCGACAGCAACATCTCCGGAAGCACGCTTGCTTGAATTGAGCCTCACGGAGTACAACCATAAACTCAATGCTGGTCCAACCATGTGAATCGGTGCTAAGGCGTACATGTACACCTCCTAGATTGGGAGATATATGTTGTTCAGGAAAACAACCAAACCAATCTGCTACGCATCTGCACCCGCCACTGCACCGCAGCAATATCAACTGTGGAAGGTCGAGCATGGTGCCATGACCCAAGCCGAGACATATTCTCCTCGAGTTTGGATCTCGACCGCACGGATGTTGTACATAAGCTCTGCCGATATACTCCGTACAGTACCCATCGCACGTTCCCTTGTCTGTATCCTCCAATGTTTGCTCGTGCGGAAAGTTGACGGTCTTAGCAAAATCCCCGAGACTTCTTCCCAATTCTATGGAGAGAAAAGAAACCATGCAGAGCTGACCCTATCCCAAGCTTTACTGTGTTCATGTCCACGTTGAGGGGAGACGGCAAGGGAGAGCCCGGTCAAGTGACCGGCGCAGCCCTCACGGCACCCAGCCCAACGGCTTTAGGGGCATGTCGGGAAGAGATGCAGACCTCAACAAGGAGCAACAAGGCCATAGCATCATTTTCAATGCACAGAACGCCACTGCGAGAAGAAATGGAATGTGGAATGAAGCTACCCCGCCCCTGCAGATTGCATTGCGTGCTGGACCGATAAGAGTGCAAATTGGGCCGATAAACAAATAGATTGCCAGTTATCTAGACTTGCCGAACCCACGCCCTAACGCTCACCCACCCCCTCTTTCTTCTCGCCCTAACCCTGCAAGTTGCGCGACCGGCAAAGCCCGTTCCTGCAGACTAATCATCCTGAAAAGTGAGCCTAATGCCCCTTCCGGTATAAGCTGGCACGCCGGTTCTTGACGATGTGTGCGACCGGGCTCCACCACAGGCGCGGGCCCGACGCTGTCCGACGGAGAAAGGAGAGGAGGTCCGCCTCGCTGCATCGACAGTCAACCTGCACCCTCGCCAATTCACCTGCAGATACCACCACTCCAGCGCGCAATCTCCCTGGCCAGAGCGTGGCACAGGGTTGCATTGTGCGCACCATGGCCGGTTCATTTCCTGCTGTTGGTTCGTCGCCCCTGCCGCGACGGACGGACCCCTCGACGCATTCATAAATTGCTCGCAGGCCCCCGCGACTTTTACACAGGCCGATCGTGCGATTCTTCACTCTCCCGATCATTCGTGATTCAGAATCCCCAGCACGGCAATCATGCGGTTCTGCTCCCCTGTCAGTGTTGTGGCCGTGACGGCTCTGTGGGCATCGCTCGCGGCAGCCATTCGGCCTCCCCGTCTTGCTCCGCGTCCGATCGCTGCCACGAGCCAAGCCACTGAATCTTCCGTGGTAGAAAGCACGTTCGAGCAGTTGATCGACCACAGTGATCCGTCCAAGGGTACCTTCTCCCAGCGTTACTGGTACAGCGCCCAGTACTGGGGTGGCCCCGGCTCTCCGGTTGTCCTGTTCACCCCCGGCGAGGTCTCGGCCGACGGGTATCAGGGCTACTTGACCAACTCGACCCTGACGGGTGTCTATGCGCAGCAGCTGCAGGGTGCGGTGGTTCTGGTTGAGCGTGAGTTGGCCGTGGTCCGACCACGTGTATTGTCCGACTAATGTGGATAGACCGCTACTGGGGTGGCTCCTCGCCTTACACCAACCTCACCGCGGAGACCCTCCAGTACCTCACCCTGGAGCAATCAGTTCTCGATCTGACATACTTTGCGGAAAATGTGAAGTTGGGGTTCGCTCGCAACAGCACTAGCAGCAATGCGCCCCACGTGGTAAGTGGTCTGGCTGCTTGACGGTTTGGGTGACACCTGTTGATGATCTGCTACAGCCGTGGGTGCTCGTCGGTGGCTCTTACAGTGGAGCCCTGACGGCCTGGACCGAGCATCTGGCGCCCGGAACCTTCTGGGCTTACCACGCGACCAGTGCTCCCGTCGAGTCGATCTATGATTTCGTGAGTAGGCCTGCTCCGTGGCTGGTGTGCATCCGTAACTGACCGAACAGTGGCAATACTTCCGACCCATCCAGGACGGCATGGCCAAGAACTGCAGCAAGGACGTCTCGCTGGTGGCTGAGCATGTCGATAAGATTGGCAAGACGGGCACCAAGGCTCAGCAGACGGAACTGAAGAAGCTGTTTGGCCTTGAGGCTCTCGAGCACTTCGATGACTTTGCAGCGTGAGTCGTCCATTATCATTGCTTGCGTCCGGTTTGAGTGCAGGACATGCTGACCAGAACAGTGTTCTTCCCATTGGGCCTTACCTCTGGCAGGATAACACCTTCGCGACCGGCTACTCGGACTTCTTTGCTTTCTGCGATGCTGTCGAGGCATGTTTGTTGCAGCATAATCGTGCCTTGTCTGAGTACGTGACTTGCTAACCGGTAACAGAACGTCGAGGCCGGTGCCGCCGTGACCCCCGGCGCAGAGGGAGTCGGCCTGGAGAAGGCTCTCACGGGCTATGCGACCTGGTTCAAGAACGAAATCTTCCCCGGCTGTAGGTTACTCCAGCCAAATGACACGAGCGATCGGCTAACTCCAGAACCTCAGACTGTGCTTCGTACGGCTACTGGTCCGACGAGTACAGCGTGGCCTGCTACGACACCTACAACACGACCAGCCCCCTCTTCACCGACACCTCCGTCGACAACGCCGTCGACCGCCAATGGCAATGGTTCCTGTGCAACGAGCCCTTCTTCTGGTGGCAGGAGTACGTACTTTCAATCCAGACCCAGCTACCCAGCGCGATGTGTGACTGACTGAAAATAGCGGAGCCCCCACGAGCGAGACGACGCTTATCCCCCGTCTCGTGAGCGCGGATTACTGGCAGCGACAATGCGCGCTGTACTTCCCCGAAGTCAACGGCTTCACGTACGGCAGCGCCAAGGGCAAGAGCGCCAACACCTTCAACGCCTGGACCGATGGATGGTTCCTGAATGGAAACTCCACGCGGTTGATCTGGACGAACGGGTAAGTCCATCACCTCGAGGACAAGCAAAGCGCAAGACCACTGACGCTGCAAACAGTCAATATGACCCCTGGAGAGACGCCACCGTCTCGTCGACCTTCCGACCGGGCGGCCCCCTGGCCAGCACCCCCAGCGAGCCGGTGCAGATCATCCCCGGCGGTTTCCACTGCTCGGATCTCTACATCTCCGACTCGGTGGTCAACGCCGGGGTGAAGAAGGTGGTGGATAACGAGGTCGCTCAAATCAAGGCCTGGGTGGCGGAGTTCTATGCATAGAGGAAGAGACGTGCGGGAGAGGGTTTAGCCGATGGTGTCGGTAGTGTGCGGATCGAATATCCGTGAGTGATGTCACGTGTAATCTTGTGTTGGCAGTTGGGCGAAAACTTGTATATACTCAAATCATTGCAAATACACGTTTGGTTCATGACGAGGTAATGTCTTCTTCACAGCGGTTCGGTATATGTCATAACCATGCGGGCATCTTGGCGCAAGTACCGAAGACATTCCCGAAGACGGAACTGTTCGGAGCACCACGCGATGCCTGGGAATGACATCACCGATAACCATCCAGATCAGAGGGGAAAGGAAATATAAGATAGACGAGTTATTTGTTCTGAAGCAAAGCATTAAATTCATAGCTAACTCAATTCAGACTAAAAACACAGCACGCAGCCGCAATGGTCTACAACATCACCGAGAAAGAAACCCAACCGACGATCTACAGCCACATCAACGGCTCCCCGTCCGAGATCAACGACCGATACTGCGTCTCGGAACTGTGCAAAGGCTGGCCGGTGTACCGGGACGCATCCGAATGGAACCACTACCGCCACCTGTTCGTCAAGGAGGGCGCCTTCGTCTTCACCAGTGCGTCTTCCTCACTGACCCTGACCCTGACCCTGACCCTGACCCTTCCCCCCTCCCCAACCCTCAATTTGTACAACCCTCAATTTGTACTAAGACAACACAAGCATGGAGCGGCGGCCTCCCCATCGACGACTTCATCCAGACCTCGATCCAAGGCCGCGCCAACGGCGACTTCATCATGCACCGCGAGAACGGCACCCTCGTCGACCTCAACCCGGCCACCCAGCGCGCCGTGGGCAAGATGAAGGCCACGATCACGCAGCGCTTCAGCTGGGACGATGGGGTGGACTTCGACGTCGAGTGCGACTGCCGCTTCATCAACTTCTGTCTGAAGGAAGCGGGTGAGTGGAAGGTGGTGTATATCAAGCTGTTCTACGAGAAGGACCGCGTCGTCCCCGTCGACGGACGCACCGTCCCGCCCTTCGACCCCTCCGAGCTGCAGCAGTATCCCCCCGGCTACCAGTATTTGGCTGTCGCGCAGTCCCGGCTCGGCCATCCGATCCTTAATGATCTGCCCACGATGGATAATCAGGCGTTCTTTGATTTGTATGCCGCGATGGATGCGTGGTTGCTGGGCCGGCCGGTGGGGGATTTGTTGGGGATTCCCAAGGAGGCGGTGCCGAGGTATTGAGCTAGTAATGTGGGAGTTGGGTGGTGGGTGGGAGGGATTTCAATCATATATAAATAGTTCGGATGAATAATGTAGACAGGTGCGACGAAGGGGAAATGAATTTATTGATGAATACATGTGTACATGATGCAGGAAGTCAACCCCCGAACCTAACCCGACGCCCCAGAGGTACAGGTCACCCCCAAGCTCGACGGGGTGTTGGCACACAGCACCTGCGACTTGCCCGAAGGAGCCTTGACGCTCCACCCGCTGATCGTCACATCGCACGTTCCACCCGATCCACAGTTCAGGTTGGCCACGGTGGGATCATACTTCGAACTCGTGGTGCCGCTGAACCCGGTGACCTTGATGCCCGACAGCTTCGCGTTCCCGGGGTATGTCGTGCAGTACGAGGCGTCTTCGCCGTAGCAGCTCTGAATTTGGAACGCGTAGTCGGAATTCTCGATGGTGAAGTCGGTGAACGTCACATTCGACACCGTCGACACCCCATGGCTGCCGCCGCTCGGGTAGGTCTTGATGCCCGCGGCCTTGGTCGAGTTGATCATGGTCGCACCAGTGACATAGATGTTCTTGACCGTATCGCTGCTGGACTTGCCCAGGGAGCCCACCGAGATCCCATGCGAGCCCGTGCAGGTGATGGTGTCGACGGTGACGTAGTTCGAGCTCGGCTTGAACGCCACGCAGTCGTCGTCGTTCTTGACAGTGGTATCCGAGATGGTGACATACGTGCTCTCGCCGATGTCGAACCCGTCGGTGTTCTTGGGGTCGTTGTCGGACTTAGAGGTCGCGTCCATGCGCAGCTTGGAGAAGACGACGTTGGTGGCGCCCCCCTTGACCGAGTTGAAGACGTTGGGCGGGTTCTTCTGACGGAAGTTGGAGAACTCGAGGTTGCTGCCGCCGGTGATGTAGAGGAGGGTTGGTCGGGCATAGCTACTGTCCGAGGCAAAGACGTCCCAGCTGGATAGATTCGGAGCAGAGTCAGTACTGTGATGAATGAACGGTGATGGGGGTGTGTTGGCTCACGCATCCTGGCCATTTCCATCGATGACCCCCGACCCCGTCAGGGACCGCAGCTTGAGTCCGTTGATCTTGGAGATGCTGATCATGGCCGTGCGCCCCTCCCAGTAGTCGGTGTCACTGGCGAACTTCAGCAAACCCTCGACCTGAAAGTCACATCCCGTGCAGCCAGCGAAATCGAGGACGCTGTTGAGGTAGTAAGTGGTGCCTGCGGGAATGACAATTGTGCCACCGTTCCCACAGCTAGCAATCGCTTTGGTGATAGCAGGGACATCGTCGATAGAAGAGCTGCCCCCTGCAGTTGGAGTGCAGACCGCACGCGGGCGAAGAGCAGCATCCGGGCTGTGCTGCACGGGCGAGGGTGCAGCCCTAACCAGGCCAACGGCCGCCAGCAGCAGAGACGTCCAGTGGGGTGCCATACTGAAGGGCACAGGCACGAAAAATACAGATTCGAGAATATTGATGAAGCTCAATGAGCCAGATCATTCACAAGCCTAGATATATAACTGACTGAAGCTCAGATGGGCGATCCTTACCTGAAATGCGAGACACGGCGTGCTATTTTCATCACGGACGGCAGCAAGAGTATTGACTGTTTCAGCATCTCGTCTCGGGGCACCGCCTCCGACGAACTGCATGCTTGACATGTGAATGCGAATCATCAGTGGGGCTGGCTGGACGGAGAAACTGAAGCAGTGCTGTCGCCCATTCCTCCAACGGTCCGGGCCACGTGCGGCATTTCCGCTGCCTCGCTTGCGGATAAATCGGAGGTCGATGGTCGGTAGAGTGGTATGGAGGTGCCTGGCAGAGCATCCAATGCTATACTGTGGCTAGGAGCCCAAGACCCTGGTGAGACAAGCGGGTCAATTTAGCCAGGGCCGAGAGGAGACCTTGGCAATCCAGCGTTTCAGCTTCCCGCTGCCCACCCCGGCTAAATTGAGCCTGTTCCTGTGACAGACAGACACCGGTAATTGTCAGGGGCACTCCAGGTTCTGCAAACTCAAACTGCCGAGTGTCTGAATAGAGCGCCTCGGGAGGCTATTGGAGAAGTTGTTCCTATTCATGGAAATGTGGATCTTCCTCTTCGTCTGGGCTGCATTCCTCCGGACTCTCCGCACTGTCGATGCCAATCCTGTTCCCACCAAGCCTCAGCTCGAGCCAGTCAGAAGGATTCCTCGTGCCTCGGCCTTGGCAGTTGCAAGGCAACATCGAACTGAGAGGTGGAAAATACTCGAAATGTTGCAGAAGTGGCTCCCTCGTTGTCTGATCGCATTTCTCCTTGGGCCGAACCCGAATCCTATATATCTCCGTCCGCCCAGATCCGCCAACTGCATGCTCAACAGTGGAAAGATCAGCGCTTCACTACGAAAGACTTTCCAACATTTCTGCGATGCATTTTTATTCTGCTCTTGTCGCCCTTATTGGGCTTGCTGCCCCAGCTTTGGCAGCTCCAGCCTCATCGCTCGAGAAGCGGACAAGTCGCACCAGCGCGCCGTCGGGCTGTCTGAGTGTGGGCTCGGGGCAAACCTACTCGACCATCGGAGCAGCCCTAACTGCTCTCGGCTCCTCAACTGCCGCAGCATGCATCTATGTCGCCAGTGGCACCTATTCTGAACAGCTCACAATCAACTACGCTGGAGCCCTTACGCTGTACGGACAGACTAGTGACACCGGCTCATACAAGAACAATGTCGTCACCATCACCCATACCATCTCCTCGCCCGATGCCGGGTCCTTGGACAAGAGTGCCACCGTCAATGTGGTCTCCGACAACTTTAAGATGTACAATATCAATGTCGCCAATGGTTACGGAAAGGGCGCTCAAGCCGTGGCGTATGTATTTTCTCGATTTGATTTGACACTGACCTTGATTCTGACTGCGGAGTTTATAGACTGGTCGGCAATGCAGATCAACTGGGCTTTTACGGCTGCCAATTTACGGGATACCAAGACACCCTTTACGTCAAAGCCGGCACTCAATATTACTCCAACTGTTTGATTGAGGGTATGGATACACCAAAGTCAAGACACAGGTATACTTGCAATGGCTGACACAAATAGGTGCCGTGGACTATATCTTCGGAGACGCCTCCGTCTGGTTCGGCGAATGCGACATCGTCTCCAACGGCGCGGGAGCCATTACTGCCTCCTCGCGCGAAACCTCAACTGACGATGGCTGGTATGCCTTCGACAACTGCAACATCAAGGCCGCGTCGGGAGTGTCCCTGACCGAGTCGGTCTACTTGGGTCGTCCTTGGCGAGTTCTGGCCCGGGTCATCTATCAGAACTCGGTCCTCTCCGATATTATCAACCCCAAGGGATGGACGACGATGGCAGATGGAGCGACTCCCCTGTACTACGAGTACAACAACTCGGGTGATGGATCGAGCACGTCCAGCAGACTGTACGAGAGCTCGATCTCGGCGGCTGTGACCAAGACTACAGTGCTGGGTTCCACTTGGGGGGATTGGATCGATCGGACTTACTAAAGGACACAATATGTTTAGTGGTGGGTAGTGGACTATAACGATCTTAATATATTCAGCCATAATGTACTGGTATTCCGTCGCGAGAAAAAAGAGACATAGTCTTTGGATAGAGTTACGATAAGAGCCGCCATGAAGGGCAATGGCTTTGCGCACCCTGACGTCCTGCGTCTGAGGGTGGCTCTGCGTTTCGTGAGTGTCATGGCGTCCCAAAGACTGTATCGCAGATTTCATTGTAGTAGACTTGTTCAGCAGTGGAACTGGGATCTGATGCCGCCCAGCCACGATCGTATGTGGCACGCTCAATAGCCTCGAGAGTATTCCACCGCCTGAAACAGTGAAGGATCCTCCTATTCACTTTTGCTAGAAAGGGCTTCTCGGCGGCCCGGGGTCTCAATGTAGCCAGCTCGCTGACCGCCCGCCCTGACCATATTGATAGTACCTCGCTTGAAGAGCATCACGTAGCGGAACTTATCACTTGTCCACGTCTCCGACAGGACGATGACCGCCAGCAACCCTGTCAGATTGTTAGAGGGTCAAACGCTCTGGTAGATACAGGAGAGCCCTGGCAGAAGATGCAGCAAAAAGAGGACTTTTAATATGAGTTCATTTCTTGCAAGTGCTTGACTAAATCTTCCAGCTCACTAAGCAACGCTACCACTCATGTGAAGAGGTTCAAAAGTTTATCTGATGGCCAGAACCGTTCTGGGACGCGACAAAATATGGACGGAGGCTGAAACGGTGGACTGGTTGATCAGCAGAGGCCAGATCGCGGGCATCCGGGACCATTGGGTGGCGCTCGCACAGCGGCGAACCCTCGTCGCAATGATCCTCATCGAGGTCGCCTACATTGATCTGGCAATCTTGGTGTGTGATCTGGCGTATCGAGGCTTGCTTGCGCTGTGGCGGTCTCCAAGGCGTTACCAGCGCCGTCAACGTCCCGCGCAACGCGCCAGGCGTAACCAGACCCGCCGCGGACTGCCCGTGCAACGCCCATGAGAGACCCTCTGGTTTGAGAGAGTCGGCTTTGACTCGCAGAGAGGAGTAAAGAGTACTAGGTATCGGGGCCAGAAGTATAATTTGAGAATGCTCTTCCATCAAGCAACTGGTTAATAGTACGGATCTTGAAGATCATGGTCCACAATCGAGGTTCTGATTAACCTGCAGTGATTGTGGCGTAGTCTTCAGTACTATCAGCCTTAATGTTTGGAAGCAGAATGCGTGGTGAATTGTAAATATTTCAGCCGAGACTACAGAAAGACCAATGAACAGAGTTTAAGAGACACATTGTTTTGAAGACCACTTGGAGGGATGATATCGCTGTATGAACTGGATTGCTAGGTGCATTGGCGCGTTAGCGTGCAATCGATGGCGTCCTTCGTCTATTGGAGCCTGGATTGTCATCGCAGCGGCGATATTGTCTGTCCCTTTGCCTCTGTGCTGGTTAGCACAGCTACTACATGGTTTCAGTATGACCCTTGCCAGTCCGCTTCATGGCTTGTGCTGTTTGACAGGAGTCTACCATGCAGTAGATATAATACATTTTAAATGAATGTTACATGACTCAGGCCCCTGCGAGTAAGCCTCGAATGATTGGCAGAGAGTCTGGAGCCTCCAGGGTCGAGATAACTGGAAAACCTTGAATCCCTGGCAGCTCCTTATCAGCAGCCTATAAATAACTCCGGGACTCTTGGTTAGTCGCACCTGCATTGAAATCCCCTGTTGTTCCCATCCGTTGCTGCGCCTTTGTTGCCCCTGATCCTTCCCGCAGTCTTGTGCACCTTAAGCCTCGTCCACGTTACTGCCCTAATAGATTCGATCAATCCAACTGCATCCTGCGTTCTGGCGGATCATCAGCTGGGCCCTCAGGTCTCAGTGCACTGCCGAAGCTTCGATTTTACGGTCGCTTTTGAAGAAAGTATCTTGTCAATTCCCCCATCAGTCCTATTCATTGGCTTTGCAACCATTCGAATCGCTCATCTCTACAAGGAAACCCAAGATTGGGGCGCGACCTTTCCAAAGACTGAAGCTGGTTTGTCTCCCAGTATGCGGATTCATCGCATAATTCTGACTAGTGCTGTTGCAGTCTCTGGCTGCAGTCTTTGGCCTGCTTCAGTTGTCACTTCTTGTCATCTATGCCCGACCGCAACGCAGGGATCATCAGCCGTTGGGGGTGGCAGCATTGGCTCTAGGGGTAGCAGATTCCGTCTTTGTCGGTTTACTCTCATACTTGGAACACGAAAGGGCGATCTCCCCGCCCGGCATACTGCTTTCTTATCTTCTCTCGACATTGCTCGATGCTGCTCGTCTGAGAAGTCTCTGGCTGCTGGATGATGGTATGTTGGCTTTGTAGGTGATTGCGTCACTCAATCTAGTCGTCAAAGTCGCGATTCTCTTTGTTGAATCAAGGGGAAAGACTAGATACTTCCTCAACTCAGATGATGCTACACGATCGCCCGGGGAGACGAAAGGACTATTTAGTAATGGGCTGTTCCTGTAAACCAATTCTCTTCTGTGGAGGGGGTTCAAAACGGCTCTTTCCTTGGGCGACCTCCACAATGTTCCCGAGGATTGCGCTGGCGCTGGATTGCACCAAAACTTTGAGGAGGTCTTTCAAAAGAGCCAGGCGAAGAACCATAGGCTTGTCAAAGCTGCGTTGAGGGTCTTTATCTTCAGGTTGTCGCATCCAGCAATGCCGCGACTCTTTCTTCTGGCATTCACCTTGTTGTAACCAATCCTAATGCCCAAGCTTCTTCGCTGGCTAGAGCAGACATCATATCGCGACGTCAATATAGGTTATGGCTTATTGGGAGCCTACGCCATTGTGTACATGGGTTAAGCTATTGCTACTGGTGCGTATTGGCGTCTTCAGCTCCGTTTCATTACGACTCTGCGCGGAACTCTGATCTCAGCACTTTATCGGAAAGCCCTCCAACTCAGTGATGTGGAAGCGAGGAAGGCGACCGTGGCTCTGATGAGCACCGATGTGGAGATGGCATGCACGGGATTGGAGCAGCTCCACGAGGTGTATTTCAGTCTGTTGCAGATCGGCATCGCAACCTGGCTGTTGGAGTGGCAAGTCGGGGCGGCGTGCGTCTCGCCCGCTATCGTGGCAGCAATTTGCGCCATTGCTACATACAAATTGTCCCAGCACGTAGGCCAAAGCCAGAGAGCATGGCTGGAGAGCGTACAGCAACTGCTGAGTTCCCGAACAGTCGGTTCTGCCTCGTCGAATCATCGCTAATGTTTTCCCGGATCCTCGATAGATGCTACCACGTCGGTACTTTTGAATATGAAAACTGTGAGACTATCCAGTTTCGCAAAGGACCTCTCCCAGAGACTTTCCGATCTCCGTGCACTCTGCTTCGAAATACCGTACAATTTTTGTGTGGGTTATGGGCTTGGGTAGGTTTGGACTACCATGCCACAATGCTATGAGCTGACCATGCGTTCCGCAGCGTACGCTCCTTCGGCGATATCCCCCGTGGTGACTTTGGCCATCTACGCTGCCATTAGATCCAGCACCTGGGCTTCATCCAGTGCGTCTCATATCTACACTGCCATCTCTCTCCTAGGTTTGATTTCATCTCCCTTGGTGGCTGTGTTCCAACTGGTCCCTATGGTTGTAGCGGCGTTGAGCTGCTTAGACCGAATTGAAGGGTTCCTCGCGAGTCCAACCCACGCGGACTACCGCATATCACCCAGCACAACAGGAACTCATGTTGAGTCTGAAAAGCAGGCCATGGAGTCAGTCAGACCTTCATCAGATCAGAAGTCCGGGGGTGGGTCTCGATTTGCGTTGACCATCCGTAACGCAACTTTCTCTTACCCCGGATCATCTTCTGTCGTGCTTCAAGATATCACGGTCAATATTCCACTGTCGCAGCTCACACTTATCTTGGGACCGGTAGGCAGTGAAAAGTCTGCGTTTCTTCGAGCTATGCTTGGAGAAATGGACCTACTCATAGGCAGCGTGGAAAAGGACATCCGGGGTTGTGCGTATTGCGACCAATCGCCTTGGCTTCTGAACAGTTCTATCCGAGAGAAAATCGTTGGCCTCAACCAAAAAAATTGATATTGGGCTCTACAGGAAAGTGCTGTGGGCTTGTGAGTTGGACTAGGATCTCGACGAGAGCATTGAAGGGGACCACACAGAGGTCGGAAGCAATGGTGTCACGCTGAGTGGTGGACAGAAGCAGAGACTTGTAAGTAGCCGCCCTGCGTTTGACTTCTAGGGAGGTGTATTCTCTGACAATTCTTTCTACAGGTGATGGCCAGAGCCGTATATGCGCGAAAAGAGCTTTTTGTTCTAGACGATAGTTTCAGTGCGCTTGATCCCCAGACAGAAGGGAAGGTTGCACAGCGACTTCTCGGACCCCAAGGCATGATGCGAGAGAACGGACAGACTGTGGTTGTTGCTTCCAGCGGAGGTAAGCGAAAGGTGAAAAGCTTTGAATCAAGAGTTGACATATTGCTGCTTTAGAAAGGCTATTGCCGTACGCCGATCTGGTTATCCTTCTCGGCATAAATGGCAGAATCCGAGCCCAAGGCTCGCCGAGAGAACTGGCATCATATCTCAATATTCCATCCAAGGGCAACAACATGTAAGAGGATGATACCTATACCACCTAACAAGGACCTTCGTCGGTCCCGAATGCATCATCCGATGGGACAGTCAAACAGACTGAGACAAAGGACAATAGACCTGACCACCGGAAGGTTTCAGTCTATGGTTCCTATTTCCGGTCCATGGGCTTCTGGCGAGGCACAGGATTATGGGCCCTTTTGATTTTCCAGACATTCTTCTCCAAGTTTCCCAGTAGGTCAGACCTCAATAGACCTCAAGAAAACGGGTTCACAGATAGTTGCAGCTCTTTGGCTACAGTGGTGGTTAGATAAAAGCCCCTTGAGCATGGCGTCTTCGTACGCGAAGTACATCGGGGTCTACAGTTTCTTCCAGGTTGTATCTATGATATTCACCCTTCTTGCCGCCTTGTAGGCATGCAATATCTTGCGTCGGGTAGGCTCAAGACTGACCCAGAATCCAGCCAGCAACTGCGCATCGTCATGCCAAGAACGAGTCGCTATTTTCATGGTCGTCTCTTAAAAGCTGCCATGGGGTGAGTGCTAAGACCTGGAACAGGGTCCTTGGTACTGATGTCTTCAGAATCCCAATGTCCGCTTTCAGCACGATTGAAGTCGGTTCAGTTGTTAACAAGTGAGCTATTTGTCCGATTCCAGTGGCCTTGTTTGGAATGAAACTGACGTCTAGCAGGTTCAGCCAAGACTTGCAATTGATTGACTGGAACTTACCCGTCACGTTTCTGAATGCCTCGGAAGGTGATCATATCGTCTCGACCTGCAATGGCTTTAGCTTCTAACTTGTGGGACAGGTGCTCTCGCGACCTTGGCACAGGTCATTATTATCGCAAGGTGCGTGATGTCGCTGGGTTATTTGTTTTGGTATTGATAGCTGTCGCAGCTCCTTTCCCTACGTATTTGCCGCATTCCCAGTCCTCCTGGCCATCGTACTCGCGATTTAGAGGTTCTATCTTCGGACTTCAAAGCAAGTCCGCGCTATGGACATCGAAGCGAAAAGCCCTCTGCTATAAGTCCCCAAGCACAGGTTGTCCATGAGGTTCAATTATGTGTAACATTGATGTCCGTCTATTTCAGAACTCACTTTCTGGAGACGATCAGCGGCCTATGTACGATCCGTGCATTCGGATGGCAGCATAGCAGCCAAAGAAGTCACGAGGCACTGCTTCAAGCAGCACAGAGGCCCTATTACCAGCGATTTATGGTCCAGAGATGGCTGAACCTTGTGCTCGATATGGTCGCTGCCGGAGTCGCTATTCTAGTAGTCGGGCTGGCCATCCGACTGCAAACTCGGTCGACGCTGGTCGGACTCGCACTGGTCAATGTCATATCTCTGAACGAGACTCTGCAATCGCTGATTCTTCAATGGGCGGTGATGGAGATTTCGCTGGGGTCGATCAGTCGGTTAGAAGAGTTTACCATTCAAGCTAGAGCTGATCGGGGTTCCGAGCAGCAAGGCCACCCCGCTGCTCCGGAGTTCGGGGGTCTGTGGCCCTCGCATGGATCAATTGAATACAAGAGTGTGACTGCCCGGTACCAGGAGAATAGCTTTGATGTGCTCAAGAATATTTCTTTGTCCATCCCCGCAGGCTCCAAAGTGGGAGTCTGTGGTCGAACCGGCAGCGGAAAGAGCACCTTCATCTCTGGCCTGTTCCAGATGATCACCCTCACCTCTGGATCTATCTTCATTGACGGTGTTGACATTGCAACTCTGGACCCCGAAATTGTCCGATCGCATCTGATTGGAATCTCCCAGCACAGTTACATCATGCCGGGAGTTTCCGTTCGGGACAATTTGACGCTGGGATGTGTCGGGCCATCGGAGGATTCTCAACTCATCGCAGCCCTGCAAAAGGTCAATCTCTGGGACCTGGTCTCAGCACGAGGAGGTCTCTCGGCTTTCTTGGACAACGAGACCTTGTCCGCCGGACAGAGTCAGCTTTTCTCGTGTGCACGAGCCCTGCTGCGGTCTGGGTCGGTAGTGGTGTTGGACGAGCCAGCCAGCAGCCTCACAGCTGAGACGGCGGATCTGATCCAAAGGGTCGTTTTGGAAAAGTTCAAGCAGCGGACGGTGATTGTTGTGATGCACTAGATAGAGAGGCTGCTGGATTTCGATGTGGTGGTTGTGATGGAGGATGGTCGGGTGGTAAAGATAGGCTAGCCTCGAGAATTGCAGAAGGGAGATGGTCCCTTTCGAACATTGCTAGACGCGGGTCGATAGCGTTCATAAGTGAAGTTTGCCTTTGTTGTAATGTTGACGTGGATGCCAAAGTGTCAGCACAGCCTGTTGATGGTTCTTTTCTTTCTGTTGCTCTTGCCCAGTATACGCGTCCTGCCTCATCATCTTCAGAATCCGTCCGACCGTCGTCATTTATATAAGTCAATAGAGCAATGCGATCCTTTCCAATCGAGCTTAAGCGGTAGGATACCTCAGTGGTGACTTAAAGTAGTCTCGATTAAGGCAGGGAAGCAACAACCTCGGCATCTCCTCTCGTGCGAGTGCGGGGAGAATTGCGGGGAGAAGGAAGGAAGGCGGAGAAGGGTGGAAATACAGCATCCATGCAAGGGGTCGGTCGGTCTCTGTTTTGTTTCTCCCTCCACTTCTCCTTCCTCCGTCATCTTCATCTTCATCTTCATCTTCATCTTCATCTTCATCTTCATCTTCATCTTCATCTTCATCTTCATCTTCATCTTCATCTTCGTCCCTTCATCAATCTCTCTTCCTTATCGAGATTCTGGTGATTTCATCACGAATCATCTCGCCATGTCCTCCCCGTCCATCCCTCGCAAGCTCTGGGAGCATGCCGACCCCGAATCATCCAGCATAGCTCACTTCCGGCGAGCCTGGGAGCAGGAGCTGGGCGTGTCAATGCCAGTGGGTTCGTTCCTCAGCTCCGCATAGATTGACCCGCTAATTCCGCTAGACCTTCCACGATCTCTACCACCAGTCCATCGCGAGGCGCGCTACATTCTGGGACTTCTGCTGGCGATACTTCAACGTCCTGCACCAAGGCACCTACACCTCCGTCGTCGACGAGAACGCTCCGATCGACGCAGTCCCACAATGGTTTGACGGCGTTCAGCTCAACTACGCGGAAAATATCCTCTTCTCCGGCCACGGGACAAAGGCAAGCACGGCCGGGAAGGAGGATGACAAGGTCGCCGTCACTGAGGTGCGCGAGGGGGGTCACAAGGAGGCCAGGCATCTCACGTGGGGGGAGCTGCGCAAGTCCACCGGTCGCTTAGTGCAGGCGATGAAGGCGCACGGAATCCAAAAAGGCGACCGTGTCGCGGTCTGTGCCGGCAACAGCATCGACACGCTGCTCGTCTTTCTGGCCACCACGGCACTGGGTGGGATCTTCTCCTCCAGTTCCACGGACATGGGCGTCAAGGGGATTCTCGATCGGCTGCGACAGATCAAGCCCCGGTGGCTGTTTATGGACGACCAGGCATTCTACAACGGCAAGACCATCGATCTCCGACCGAAGATGCGGGAGATCATAGCCGGGATGGACGGTATCGCCGAGTTCAAAGGCATCGTGGCGCAGCCCAGATTCGCTGCGCAACCCGCAAATGTCAGCCACCTACCGCGGACACTCCCGTTGAAGGTCTGGGAGGCTCTTGCGATCAGCGTCACCCTTGTTTTTGAGCAGGTCGAATTTGGAGACCCTTTCCTCATCGTGTACTCGTCCGGCACCACGGGCCAGCCGAAATGCATCATGCACTCCGTCGGTGGAGTCATGCTCAACGCATTCAAGGAGCTTTATCTGCACAGTGAGATGAACTCGGACAGTGTGAATCTGCAGTATACCACAACCGGGTGGATCATGTATCTCTCGGTCATCAACAGTCTGCTCGTCGGGGCGCGGGCGGTTCTCTATGACGGCAGCCCTTTCCTCCCGGAAGTGGCATCTTTGATCAAGTTGGCGGCACAGGAACGGTGAGACACCCATCTTCGACGGCGTCAATCCATCCAAGGCAAGATATTGATCAGTGCATAGATTGACACACTTGGGAATCTCCCCGCGATACCTCCTCGAACTGCAACGAGCCCACGTCCAGCCCCGCGACCTAGTCGACATTTCATCCCTAAAGGTCGTCACCAGCACCGGCATGGTCCTTCCAGAAAGCCTGTTCGAGTGGTTCTACGACACGGGATTTCCGCGTCATGTGCGACTCAACAACATTTCCGGTGGCACCGACATTGCCGGATGCTTCGGGATTTCAAACCCCTTACTGCCAGTCTACTCTGGAGGCTGTGCCGGCATGAGCCTTGGTGTTGCAGTGGAGGTCTACGACTCATCTATCGAAGGGGAGGGCGTCAAAGGTTCTTCGGTGCCACACGGTACACCCGGGGATCTGGTCGCGACTGCCGCGTTCCCGAATGTCCCTGTGGGATTCTGGGGGGCGGGGGGTGCCGAGAAGTTCCACAATGCGTACTTCAATCGGTTCAAAGGTAATGCATTCCCGAACTCAAACTACACTGAAGGTCCGTGAGCTGATACCTTGGACAGGAGTGTGGACCCACGGTGATTTCGTGTCTATCCACCCCGTGACACAACAGCTGCTCTTTCACGGTCGCGCAGACGGGGTCCTGAACCCGTCCGGCGTCCGATTCGGATCGGCGGAGATCTACCAAGTCATTGAAGACGAGTTTGCCACCGAGGTTGTCGACTCTATCTGCGTGGGCCAACGGCGACCGTCAGATACCGACGAAAGAGTGATCCTGTTCCTCCTCATGAAGCCCAAGGTGTCGTTCAGCCCCGATCTCGTCCAGCGGATTAAGACGACGATTCGTCGCAAACTGAGTCCCCGCCATGTGCCGGCGTTCATTTTTCCGACCCCTGAAATTCCGGTACGTATTCGTCCCGTCCCACGCTTTGGGGTCACATCAGTACTAATTTGATGGACTAGACAACGGTGAATGGGAAGAAGGTCGAGCTTCCCGTCAAACAGATCGTCTCGGGGAGAATCATCAAGCCTTCCGGTACACTACTCAATCCTCAGAGTTTAGAGTACTATTACAGATTCGCCAAAGATGAGGCGCTGGAGTCGCGAAGCAGCAAGCTCTGAGAGTGTGTTTTACCTGGATAAAGAATGTCTGTGATGATCGAGAATCAATACATTAGAAACTGAACCTGATCCGTAGGGAACTAGTCTAATTACAGAATGAGTGCAGCGATGAACACAGCCACTGCTCCGAGAATGAAAGAAGGAGCGCGACCCGCCACCGCACCGCCAGTAAACAGCACGTCCACAGCACTGGATGTAGAACTGCCGAATCCGGTACCTGTGGACATTGAAGCAGCCAAGGTAGCGGTCGAAGCAGATGAGGCCGCATATACGGCGCTGGAGCTGCCAACCGGACGAGATGCGGTCTGCATTGCAGCATATGTTTGGTTGTTCCCCATGCCATAACCGGGGCGAACCGTCTCAGCGCTAGGAGCAACGGCGACCGCAGTGCCGACAGCAACGAGGGTGTACGTCTTTGTCGTCGTGCCAGTAGCAGAACAGGGCAGCTCGCCGTCCGGGCATCTTTCCACCGTCGATGCTGCATTGCCGTTGCCTGCTGATGAGCCCGAGAGTCCTGTAGCCACGGGCAGTCTGGTGCCCTCTCCCAGAACGTTGATCGCATCAGCACCCTCCGGAACGGAGTTCGAAGTACCAAAACTGGTAGGCGTGGCATACACCGGAACCACGAGTGTCTCAGTGGTGAGGTACGTGGTCTGTGCTGCAGCATCGCATCTCACTTGCCCCGAAGGACACGCGGTGATAGTGGCAATGCGCGTGCTGAGAGTCGTGGAGGCTGTGACAGCTCCCTGGGATAGATCGAGTGCAGTGGCCGTCGACTCCGCCGGGTGAGAGTCGGCGAATTGGCCGACTGAGCCACGACTCGTAGCCTCTGCGATGGGGCAGATGGTCGTGGATACCACGAGGGTCTCGGTGGTCAGGTACGTGGTCTTGGCACGGGCTGGACAGTTCGTTACAGAGCTGGGACAGGCGGTGATGGTCGCGGTGCGAGTGCTGAAGATCGTCGAGGTGGTATAGCCTTCTCCGACTTGGGCAGACGAGCCACTTGCGCTGTGACTGTCGTGGGTGACCGTGGTAGCTGCCTTACCGGAAGCAGTTGGGATTGTGGCTTCGCCGGTGAGGGTCACAGGACAGATGGTCGTCGAAACCACAATCGTCTCGGTGGTTAGGAAAGTGGTCTTGGAGCGAGCTGGACAATCGGTCACCGAGCCGGGGCAGGCCGTTACGGTGGATGTTCGGGTGCCGAAGATGGTCGAGGTGGTATAGCCTTCTCCGACTTGAGCAGACGGTTCACTTGCGCTGTCACTGTCGTGGTTGGCAGTGGTAGTGGTATCCTTGCCGGTACCAGTTGGGATAGTGGCCTCGCCGGTGAGTGTCAGGGGACAGATTGTCGTTGATACCACGAGGGTCTCAGTGGTCAAGTACGTGGTCTTGGAGCGAGCGGGACAATTTGTTACAGAGCTGGGACAGGCCGTTATGGTCGCGGTGCGAGTGCTGAAGATGGTGGAGGTGGTGAACCCCTGCTCCTCACCAGGACTTCCACCGTGAGCTGCGCTCGCTCCTGCATTGCTCCCGGTAGGTTGAGGAGTGCTCGTCTCCGTGACTGGGCACACGGTCGTCGACACCACAATAGTCTCGGTGGTCAGGAAGGTAGTGCGGGACTGGGCGGGACAGTTGGTCACCGAGCTAGGGCAAGCCGTGATGGTCGCCGTCCGGGTGGTCAGTACCGTCGAGGTCGTGAAGTCGACCCCGCTGGATGTAGGAGCCTGTTCCGTGCTGGATGCTACGGTTCCAGTGGCAAGGGAGGTTTGTATTGTGCCTGCAGACAGCGAGCATACCGTGGTACTGGAGGTGATTGTCTCGGTAACTGAGATGGTCGTGGTTCGGCGGGTGGGCCGGCCAGAGCCGACAGCTGAGCTTGAGGAGATCGAAATCCCGCCGAGCGAGCTGCTGGGCCTTATTATGGGAGTGCTTGAAGAAGCATGCGGTGGAATTGATGAGCTGTGGGCGATGGAGGATGCGACCGACGAGAGCGAAGGAATGACAAGCGCCGTAGACGAGCTAGGACGCGATGATGCAGATGGAATGACGGCTCTCGAGCTCGAAGTTAATGAGTGGATTGGTGAGGGTACGCTAGACGGCGCGACAGAAGCAGATGAAACCCTCACACTGGAGCTAACGGCAGACGGTGAAGTCGAAAGGGACGAAGCGGACGGCGAGGGAATGGCCATCGATACTGCAGCAGAAGTAGAGACACGAGCGCTCGACGCGCTTTGGCTCGGAAGGACCACCGACGAAGGAGTAGCAGTGGTCGTCGGGGAGGGTGTCGGTGTGCTGGAGATTGTCACCGTATACGTCGTGGTATACTCGGTAGTGATATACTCGGTCGAATACGCGGTCTCCAAGGACGCAGTCACGGTGCCCACACAAGGGTTGGTGGTATGCCACGTTACCGCCTGATAGCCGGCGCCAGAGCCGAGGGTCTGGCTGGCGGCCGCCGAGATGAAGTAACAGGTTCTCAACGCCGGGTCATAGTTGATCGCATTACACACGTTCGGCACCATGCCGCAGACTTGCACGCATTGATTGATATTATTGACGTACTGACCCATCGCTGACAGCTGCGTTGCGGTAGAGCCTCCGACGACAGAGGCATCCGTGCAGTACTCTTCATACCATGTTCCTGACCGCCACCAGATGTAGTTCGAACACTGGGCCGAAGACGGAGGGGTGGTTGTTGCGGGAGTGCAGGTGGCAGCAGTGGATAGGACCGTGGATGTGCTTGTCACCACGTTGGTGAGGGTGGTGGTGTAAGAAGAGGTGAGCGTCGCAACAGTCTCACCTCCCACACTCGCTCCAGGTCGGGCGATGGTCAGGGCTAGACTGCTCGGGGCCAGTGCTGACAGCAGCAGCAAGCCATTGGCAAATGAGAGGCCCATCATGGGCAACGAGTGACTATTCCTCGTGGGAATTGAGAGAATGACAACGAGGGAATGCTTGCAAGAATGAGGGTGAGTTCAGATCAGAACTGAAGAGAAATGAAAAGAGCAATCGGGGAGCAGATCCAGGGGCCTGGGTAGATTTCTGCTTGTGTGGGGAGGCCATCGTGTCTTGAAAGACTTGAGACTCCACCCCGTCCAATCCTGCTTGGATGGCAAGTTCGTATAGACCCTTCTTCTCAGGAACTGGTGGAGCTATCCCGAGTCTAGTGAGAAAAAGTTACTCAGTCGAGCTAGAGCCATAATGTGGCGTGGGCTAGAGACTCGAGCTGAAGGCAAGTAGGGCAAATTATGCCGACCAGACCGATTCAAGTCTTGGCGCGATGCCAAACAGCACAATCTCTTGGGATTGATAGGGGCTCCAGTCTGTACTGTTTTGATGAAGCTCAGGGACGGGTGTTATGGAACGACATCTTAATTGCTTAGTGGTTGAACTCGGAACTCGCTACGTTCTCTACCTGAACAATACGCCTGGTGAATCACGTGACCTGGTTGACTTAGGGACGCCGACGCCTTCCCTGTGTCTAGTAAAAGGTTCTACAATCCCCGAGTCAAGACCTTGATTGGTTTGTCAGAGTGAGTGGAGCACTGTAATTTAATCAAGTGTTGATCTACTCGATAAATGTATGATAGGAAATGTCCGTAATTTTTTCTTGTTTATCCGGATACATTTATCGCCCTGTATAAAACAAAGAAGAAGCAGGAGGCGAAGGCCTGTCCCATCTCCGTGTTTAAAACACGTATCTTAAGGCAGATTCTCCCGAAGGGGGAATCGGTCATTGCGTGGTGCTCTGTTTGAGAAGGTGAAAAGAAGGGGGGTCTGGGGGTTCCCCCCCAGGATGCTGCTGCAACTGCCGCGAAGGATGAATACAAGGCCGCATTGTAGTGAAATCAAACAGCCTTCGACTCTAACCCATCACCAGCCCCAGTCGAAACCCCCCATTGCACATCCCCATACCCGTTTGCAGCCATATAATCCTTCCACTCCTGATCCCCATTATCCAGCTCCGCACTGGAATCCACGAGCACAAACCATGCGAGCAAGGCCCCAACCACCGCGAATCCCGACCCAATGAGGAACACTGCCTGGGTCCCATGGAATTCATCACCGCCCCAACTGGCCAGGATGGGCTTGAATACCTGCGTTCCGATGGCTGCGCCGGCCTTACTCCACGCAGCGGCAAATCCGACTCCATGTCCGCGCAAGGCCGTGGGAAAGCTCTCGCTGGCAGTCAGCACAATCGTGGAGCCTGGTCCAACCTCCCCGAGCGTGAGGAAGACCCCGTACAGTACAATGAAAAGAGGGAGGGAGCGCTCGATGTACTTCAATGCGCCACCCAGGATGAAACCCAGGATAGCTTGGAGGAGGAAGCCTAGCGCCATCGTCTTGCGGCGACCAATTCTGTCCGACAGGAACCCGCCGATGAAGGCCCCCGGGATGTAGAAGCAGTTGATCAGCGTTCCCCAGGCCATTGTCAGGGCTAATGACGAGGTTGGGTTCACGCGACCGACGATAGTGGACGAAAACAGACCAAAGGGGTAAGAGATGTAGTTGTACCTGTCGTGGTTGTCACCGTAAGCATGTGTGCATGGGAGGACGGGTCTCAGGGATTAGGGCGACTCACAAGAACCACGACCCACACACCCCCAGCAACGGTCGCCAGTACTTCCTCAGCGCAAGTGTGTAAGGTATCCTTTGCTCAACCATGGCGCTTTTCCTGTATGCTGAGCTGACCGCCATGCGATAGCGAAACCAGAAGATCGACAGCGGGGGAATGGCACCCAGTGCCAGGGAGATGCGCCACACCGCGTTGTAGTGTCGCACCTGCTGATGGAAACAGAGCAACAGGAGCAACGGGACCAGTGCTCCGAAGGCGAAGCCCAATGATGCGGATAAGTCGGCGATCATGGCGAAGATGAAGCCCCGCTTGCTTCGAACGGCGGACTCCTCGTCGGTTGCCTCTGCGGCGCCGGCACCAGCCACGGGGTATTCCCTATTCACTGCATGTTAGGTTTATGTTGACCAATATTATATTTGAATGGCAGGAAGACTCACCCTCCAGCACCTACCCCCGCAATTCCCCGAGCAATGATCAACATCCACAGCATACCGTCTTGACTCGTCCCACTGGCCCCGGCACTCAAGGCGATGCCCAAGAGCAGAATGGCAGTTGTCAGAACAGCGCCGGTCTTGCGGCCCAGCTTGTCGGAGATATAGCCAAATGACAGCATACCAATGATCATCCCGACCATGAAAGCATTGGATAAGCGGGACGCCACGGCCGTGGTCAAAGCGTGGGGGTATATGACCGCCATGATGAGTTCGAGGTTGCCGATGATCGATGCGTTGAAACCATCGGAGCCAATGGCCAGTCCGGAGAAGATCACCATCAGGACCACCGAGAGTTTCGATGCTTTGGGGCGCACAGCCACCTCTTGTGGGGCAGGGACATCATGGATGATTGCGCGAACTTTCTCCTTTGTATCGTGCTTGGTTTGGCGCGGCGAAGGGCGAACCTCTTCGGATAGTGTAGGAGTGTCCATGGCTGTCAGTCGGGGGTTCAACAGCTGTGGGAGAGCTACCATGGGTCTGTATTTATGCCTCCATCGCGGCCGTGCCGTGCCTTGGCCGGCAACAGATAAGGAAGACGGTTTGGAAAGGCCGGCATGATGGTCGAGCATTGTGACCAACCACTCTGCAGGCTGATAAGACCCGAGGCTATAGGACGGGATTTTCCCCGCACGAGAGGACGCGGCTAAGAGTGGCGGCCAGCACTAACTTGGTGATGCGTGAGGGGAAACTGCGATGATAAGATACGCTGACAAGATAAGGGGCACTGCAAATGCAGAGCAGACAACATGCCACCTTTGTTTGCAGGCAACTGCCATGGATTGAGTCCATGCTTTCGATCTCATCTCGTGGTAGCTCATTGTTCATGTACCAGGCCGAGATATCGCACATCAGTGGTTACCTTCTTTATTTTAGTCTCCTCAGTGCATAACTGGTCGACACCCGTCCGTAAAGGTTTGAAGTTGCATGCAAAACACGACGGTTCATCGTTCATGGTACGATGGGAATAGCTCTTCAGAAGAGACTAATATCATGGCATCTAGCTCTCAATGTCTGCTTGTCGAATAGTACTTGTATCAGACCAGCGTGACAACGTACGTCGCACCGATCTGCGTCTTGAGCGGACCCGTATACCCATGCCCGTTAACCGCAACCGAGGACCCATTCATACATCGCAGTTGCAACTGCCCACCCGCACGCGAGGTAATATTCGCATGAACCAGCTTCCCCGCCTCCCACTCTATGTCAACTACAAAACTGCCCCGAGCCACCAAGCCCCTCACTGACCCCTGAGGTAAGGCCGAGGGTAAGGCCGGCAGCAGATGAGTGATCCCAGTATGGCTCTGCAGGAGCATCTCCGTGACGCCACTCACGAACCCGAAGTTTCCATCGATCTGGAACTGGTACGGGCCGACCGGGCCTTCATTGGTGTTGTACAAGTTATAGGGGGTGGGGTATACCGCAAACCATTGGGTCAATTGCTCCCACGCATCATCGCCACGGAATAGCCGGGCATACTGGTTGATCAGCCAGGTCCGAGACCAGCCGGTTGTCCCAGACCCATGGGAAACACGTCGGTCCAGGAGCACTTCGGCCCCAGTCCCAAGAGTGCTGTTCAGCAGCGGGCTGAATTGCCGACCGGGCATCAGAGCCCATAACGGTGAAAGGTGCTTCTGCCCGATGGCCTTTTCCTTGTACTCCTTGCGCCATTCCAGAATCTGGCCTAGCGAGCCGATCAACGGGGGCTGAATCAGGGGCAAAAATGCTTTGGCCGCCTGCACGGCAGTGTCGTTAATTTTTAAGATCGAGGCTGCGTCTATGAGGCTGCGAAACAACTCGGTCATTAGCTGGTTGTCCATGGCGGGGGCTATGTCGACGCTCTGCGCCGCCCCGGCGACAGTCTCATCAGCGGGAACATAGAAGTTGTTCTCTGGCGATAAAGACGGTCCCGTGACATGGTAACCCTGGTAGGGAAAGGTGTAGCACTCGTAGAACGCGGCGACATTGGTGAAGAACGGATATGCCACTTCGCGGAGAAATGTTGTATCCCCGGAGAAGTGATAGTGGTCCATCATGTGCCACGCCAGCCACGCAGCCCCCATCGGCCACATGGTGGACGCAGTGTAGTTGTCCGTTGGCGCAGGGTCTCCCCACAGGTCCAGGTTGTGATGGAAAACGGTGCCAGGACAGCCATACATGCGTTTAGCCAATGACTGTCCACGAACATCTGCAGCTGCCATCAGATCAAACAAAGGTTTCTGTGTTTCGATCAAATTGGTCGGTCCGGCGGGCCAATAGTTCATCTCAATGTTGATGTTGATGGTGTATTTGCCTCCCCACGGAGGTGATGTGGAGTTATTCCAGATACCCTGTAGGTTCGCCGGGAGTGATGTCCCAATACCTGTATTGCGAGACGAAGCTACCAGAAGGTGTCGACCAAAGTTGAACACTAGCACAGTGAGTTGTACGTCGGCAGAGGTATTACGGGCAATTCCGACGCGCTGGTCGGTTGGAAGTCTCGCCCACCCGTTCGGCGATGTGCCCAGGTCGAGTGTCACTCGATCCAAGAGAGATTCGGTGTCAGCAACAGCTGCTGCTTTCACAGCGTCATAACCAAGCAGGTAAGCATTATTTATCTTTTCGCGCATCTCCTGCTCTCGCGCATCTCGGGATGCGTATCTGAAGTTGGTTTCGACGTCGAAATACATCTCTATGGTCGTTGCATTGTGTATGAGGAGAGACGAACCGGACACAGTGAACGTGCCTGGAAATGTCAGCAGGGTTATGTGCCTGCAAGAATGAACATACCTGTATCGGACTTGAAACGAGCTTGGCCCGTCCATTCAATTGGATGATCACTCTCTGATTGTCCACTGGTGCCGACTAAAGTGAGGGTATTGTTATTGATGGCCACATTGGCCGAAAGCGATTTGATGTCCTTGATCCGGGTCATTGTGGCGTTGATGTTCAGGGCTCCTCGCCTGCTGGCTTTAAATCGTGCCACGAGAACACCTTGCGGGTAGCTGGCCACATACTCTCGGCTACCAAGTCAGGTATCAGCGACAAGTTGCGTCAATCTAACTTGCGTGAAAAAGCTTACGTATAATTCACTCCCTTGATGCCGTAGCTTACCCCAGCAATTCCCTCCTTCGTGTCAAGCCATCGGACATAATCTGACATGTCCCCATCAGGGTGGCCGAAGTCCAGATTGATATTGCCGAAGTAGCTGTAGGCGCGCGGCGAGTTGTTGGTCGGGATCATCTGGGCCATGGTCAAGACGTTGCCTTGAGTGATGCTGCCATTCAGCAGTAGCTCCCGAACAATAGGCTCGGTCTCCGTCGCATTGAGTGGTGTCCGATCTTGAAAGGGCCCCGTCCAAATGGAATTCTCATTGATGCCCACGACCTCTGCCCCGCCACCATAAACAGTCGCACCGATTCGACCATTGCCTATTGGCATTCCTTCTTCAAAGATAGGCCATCGACCAGGTTTTGTGAACCACATGTATCTGCTGCCATCGAGAGCAGCACTCACATGAGCGGAGAGAAGCGAAAGAAGTAAGAGTGCTCGACAGGGCATGATTTGTACTCTTGTCGATCAAGGATTAAGTGTAAGCGCTGAGGCCATCGCACCGGCTTTCGAAACATGCAATCGACCTTCTAAATACCATGAAGATGCGCTCATAGTCTCACAGCTAGCCTGGAAAAAAAAGCCGAGTTGCGGTAGGTGGACTAACGTAACCCCGCAAAAACTCCTGGAGATTAGACATACTGAGACATCTGCAGGGTTCATGCGATTTAGGCTGATTCGGGATAACTCCATCCGGTGCGATCGTCGGCGGGGGCGTCTCCTGATGCACAGATACAATCAAATTCGCCTGAGGGCTCGGAACATGTTGTCCCTGCAGCGCCTGCCCGATCAATTTGCTGCCATACCCAGCCCACGTTTGCTCATGCTGCGGTGATTGTGCGCTCAGGGGTGGTGTTGATGGTGTCACGTGATTGCCATCGCAGCTCGCTCAGAAAAGCATGAACGGCCCAATCTCGCCCTCATTCTCCCGAGCATACTTAATCCATTGCCCCATACCCCAGTAATCCGGTCGAGCCCAGAGGGCAAGTAAGAACTGCAGTACTGTGTGGTTACACCATGCTCCGGTCGCGGCGATTAGTTCTATGAATGCCTTCTGGACCACGCTCTGTCTGTGCGCATCGCCCCAGCATTCGGTACCCACGATGAACAGGGGGAAGAACAGTACATGCGAGAATACATGCGAAGAGTCTTTCACGAGGCCTTGGAGGTCTTGGAACAGTATGGACAGATGGAGATCGATGGCCCGCTCTGCGTGTCTGCGAGGCGCCAGGGCTTGTTCCACATAGATCAGAATAGCATAGTAGTGAGCTTTTACCATGGCATTGAAGTGGATGCGAGTGGCTTCATCATGCCGTGAAGCCGAAGCCGCTGTGACACAGACCTGCTTGTACGCTTGTTCCACTCTTTCTCGCCAGATACCCATCTCGTGCTCCTCCAGCCCATACCCCTCTCCATGGAGTTCATAGGTGGAACGCTCCACTGCGGTGATTTCACTAATAAGAATGGTGAAAGCCCAGAGACGGTCTTCGGGACTTGACTGCAAGGGGCACTTGGTTCTGGGCTGCTGCTTCGAGAACGACACGAGATTCTTGAAGATTTCGAAGTCTTCCACCTCCTTGACAACAAATCTCGACAAGGCATCGTTGGACTGACGGCCACTGTTTCGCGACTGGTTCCATTCGATCATCGCACGGCACGCTTGCAAGTGCACATTCCAATTTGTGGACTCTGGTATCAGCATCTCTTCGTAGCAGAGAGCGACTGCTGTGGCAAGGATGATCGTGAGGGCGGAACTTCCGCCACCTCCGGCCAAGGTATCCTTCCGAGGGCGTTGACTGACTTCGCGACTGATGGCTTGATTCAGAGCCTGGAGAGTGCCGTTTCTGAGAACCGGATAGGCTCTCTGCGCAACAATTGCCTGTGCGCTGCCAGGAGCGGATGTGACTGACAAATGAGCGGCCGCAAGGCTGAGGAGCGACAGTCGGAGAGAGACAGAGCGACCAGTGAGTGGAAGAATGGCTTTTCTCCATGGGTTATCCACACTATCCAGCCAAGTCAGACGGGGAACCACGATGACGTGAAAGTAGTGGAGCAGTTTGTCCGAGAAGGCCGTCGACGAGTGGTGCTGCACGAGATTATAATCACTGGTGGGAGATGGCGTGCGCCAGAGAGCATCTTGTGATGGGGTCGCATCGGCCTCGGGGTGGGTTGCGACCGCCAGCTCGGTCGACGCCTGAACCACCTCTTTTGATAACCTTTCCGTTGTTGTGCTGGTGTCTCGAGTCGAACTAGGCTTCAGGGTGATCGTCTGAGTCCATTTCAGCTGAAAGGCATCGAATCCGGGACAGGAAAGATTGCGGGAGGTGCATTTGTGACAGTGAGGCAGAGTGCGGTCGCATTGGATGCGCCGCTTGGTGCAAAGGCGACAGTCTGCGGCATCGTGGTCGCGTCAGGACTGGCACGATCAAGGAAGCAGAAATACTCACCTTTGGTTGCGAGTGAGCGATCTAAGGGAAGGGAGGTGATGCGAACGTTTTTCATTTCGCCAGGACGTGGCCTCTGCAGTGGTCTGCAAGGAGTGGAGGAGGAACACAACAGGAACGGAGGAACAACAATCGGCGATAAGCAGACGCCGCGGGCCCCCGCACCAACGGCCAAAAGGGGAATGGTGCCTCCTTTACCAACTGTGCCTGGGGCATTCAGGCAGAAAGCAATTACTCCCGAGTCCCTAGTACAGTACCAAGTACCATTCCACAACCACCTCTCCATATTACTACTGTACTCATCCTAAAGTAATTATTACCAGCACCGAAAATACTATTCTCCTAGTTCGTCTTCCTCTTCTTACCAAAATAGCGTGACGTGTCTCCCAGAGGCAGATCCACAATCGAGTCCTGCAACAGTAGATGCAACACAATATACCACCCTACTAACCCCGCCACAAAGCACGACGCCCCTCCGGTCTTCTTCAGCGCAATTGAAGCTGCATGGTGTCCGTCCGCCTCGGCAAAGTAGCTGGCAGCCACGGTCAAGAACCCCAGGTCCACCAGGAAGAACACGGCAATGTAGGCGAGATTGCTGGGAAGGGAAGCAATGAGAAACGTAAACACAAAGACCGTCCAAAGAATCATGAAGAACCCGAGCGCATTGTTGTACTGCACGACATCACCGCCGTATGCTTGCTCGATCCCGAAAGCGGGAGTCAGAATCGCTCCATACCCTGCATAGAAGAGTCCTTCACTTTATTAGTATATATTACATTTGGGGTCAGCCCGGGTCAGATTGGTCTGGTACTCACCAAATGCACTAAACACAGTGTAGGCAAACCCGTTCCCAATGGAGAGTTCCCACTGGGCCGTTACCACCAGGCCAAAGGCTGCAATAAAGAAGAAGTTTGCGACAAAGACGTTGGTCGTGGTCACGCCACGCCATTCCATCAGACTCAACGACAGCGTCGTCAAGGTCGTGCCAAATGCGCCTAACGCGAGAGCGGACTGCATGATGATTAGAGCTAGAATGTGTGGCTTGCAGGGATGACCTACTCCGGCGCCTAAAGACTTCATTGGCTTGGACTCGTCCAGGTGGTGGGAGCCTTGTTGCTCTACGTCCAATGCCGATGAGGTTCCCTTGGCTTCGGTGGTTATGTGGTCGATTGAGTCGCTAACAGACATTATGACTGTTGTCCACAGCAAGGTGAGTGACTTCGATCGTTGTGTTGATATGGCTTGGGCAACGACCACCTGCGGCTACTTCAAGTATATGTAGCCAGTAATACCTGCCAGAATACTTCAGGCCCCAATTCCGGGTTGAGCACATCATTGGTAAATACAATGGCGAGAGATGAGCCGACGATCTATTCCTTGGTCGTAGATCAGGTGGATTTACACTTGGGGATTTCAAGGATGGGAATTTGTTCGCCAATGCGGCCTTCAGATCCAGTACGTGTGGATTTTCTACTTCGCAGAGGATCTCGGCCGATACCGATCGCCCAATAAAGTCTCGGATGATGTGCTTGGCTGAAGTTCAAGGCAAGTTAAGCTTATTTGCTGGCCCTCGGTGGTCCTTCCGAGGTTCGCGTCTACAATACAGCACCATGAAAATGCTAAGCCTTCGATTTGCGACCGACGCACCCTCTTCGTATCCATCGAAAGGGGAAAAAGATCGATAGTGATTGTGAATGGTGTGCTGTACACCTGCGAGTGCTGGGTTCCTACCTTGTAGATATTGAAATTAGGGGCGATCTTTCCTCCTGATTCTTGGGAAGGTAGGGATTGCGTGCTCGAGAGCCGGCCTACCTCATCCCATGCGATCTTGAGCTGGCACCAAGCAGTCTGCAACTCATCCAAATCACCCCTTTCTATCTGAATACAAACTTCAAGGCCTCTTCCATTGCAATGACTTGTTCAGAGAACCTCCTGTATACGAACAGGACTTCTGACGTAGGGGCGGGACAACAGCCTCGGCTTTGATCGCCTGGGTAATTCTTATCAGCCTTATCGTCCCGTTGCTGCGCAACTGACGTGTGAAACCTCATCCTAAAATTAATCACGGGTGCCAGTGATTGTGAAGAATATGATCAGTGAATTTCCCTCTGTTCAAAAACATGCCTCCATGTAGCACTACGGCATATCGGCGCGTGGTGTGCCTTGCAGTGGCCATCTACTACCATATGCTCCGGTTCGATGCTGCAAGGCGGAAATATATGTGACGGTCGGGGGTAAGCCCCTGACACCCCACTAGTTACCGCAACACAGAGGTTCGAGAAAGAGCGGCCAGACCAGGTGGGAATTTGAAGTTTCGAGATGCTTTAGGGAATCACTTAACAGCCGAGTGACTGAGCAGTCGAGACTCAACGCGCACGCACCTACTGAAGTTGGACGGAGCGAGGAAAACTTCCCAGAACGCGATCAAAGAACAAGCCCAGACAGAGAGGGTCTTGGCATTAAGTTCCAAGCCGTGCCTGGGCGAGCCCATCCTCAAATGAGGGGCCTGGCCTCCCAGGCTCTCAGCTGCAAGTGGAGCAAGACAGACGGGATTTGAGGGCTCCGCCAATCACGGGTTCTCAGGCAATGCGGCGATATTCTTAGCATTGCAGGGCGGGAAAAGTGGCCCACCAGCAAAAGTGGAGGTGAGAAAATCGTTCAAATCTCCCCTCGAGCCAGATGGTTTTCCTGATGGTCTCCTCCGGTTTGTCTCTACCCCACAAAATAGGTGGTCGGCCATGTCAGATTTGATGGCCTCATAGGGAACCATGACCATTGGGGCGCGGTGGGGAGGACAAAAGAGTCCAACTGTCCAGACTGCCGATCTGGGAGACTCCCAAATTTGGAATTGGTCGTCTGCGGCTGGTTCAAGTTATCCGACTTGGAATCCATTTAGCTCGTTTCCTACGAAGCGTCCGACCAGACAGAGGCGAAATCGAGTTGGGACATCGACGCGAGTAAAGCGCCCACCTGGTCAAGAATGGATGCAAGGTGCTTTGCTCTGTGCTTACATCGCCATGGCCATAGCATGTGTGAATTTGATCTTTATCCTTATCGCGGTCGGAATCGGCTATTCCAAACGAACCACTGCGCACAGCTTCTCGCGACTCCGACTGTACCACGGTCACTGTAATCGAACAAGTCACTGGGCGACCGCCATCCACATTGTCATCAATCTCTTTTCTACTGCCCTCCTGGCGGCCAGCAGCCATGCCATGCAGTGCGTGGGAGCCCCCACCCGCGAGGACGTGGACCGGGAACACAAGCAGCGCCGCTGGCTGGATATTGGAGTCGTGAGCTGGCGCAATTTCCGCATCATGAACCCTAAGCGGAAAGTCCTGTGGCTGTTGCTTCTTCTCAGCTCCACCCCTATCCATATGCTGTGCGTCATGCCCATGCCCGATTCCTAATTACGCTACCCCGTACTGACCTGCGCCCATACAGTTACAACTCCGTGGTCTACGCCTCGATCGTAACCTACAACTATGCCATGGTTTTGATCCCGCACGATCTGTCTCCGACCGAGACGCTGGTCCAGGCCAACAGCTCGGCCAACTTCTACGCGGCGGTGGGGAGCACACCTGAGACACTTCTCACGGAGATCTTCAACGGAACTTTCACCAATATGACCAACGAAGAGTGTCTCGACAACTACGATGTGCAATATAACACGCAACAGTCTACCCTGATCTTTGTGGCCGACCGACGATTTTTCCCGAATGGGAGCAGCCTTAGCGCGATGATAGACGGCTATACCTCTATTTATGACTACACGAACGACGAAGGGACTGCGGTCGCTATGACCGCGATAGCGAACAATACGTGGACAGCGCAGGGGCTCAGCTGGAATCTCTACTCGTCTGCCATTGGCTACGAGAACCCTGATGAGTTCCCCCAGATCCCGATTTCCCACTGCATGGCCAAGCGCGCAGCCCAACGGTGTGAGCTGCTTTTTAGCCCGTCGATCGCTCTGGCAGTGATTGTCAGCAATCTCGTCAAGGTTGTATGTATGTTCTTGGCCGCTCGAACGGACCGTCCAGGAATCCTACTGCGAGTGGGCGACGCCGTCGCCTCGTTCCTCAACCGGCCTGATCTCACTACCCAGGGCCGGTGTTTCACGTCGCGGGAAGATATGACCCATGGTCCTGACCCCTGGGAGCTCGCACCCAGTGGCGGGAGTATCTTTTGGCGTTGGCGGTGTTCTCTGCGGTTGCAGAAAAGGACAGAGATCGCTCTGGTAAGTATCTCCACGTCCTCAAGTGAAGAGCCATTCGAGGGACACTATCCCAGGAAGCTGTCCGGTCGGAAGTTCTGGTTCCAGGCTGCGAGTTGGAAGCGATGGGTACTTGCTTTTGTGTTGTCAGTCGCCCCCAACCCGATCGCAAGAGCTGTACGCTAATGTGGATTCTTCAAGGTTCTCCGCCTGTATCGGCGTGCCCAGCTGGCTGTACCACGCCCTCGTCACCCAAGCAGAATGGTCGCTGGAGGACCAGTGGTCCCTGGGATTTGGGAGTCCAAACTATGAAACCGGGCTATATTTCGGCACCACCAACATCCTGGCCCTAGTTCTCCTGACCAACTTCCCTCAACTGGTGTTTTCCATCTTGTACTTTGTCAGCAAGAACCTGTTATCGTGCATGCTGGTCACAGCCGAGTACAACGACTATGCGACGCAGCGTAAGCCTCTCCGTGTTTCGTGGCCCCGGGGCAACCAGCGATCCTCCTACTACCTCTCCTTGCCGATCCGATACAGCGTCCCGCTATTTGTCATGTCTGCGGCCCTGCATTGGCTCCTCACCGAAAGCTTCTACTCCGTCGATTGGAACGTGTACAACGTGTTTGGGGAGGTCGACTACGATGACTCCCCCGATGGATGTGGCTTTTCCCCAATGGCCATTTTAATGACTATCATTCTCCTCGGGGTGGCGTTTTGTGTACTGCTGGTGCTGGGCGCGCGCCGCTTCAAGTCTCCCATGCCGTTGGCGGCGCATTGCAGTGCGGCCATTAGTGCTGCCTGCCATCCCTTGCCCGGAGATGAAGGCGCTGCTTTTCAACCGATCATGTGGGGGGAAGTCAGTTATCCCGAGTCCTCAACCTATGGCCATTGTACATTTACATCACAAGTGGTGGCTACCCCCTCCATGTCCCGTCTGTATACTTAATGATATGAATGTCTTTATTTTGGAATATCTCTTCTTGGTTGAAGCCAACCGTCTAGCCCCGCCCATCGTTAGACTGACTATCTAGGTGACCGAAATCGGTCCATGTCATCCCCTCTTTCTGCCGACCTAACGGTGTCATATCCAACAGAAGACACGTCCTCGGTCGCCAGCATCACGTGATAGATGATCAACTGTTTGTGCCCGTCAAAGAGGTCGAGAAGGGACTGTTCCCCATGCAACGTGTCGAAGCAGAAGCGAGCTGGATCGTCGACCTTCACCATGGGAAGTCGGCGACGTGCCGCGACGACGGCCTGCGAGAGATACGTCACGGCCTTTTCGTCTTGCAGGAGTTGAGCGCGGGCGGCTTTGAACTTCTCGGGAGAGACAGTATCGCGTGGGGGCTCGTCCATGGTCGGTCTGGTCATGTTGGTATTGGGAGTAGTAGATCGATAGTAGCTTGGACTGTGGTCCTGGATACACATGAACCTTATGAATGATGTCAGGGGATGGTGGCTTGACACCCCTTGCTTGTAATTACATACAGGTATGATCTTGCATCACCTGTGGTACAAACTGACGTATCACCATTAAATAGGTAATTTCCAAGTCGACGTCAATTACGCAACTTACAGTGGCTGACTGATGCACGATCTCTGGAAGCCTCAACAGGCCAACTCGAGCTGCACCTATTCTTCGGATGGTGGTGGCAAGTTCAACGCGAGGATTTATATAGGTATACTGGAGATTGCTTTCTAGCCAAAACGAAACTTAGATTGACAGTGCATAAACTACGCAGCTCTACAATCTACGATCCAGTGTTGGTCATCTGGGCTGATCCACCCCCTCAGCTGAAGCCGCAAACTGCCGGACTCTCTCCTGCCTCCCTTGAAAGGCATTATAGCTATTCCATGTCGCAACCACGTCTTCCAGATAATAGGGCACCACTTGTAGACTGTGATGTTCCCTGGCATGGAAGGCACATCGATCTCCATTGCCATCCTCGCCCGGATTACCGTTCTCTGCCATGCCCTCGAAGACGCCCTCAAACGTTCCCTCCCACGGATTGATGCGCAACCTCCCTCGAGTAATCCACTCATCGCAAAGCACAACATCACCGGCGGCTTTACAGACTCCCCGCCAGTGGAATTGGAGTTCTTGCGCCTCCTCGTTGCACCTGCATGAGCGAAGCCCTGAGTCAATGAGGAACTGTACCTTCGTGTGTCCAAGGTCGAAGATGCCCCAGAGGCGATCGTAGTCCCACAGCAGCCACATGTAAAAACGGTACCCCATTTCGGGGTGGTCGTCCAGTTGCACCTCGTAGGTATTCTGGATCATCTGCAGCAGGAAAAGCTCTTCCTCGTTGGCGGCCACGCGCCTGAGCCATGCATTGCCGGCGAGGGTTTGTCTTGATGGGGTTGTCTGAGTGCGCGTGGAAGGCCAGGCCTGGTGGTCGTACTGAGGCAGTGGAATGCCCATCGTAGTTGTGTTTACAGGTTGATTTGATATCTTCGTGTGAGCAGCTATCGAAGTTTGAAATGTTGGTCGTGTGGTGTTCTCGTAGAAATTTCCGAGTTGTTGTACTGAGCTTTCTCTGGTCAAGGCGTCGGGGTTGAGTGATAGAAAGGTGCACAGGTCTGAGTCATGGCCCTCACTCGGCATGCATGACGAACGACCCCGAGCGGAGTTGAGTTCCGGTGTTGAACCCCTGGGACGTCGATGCAGAGATTCGTGCTTGCTTCTGAGATTATGACATCCACGGTTCCTGGGCACTGTTTTGTGTAACAGAATATTCTGCTTTGACTTAGTTGTTCGGGCGTTATTATCTACCTGGTTGGTATTTGTCATTGCATGCCATGCTGTGCTCCAGAAGTGCTAGAACACAACTTCCGCGTATTAAGACTGTGCTTCTTATCGATTGCAGGTAGAGTAGGCGTATCGCGGAAGGACTGACGACCCGTAAGCATCTTGCATCTGTGGTACGTATATATAGTATGTATTGAGGACCTATTGCTGCAGTGGAATTCGCGGGCTTTGGCATATGGGTTGGTAATATCTGTTTTACTTTACACCTAGAGCTAGCACATACGACCACAGGGTGTGGAAAACAGGGCTTCCCGTCCGCTCAGCCGTACTTAAGCCACACGCCGGGAGGTTAGTAGTTGGGTGGGTGACCACCAGCGAATCCCTTCTGTTGTATGTTTTTGTCTTTTTGCTGTTTGCTACGCGGCCATACTGCGAAAGGTTGGTTCTCTGGGTCACGTCGACAGCCCTCGCCAGCGCAAACACCAAGCCAGTCAAAAAAGAAAATACTCACCAAAAGTTCAAGCACTAAAGACTTTTGACATGTAGGACTTGAAAAGCGACATGGAAGAGATCATTGCCCTATCTTTGACTCATAGCGCCCGAAGAAAGACTATCATCTCCTGTAGGTCTTGGTTGTCGGGATAGCCTCGCTCTAGATATCGACAAATTGACTCTCCTTCCAGCACTGTACGTGGGGTCATCCACCACACTCCCAGTCTGCGAATCCTTCCATACCAGCAGGCCAGCAACAGCAACGCCCGAGGGTCTTTCGCCAACAACAGCGACTTGAAGTTGGAAGACATGGTGCTGAGAAATGTGACGAAGCTTAGGATTGTCGGCAGAAGCGGTCGATCAGCGAACAGCGCCTGCGCAACGTCGACAGCGACACTATGGTACATCGATTCATACTCCAACGACTGTTTTCCTGTGCCCAGATCAAATAGCCGCATATATGGATCGGGAACACCTTGAAGAGGTGCCAGAGGCTCAGCAGGTCGATTGATGATCGGATTGTTTTCCACCGGAGCCAGAGCCGCTGAGATGCAGTCTCGCGGCGGAGAGGGCATCTGGCGCCAGACTTCGTCTTTCCCCCGCGCAATCCTTAACCAGGTGGGACCGCTAATGACATTGGGAGACAACGGCCAGGCCTCTTCTGGAGTCGATGCATCGACGTGGCAGAAGACTAGTAGCCACAAAAGCATGGACGTGCTCAGCAAAGCGGCTTTGTCATCGGATTGAGGGTTCTGCGACAGCTTCCGATTGAAGCCAACCAAGGCTCGATCCCAGTGGTAGGATTCCACCAAGTCTGGAGTCGATCTGATGGGGATTGTTGTGTGGCGCTGGTACGTTAAGGCTACCGTTGTGATGGCATGCTTAAGGAACGGAGTCTAGGAAGTACGTTAGTGACTGATTGACACAGTCTCACGCCCAAGAGATTGAAAAAAAAAAAAAAAACAGCAAATGGGTAAGAAATAACAAGAGAGGAAGAAGAAAAAGCCCACCGTGTGTGCTAATTCCACCACCTGGTTTTGATAAACATCTAATCGGTTACCATAGCTCATGGTCGGGGCGATTAGTAGTTGGAATTGAGCTATAAGCCGATCGGTCGGGCAAACCCAGCAGGGTAAACCAGCTGACGGCCGGGGCGGAGCAAAAACATGCTCGATCACGGGTTGTAGTGGCTGCATCTTAGTTTGAGTGCAGGTAAAACTACAGGAGACCCCATAAGCCTGGCATTGTCGACACATGGGCTTGATCTCGTCGCACTGCCATAGGTGGAGGCAACCTGAAATTAGCCACTGCACCCTAAGGAAGACTGAGACCCACCCACCTTCACCCGTCGAAGCTTGCAGTTCTTACAACCCCATCGTGATCGCTGTCTGACACGAGTTGTCCCCATTGCCTCAACCTCCAATTTCACTGACCCTGTCTCTGTGGAGTTAGGAAGATGTTGTCGGTGATTGACTTGTTCTCGGCCTCGCGGGGTATGAAGGAATGCATGCACGTGACGGATCCCGGAACTACCGGCTTTAAGGATGGCCGGCGGATGGCGCTAGACCTCTTTTCGCTTACAGACATCCCTGATTGGCTTGATGGACAATACAGCTTCATTGTCGGCTTCGATCCAAGATCATGACGTGGATAGCATGTCGGTGAGATATCGAGTATAAAAACTGATCTGAAGAACCCTCGGTGGAATTGCACCGGCACTCTGTTCGTATTACAAGTTTACTCCTGATTTTTCATTTCAAACCACTAACCATACTCGTTTGACCATCTTCCACCGACATTGTGTCCCTGTGTAGGATATATAACCTTACTCCCGAGTCCACACCACACCCTTGATATGCCACCCAACCAAGCAGCTTGGCTTGTCCGTTCTAAGGGCCATCCCTTCGAAGTTCGATCTGCTCCCTACACACGCCCACATGAAGGACAAATTGCCGTACGAACCCACGCCGTGGCCATCAACCCAATTGACTGGACGGTTCAAGGCCAGGGTACCACCCTGATGTACCAATGGCTATCCTACCCTACCATCTTGGGCACTGATGTAGCCGGAGAGGTGGTCGAGGTTGGACCGAATGTCACCACATTCTGCGTCGGAGATCGTGTACTCGGCAAAGCATGCGGCACCGACGAGAAGATCAATTCTCACACCCAAGGCGGCTTTCAACTGTATGTCATCCTCGCTGCACATATGGCCTGTCCTATTCCCGACCGAGTATCATTTGAGCAGGCCGCAGTGCTGCCCCTGGGGGTTTGCACCGCCGCATGCGGGCTTTTTGAACCCGACCAGCTCAATCTCAAGCCCCCATGCGCTCGCCCGGAGCCCACCGGCCAGACCGTCATCATCTGGGGTGGGGCTAGCAGTGTCGGTACCTGCGCAGTCCAGCTCGCTCGAGCTGCGGGATATCAAGTTTTCGCCACCGCCTCACCCAAGAACTTCGAGCTGGTGACACGATTAGGCGCCAGTCGGGTCTTTGATTACCGCAGCGAGACGGTCGTCGCGGACATGATCGCTGCGTGCCAGGGAGAGACTGTGGCAGGCGCACTGACTGTGGGGGCCAATGCGGCGGATTGCTGTTTTGATATTCTCGCTCAATGCACCGGGCCCCGATTTATCTCCATGGCTGCGTATCCAGTCCCACAGCCGCCGCCAACACATCTCACGGTTCCTCGTACAGCCCTCGCATTCATGGTCGGCAATTCAAAGTACTGGTACAAGTCCCGCATGCGAGGAATCAAGTACAAATACATCTTTGCCAGCACGCTCTATCACAACGGGGTGGGGGCCATGCTTTTCCAGCAGTATTTGCCGCAGGCTTTGGCCGAGGGCCGGTTTTGGGCAGCACCTGAGCCGCTCGTGTATGGCAAGGGCCTGGCGGAGATTCAAGGGGCAGTGGATTTCCATAAGTCGGGAGTGTCTGCGAAGAAGGTGGTTGTGCTGCTGGATGATTGATCTTGTTTCTGGTTCAGGCTTGCTGCGCGTGAGTTTTGTGAGAATCTTACGTCGGCCACCGAGACAGCCTTATGTAGGCCACTTTTTGGACCTTTGTATTGGCACTGATGTATTGCATTGAAAACGCTTAGCATAATATGATTGCTCTTCTAATCCACCGTATGATAATCTCAGCATGGACTTTTGCTTACTTTGAAGTATTCATTCAAAACGCTGATACGTGCACCAATGAGGGCTACATACTGATAGGCTGGTTGTCAGTTGGGCTGGTTTTTTTTTTTTTTTTTTTTTTTTTTTTTTTTTTTTTTTTTTTTTTTTTTTTTTTTTTTTTTTTTTTTTTTTTTTTCCCCCCCCCCCCCCCCCCCCCCCCCCACCCCTTTGCATTGTGTGCAATCTGGTCTGCCTTCGACATGTGCCCGGTAGACCATGCACTGTACAGCTTTCGAATCCCAATATAGTAGAAGATCCCGTCTGCTGCAAGGGAAAAGTAATATTTCGGGCCGAGCACGAGACTGGGATCACCAACTCTCCAAGAGCCCGACGGCTTCTGTTGATTTAAAAATGCTTCTGTCAGATGCCTTGATACATTGCCGCAATTTGTCACCCCGTCCTGCGAGATCTACAGTGACTGTACGATCACACAAGTCAAAGCTTTCATACTTCTTCCTCACTTCCATCGGCCTCCGACAAAGACCACGTTTTTTTATAGCATGATCTTGAACAAACCGCACCTTCTCGTCCTTCTCGACAACGCGGAAGTCTACGCCTAAGGCAACCAACTTGATCTGTAAGTCTAGCAGTTGAGCTCTTCCTTTTGAGTCCAGCTGCAGGAATCTCCGCGGCACCCACCCGTCGATACATTTGATACAGCCTTGCCCGGACTCTTGCTCAGCAAAAGCAAACTGAACATAGAGAATCCGAAGTAGAGGTACACTGTCCGGCTTGCAGAGATAGGCTTTCTAGTTCAGCACACAGCGGCTGCAAGCAGTATACCAAGTAGTCTGCGATGAAGAGATGCCTGAGCGAGTGGGGAAGTAATTCCCATAGTGGTGTCGTGGGCTTATAAGCAAACAAAAAAATAAAAAAAAAACCTCATTCGAGGGAAGGCGCACATGGCGGTAGAGATGTGAGATAAACAGAGAGTACCATGTCCTGCAAACCAGCACCATATGAGTATAGTCGTCGGTGTTTAGTAGAGAGAGAATCCAGAGAATGATCTCCGTGGAAACTTGGTCGAGCATTGTGCAATAATAAGTGGTTTTGAGTGCATTCCAGGAAGTTAGCCACTAGGAAGGCCGGGGGTGGGGGACGTTTGAGAGTCGAGGAAAAACGGAAGGTGCGTCGAGAGGACTTTATATTAGATTGCAGGATGGGAATAAGCACTAAGGTAGTCATGCATCGGCTGTCCTTGGACCTGTGATCGAGCAACGGAGGAGATGATTCATTGGCTAGGTCTGGGTACCGTCCTAGTGAGTGGTGTAGTTTCCCTCGGCTTCCAACAACGGTTCCCTCTCCCTCTCCCTCTCCGCCTTGCCCTTTGTCTGCGGTCTCTGGCCAACCGTCCGCCAATACAGCGCCCAGACCAGAGATAAGAATTGCACTCCCGCGAACACCGCATTGTTTACTACCGGGTATCCATACTCAAAATACCAACCCAAGCCCAGCGGATCCCACGTCTCAGCATATACTACCCGGAAGACCCACGATATTGCGATAAGGCCAAACACGACCGCCTGAATCGCAAGTCCAGTCAAGCTCAGAGCGGTGTCGTGTACATGGCTGCGACTCTGTGCTGCCTGAAGGAACCAGGAAAAGCCCCCGATGAAAGTGGCCATGGGGGTGAGGAGCACGGCATGAGTGAAAATGAACATCTCGCGCAGGTCTTGGCGGGGCCAGCTCTTCGTCTCTGGTGTGAGGCCCAATAAGTCGATGAGCTCCGGGACTAGCGAGATTAGGAGGGCAAGAATGTACAGATTGCGATACGGGCTCGTGTCGGATCCCTGCCGTCGGAGGCGAACGCATAGTATGAAGCTGGTTGTCTTTAGTTTAGTAGAAGCAGTACAAGTACCCACAGCGAACACTTACAGGGTAAGGAAAAGAGCCCATGTTACAAGTACTTGAACGAAGTTCAGCCAGTCGCCAGTGTTGAGAGGATCGTGCGTGAAAATTCCAGCCGCAGCTTCAGGAACATTAAGCGTGAGGTATACTTCTTTGGTGAGGTCTTCGGTAACGACTAGAAGACTGGCAAGCACATAACCCAGAGAGATCCCTGTACTGTTCTTCTTGGCCCAGAGAGAATAAAGCTGAGGAGCGAAGGAGAGGATCGTGAGGATGATTAGAATGCTTGAGAACATTAGTGCTGTGGCGGGCATAGAAGAGCTCAAACAGAGGATATGAACATTCTGGCAGAATCAGGGGCTTCTGTATAAGTATCCTCAGATGATGGCATTCTGTGCTGCCAGGTAAAGCAGGCTGGCTCGGGAAGGCGAGGGGTTGTTTGAAAACTGGTTGATGGTTGATGGTGGATGGTTGATGGTGGATGGTTGATGGTACTAAGATGACTGCCGTTGAGAGGGGGATTGCGGCTGAGGATGCCGCTCTAACCACAAGCGTCTAGCTACAAGTTACAAGTTACTTAACTTGGTACCGTACAGTGACTTGCACAATACATGTACTATACTATACTATACAGCTAAGCCGAATCAGCTTATGCCTAAGGTCAACAATGTACAGTTTCTAATATATTGCCTGGGGTACAATTTGAATACAGTGCATAAAGTTCCTATGCCATCCGCAACGCTTTGGCTGCGGACCCTCTGGAGGCGAAATCAGGCTTGCGAGCGACAACTTGAAGTGGCTTCCATGCGAGACCATGGTCAACACCATGTTGACCAGAGAAGTCCTGCGCCAAATCTTCCAGCAACCGGGGGTCTGCCCCCTGGCTCTGTGCGAGACGGGATTTCAGAATGCCCAGCACTACAGTGAGATAGTTGGGATAGTACAGACCCCGAACTGTGTCAGTCCACGAGTCCAGCTTTGCTTGGATAATGTCGAAACCCTGCTTTCCCAGCGTATCTGGCAACTGGTCCACCCAGCTGTCACCAATCAGTGATTGCCGATACGAAGTCTCTCATAAGGATGCCCGGACAATGCGTCTCTTGTTTACGGAGGAGAAAAGCAACATACCCCAAATCAAGACTCTGACTCCCCAGAAATTGCGAGTACAGACGCTCTAAACGTTGCATAGGCTCAGACAACGCCCCACTCGGGTCACGTTTAATCTCCTCCCATTGGAGATAGCCTCCCGGCCCTGAAGAGTTGCTATCAGCCCATCATATTCACATCTGCACTTTGAAGACAACTTCACACACTCAACAAGACCGCAGCGAAGCGAATTAATTTGTCTGGGCGATTATCTCGTACCACACAGGCCCACAAACGCAGGGGTACCACGTCGAAAGCTTCGAGCAGGTCCTCCGGGACCTGATCGGACATTAGGTCCAGAGTATTCAGTTTCACGTTCCGTGGTAGTGTTGAGGATGGGGGAAAAAGCATCACGCGAAACATCGTAACCGACAAGCTCGGCTTGATCTACATCCAGAGCCTGGCCAAGCTCGAGGCACCAAATGCTAGATGCGATATGACCGTCAGAGCCCCGGCGATAAAGTATGAAGACTAGAGCATACCCTGTTCCCGTGCCTAGATCTGCTACCCTTATTCCTGGCCTGTGGGGAATCAAGGGACTCAAGACATGACCCGTCTGAAGTTTCCAGAGGAGATGCTGCTCATTGAGCCTGGTGGATACACTCGTCAGCGCATATAACTTTTGGGGAAGTCGCACGTTTGCGATTACCTCACACTCTCATACATAGTTCGATCCAGGATGTACCCATCAAGGGCAGAAACCGGACCCATGGCTGTGGCGCAATGCTGTGAGATAGGACCCTTCGTCGGCTATAACGCTGCGAACTTCGGAGCCTTCAGAACTATTCCATGGCCATGGATTTGAAGGGATTTATAGGCGTAAAAGATGAATAATCCCGAAGCTGTTATGTATTAGGCAATGTAAGACGCAGTTAGACTAACAGGATTCAACCCCTCAGACCCTGCTGGCCTGTAGGCCGATCGCTCCATAGTACTCTCCATTGAAGGACGTAAAGCCTGGTTGGTCCTTGCATATACGACCTCACCAAGGATTCTCGAGGGTTTGATAAGTGTGATGACGAATAGTTCCGAGTCAGTCAAGACATTCCAGAGAAGGGACGAGTGATGGCGCGGGTTAGGCTGCATGCGCCCGGGGCGCGGTAAATTCACAATGCATAGCCAGGAAACCACGACAACAATAAAAAAAGAGGTGCTTTGTTCCCCGCTTATCATTACAACAGATATCAAATATGCCATGGAAAGTACCAACATAATCCTGGTCCATGCTGGAGAGAAGGTGTAGTGGACAAAGATGTATCTTGCATCTACGAGAATAACAATGACAGTGTGGCCGAAGAATAGATCCGGCATTGGATCACAATAGGAAAAAAACCTGTTTTCGAGTCATGTAGTCATCCATGATTTTTTCAGGCATTGCTTGCAGGCCAAAGGGTAGCCTGCAAGATTCAAGATAGGTTCTTCATGCAGGCAGCTGTTTTGGGAAGCGATTCATATCAGTGGGAGATTCCGAGTGATGATTGGACCGCATTCTCGATCTGTGATAGACAACCTTGAACGCAGCCAAGATGCATAGTATGAGATGGTCGCAGTCTTTGAAGAATGCAAGTCTGTGTTCAGCGGATATGAAAGTAAAAACAAAAAATAAGTTCCATGCCTCGAACAATGATGATATTGTGCACACCTTTCTGTGGGGTGACGTATACCACAGACCTATCAAGCTATCATTGCCACATGATCAGTATATCTGGGTACTACGATGAATTTTCCGGAGCTTTCAAATCGTCGCCATAGTCCTGATGCAGATAGGGATTGTAGCAGATGTTTCACTCATATTGGGAAAAATGTTCTCCGTGATCTTATTCAAGGACCGAGCTGTATCCGACAGGCTGCAGTCACTGGTACTTCTCGCCGCCTGCACCCTCGGAATCTTATTGGTGTTATACCACATCTTTACTCTTGTTCAATCTCTTCGATCACCCCTTCGCAAGCTCCCAGGACCATGGTATGCCCCACTGACGACATTATACCTTCGGTACGCATTTGCCAGGGGTACTATCTGGAAGCTTGTCGAGTCCAAACACCAACAGTATGGACCAGTCTTCCGGTATGGTCCTCGACAAATATGGATCTCAGACAAAGATGCCTTGCGAACTATTCTCCAGAGGGCGGATCTCCCCAAGGTACAGATGTATGCCGAAATCTCCCGGGATGCTCACAGTCCGGGTCTGTTTGGGGAGGTGTAAGTATATCCATGCGTTGATCGCCTATCGTCCTGGGATTGATCTTTGCTAGGCGACCGGAGCCGCATCGGATTCTCAAGGGCTTCCTATCACCGAGGCTTACGGTAGCAGACGTCGACGAAGAAGGTCATCTCTTTGAGAAGTGTATCGGGGATCTGATTGCCAAATACTACCAGCTCACCAAGGGTAAGGCAAAGACAGATGTGGTCGCGACCGACTTGATGATGGATTTGCATGGCGTGGCGCTTGACATGTGAGTTGTTCTGTCCTTCTTGTAAGCGAAGGCTAAACTTAGTGTCTTGTTTCCAGCATGGGAGAGTGTTCCTTTGGCCGAGGCTTTGGTCAAACACCCCCACTCAAGGAAGAGTACTTGGGAATGGAGGACCGCATCTGGGTGCAAATCCTCCACTCCATCTTCCATGGCTTGACTCGGAGATACAAGGTAGAGGCCTCCAAATCCATCGACTTGTGGAAACTAGTGGATCTAACGCAACAATCTACGCTGTAGATGGTCTACGTCAAGCGATGGTTACGAGGCCTCGGGATAAAGCTGTGCTTCGACTGGCCTGCGGATATGATCCAGGTAAGACACATTACTGCTTCGTATTCTCCACAGTATACCCCAAAGGCTTACATCGACTTTCTCCGAACAGGCCATTGATGCTATCGTTAAGGAACGCTCCTACTGCAAAGACTACTCTCAACCAGATCTACTTCAACATTTTATCGACAGTGGCACCCGACCAGGTTCGTCCGCGCCAATGAACACTAGGGATATTATAGACCAGCTGTCAGAGATTCTCCTAACCGGGTCGGAGACCACTTCTGGAACCATTGCATGTCTCTTTCGCGAACTCCTGCACATTCCCGAAAAGAAAACAAAGCTACTGGATTCACTCCCGGTACTTACTGCCACTGATCCAATTATCAACAGCAAGACAGTGCGAACAGAGCCCGAATTTCGCTATCTAGATGCCTGCATCAAAGAGACGCTGCGATTGCACCCGATTGCGAGCGAGATGGGTCGCAAAACTGGCAAGGACTGTTGTGAACTCGCGGGATACTCAATCCCGCCGGGAAACGTCGTATCTGCTAGCTATAGGCATCTGCATCGCAACCCGGAGTTCTGGCCCAAACCATTGAAGTTCTGGCCGGAAAGATGGTTAGAAAATGAGAAGGCTCGTGACGGTGCTCCGGAGCCCGAGTAAGTAGCCGACTCTTGACAGTGAGCCCCGTTCATGGTCACTAATGGGGTATGCAAGTATGAGTCCCTATTACCCATTTTCTGCGGGCAAGCACTCCTGCATTGGAATCAAGTAAGTAGTTGAACAGGTACTCGCCTACCGTACAACCGCTACTGGTAGTAGCTTCGCGTGGGCGGAGATGCGCGTGGGCGGAGATGCGTATGGTCGCTGCAAATGTTTTCTCGCGGTTTGATCTCGAAGATATTAGGAATCTGCACATTGATTTCCGGCAATACATCACAATGCAGCTGGAGAACGGCTCACACAAGGTGGTGTTGAAGCAGCGGCTCTAGCCTGGTTTCTGTGAGCACATCCATGGCGACATCAGATAGGTGACAGATACCTGGTTGCTATGGTGAAGTGAGGCAAGAAGGTCCTAGTTCTATGCTAGATTAATTTTAGTGACAAATGGATGTATTGGTAATTCTGCGAGTCCGAGTGTCTTGAAGTTATGCAGTCTAGCTCTATTGAAAACTTGGGATGATCCCAGTACTCCACTTGAAATAACCCCAGCACTTTACAACGCGCCGGGCTCATGTCTTTCTCGACTTTATATTTCGCGGTTGCACAACTCGGGCAAGAGACTATTGAGTCCCGTCTGTGAGCTGGGTAAACCCTTTATTCTTGTCTATATTATAACAGTGTTATAGCAAACGACATACTCAATGTATGCCTAGTATAACTAATCTCGACAACAGAAGGGACTGACCCTGCCCCCTGCCCTCTGACTGACCCCTCTAATTGCCGCCTCCTACTCGACGGGCCCAGTGTCAGACCGAAAACCCTGACATGGTCGCCGTGATGAACTCAACCACATTTTGATCCTTGCCTATCTTACCTAGTACAGCAAAGTACAAACCATAGACCGTGCCAATTTCGACGGGCCGCTGTCAGCGGAAGCCAGCCAGTGGCGCTTCGCACGGTAGCCAAAGTCCATCGTGCTCCCATCGAACCACGACCATATCCCTCCCAGGAGCCAGCCATCAGGATTGCAGGCAGGAGAATTGTCAGAGGGATGTTGATAAATAGATCTACGACACACACATTGGGCGTCTTGAATCTGTCAATAGACCGGGTTTGGTGCGCTCGAACCACGCACTAAACCCAACTTAGGAGTGCATGCAGATGCTCTGTACAGCCGTACGTGATACGTTGAGAGTTCAAGTCCTAAGCCCTGCGCCTTGTATGCCCGCCTGGTTATTGGCTGGCTCTACCTTATTACCTGAGCCATCCCCTCCTGCCAGCCGGGGGGCACATACGGGTGGCCCGGTCGCGGGCCCTACGTCAACCTTGCATGAAGTGTCTCAACATGGGTATTCTGTCCTAGGTAGATGTGGTTGAGCTTGCCCCCTGCTCCTCCGGGCTGATCGGCCGGAGAAAAACCAGAAGTTATTTGTAGTTCCTTGTTTAGCTATCTCACGCGAACTGGCTCGACAGGCCGCAGATATGAGCAAGGTGCACTACGTCGGCAGCTGATTGAGAAAAACTTGACATTCACACTATACTGTACCCACCAGTAGAATCGCCGCATAGTATAGGCTCGGACAGAATAATAATACAGTGCTGGCGGTCGGCAGGAGCGAGATGGCTGATGCAGAATGGCTTAGTACATACTTCATGCTATAGTAGGAAGGTCGAGAGGTACATCCGGGTTACGCGAGTCTGCGAGTCGGACGGATACTCAGCCCTCAGTAACTGGGGCCGAGGATGAATTTGGAAACAGACATTTCCAAGGTAGACATAGACTCTGTAACAAGCGCGACGCTAAGAAAAGTCGTGATGGTTCTCGCCAGAAAGATACCGTCTGATATCTCTTTTTCTGGGCTTGCAATGCTGGAATTAAGAGGCGGGTAAATGACACACTGTTATGGCAAGTATATCCAGTCACGAGGTGTATGCAGGACACTGAGATCATCTTATTCGAACCGAGAGCTAAGGTAACACCCAGATCAATGCCTTATCTTCGAGTTCTACTTCCACTGTACTTGAAGCAAATACCACACTAGTTATGCAGAATCAAGAAAGCATTGTAGTCAGAGGGTTGGATCTTGGATTTTAGGGGCTCAAGTGCACACGTGCGGCCCAACTTGGTGGCAAAACCGGGTTCAGGGTTGATGAATCATGATCCCGCAACCGGATGTTCTCGAACGCGCCAAGTCTAAGGGTTTCCAGAGCGCCAGTGGTAATTGTTCCACTGCTTGCTATCAACGCCTGGTTTGATCAGTCAAGCACGTGAGGGCTAGCTTCAAGGTTGGTTTGGTCAGTTTAATTACAAAATTGTTGACTATCAACGACTGTGGTTTCCGCTATATCAAATACTGCAATGACAAATTCCTCGTTAACCAACATCGTAACAACCCTGCTTTACGCAGGTTTCCTCCGGATTCAACAAGATTGGTAGGACTTTACTCTTCCTGCATCTAGCTTCCGGTATCACCGGTAACCACAGTATACAGCAATCCAGTGCATCTATGTCGTATTCGCCTCCGCTCCAAGGAGCGTGAATGTATCATAAAACATAGGGGAAGCACTCATTCTGGACCATCGAATTGCTTGAATCCCCCCGAAAAATCATCACAAATCGAAACAGTTGCACACCCCCGAAATGCAGGCGCAAGTCTGCGAGCAGCAGTTCTCAGGGAATTCGAAGATGCACGGCTGGCCGACGGCGGTGCACTGCGGCGGGGCGGCGCACTTGACGGAAATGCTGGCGGGCTGCCCGGTCAGTGGAACCGAGTAGGTGGTGGGGTTGCTCGTTCCCGCAGTGCCCGACCAAACCGCGGCGTTGTTGCCGGGCTTCGGTGTCGCGGTAAATGTGAGTTTGCTCTTGCGCAAAGCCTTGAAGGTTTTGGACGCGCTGTCGAAAGTGAATGAGTCCCCGTAAATGTCGGCCGGATACTTGACCGTCACCGAGCATCCTTCGTTGGCGATGGTCAATTGTGCGCAAGCTACGCTCGCCACCGCATTGCCGATGAGGCCGTCCGCCGGGGTGTGGCTGCAGATGTCTCTCGTTTCAAGCACCGGCGAGGCGCTTGCTACGGATGCGCCAAGGAGATAGAGGAGGCTGCCTTTGAGCATTATGATTGAGTTAGGAGGGTCAATGCGAAAAGATGCTCGAGGTCTGGATGTTGTACTCCGGTCTTCACAGTGGAAATTCAATTTGCACACCAATGTAGGTGCAGCGCTGCGCCTTTTAAGGGCCAAGGTGTGCCCATGTTGTCGCACATAACTGTGCGACCGAGAGCGCATATCGGACCCCATGAAGTCACTTACCAAGTAAGTTTAGCTCGATTCATGGAATAGGAGTCTCGTGGGTGGCTTGTACGAGGTCTACATACTGGGCCGGGATTGCTTCCGGCTACGCCTGCATGCTTAGATCATGGGTATTGAGCTTATTGGTCGATCGATGTTTGCTCATGTGTTTAGATCGAGTCTAGATTACATCCTTATCTGCTCGGTTGGTTCGATATCGGCGTGATTAAATCTGAGATCTCACGTGAACCATAAACCACAATCCGGTGAACCATGGAAGGGGGACTTACGGGGAGACTGGCAAGCTTCTAGCCATACTGCATTTTCCCACCGGCTATTTCCTTCCACCCCTTCAAGAATCCGAAAATCGAGTCAAACTTCACAACTTGATGATAATAAACATCTTCTTGCTTCAATACCTTCAAAAATTTGAAATGATAGGCCAAAGACCTGTTCAATTGTTATACTCAACTCCTTCATAAGATTATTGGCTGATATGAGGAAGAAATGCGAACTTTGTGGGGCCAATGATCCGTATGTGGCGAGCAATCGGATCGAGGCAACAATGTAGACCATTGAGGCCGTAATCTTGTTCGGAAATGATGCGTATCCATGCACGAAGTCTTTTAATGGCGTTCATTAGCAATTTTTCGATTCGATTGGGCAGCTCAAATCTAACACCGGAGGTAAATGTCAGATGTCAATCGGAAAGACGCTGTCATTAATTAGAGGGGACGCAAAAAGTCCTCCACGGTTATTCTATCCCTTGACCGGGTCAAAAAACATACGAAATCGATGGATATAAAGCGAGTGACCCATGCAACCTGCCTGGTATTCTGAGTTTCCCCCATCAGACCAAAGAATCCACACTGCTCTCCCCGGAATGCCTGTTGGACCCTCTCGCTGCCTGTTCTTGCGCACTCTCACTTCCATCACCATGGCTCACCTCCACCTGCACATCCATCCTCTTCACAATTGCCCCCCCATTCCCCACGAGAATCCCTTCCTCACTACTCAAACTCAAATCCAAACTCCCATTCCTCCCACCCCCGGCCTCTACACCCACATGGTACTTCCGCATCTCGCGCCGCAGCACTTCAGCCGTTGTCGGTCGTGGTCGTCCAGCTACAGCGAGCTCAAACGCCCCGCCGCCCCAATTTCCGTCCCCATCCTGTGTCCCCACGCCTTTCTTGGTAGATCGAAGCCGATACCCCGAGGTACTTGTACTCCGGCCATAGCCGTAGCCGTACATTGTCCTGCCGGAGGAATAATGATCAGTCGCGCCGAAGAGGCGCGGCCAGATGCGGCTGACGACCGCCTTGAGACACGGGGCGCAGGCGGCAACAACGGCGACATGCACCTCGACGGCGGAGCTGCAGAAGCCGATGGCATAGGTCGCGTCGGTGACGGGGTGGGTCGGGAAGAAGCCGTTCGCCAGGAGAATGATTCTCCAGATGCCGATTGCTGTTGCTCTGTCGTTGGGTTCTTGATTTTAGCCCCCGTGGGTTACATGTGGTAGAGGGAACCGGGGCCAAACGTACACCAATCCCATACATAGTATCAAACAGACGGCCAATTTCTTTCGCCACGGCATGTGGAGGCGGAAGGTAATGAGGGTCGGAATCGAGACGACGAGGATATCGGTAAACAGATTGATGGCTGCGGTGGCGACATAGAAGGCCCCCTGGTTGATACACTTCCCATTGGCGAGGGAGATGTCATAGACGTAGGCGATCGGGTGGCACTGGAAGATGTCGACGAATAAAACAGCGAGAAAGAGGAGGATGGTGACGCTTGTGGTGCTCCAGATGAGGAGGTTGACTAGGCGGGATTGCGACTCGAGGCGGCGGAGGAAGAAGAGGATTGAGAGTTTGACCATTGTGAGGCAGGGGTTGTAGAGGAGTTGGTTGGCGAAATTCCACTGTTCATCAAAGCTTCGGTGTCAGTCATGGTTTACTTTTCCTGGGACAGGATATCACTCGGGATGTTCGTACAATGAGGCCGGTTTTCACATTGTAGTCTGCGGGAATGTCCCATTCGTGGATGCCCACGTAGTTGGTTTTAATGTCTTGATCAGTCAGATATATGATCAAGTAGCGGATGAAAGGGCAAACAGACAATACCAGGAGGTGATGGATTGGCCGATGGCCAGTATCTTGGAATGTTTAGTGGGGAGTGAACTGGCGAGGGAGATGCATCATGCAACCCACATATCCGACTACGATGAACGCATCGTCTGCCTCGGTTAGCTAGAAGATCGACAGCTCCACCAGGAAGCGAAAAGCTCACCAGGCCCGACCCGCGTCCGTGTCATGAACCTACTCCATGACCGCAGGACGACTGCGATCCCTCCTAGGATGGGAAAGGCGACTACGACCCCCAAAGCCACTTTCTGGTGACTGTCGTCAACCATGGAGGGTGGATGATCATCGATACATTGCAGAGTTTCCCGGGACCCAGGGATTGGGGAAAGGGGGATCTTATGAACTCGGGGGAGCAGCAGACAGGCTGACAGGGATAGATTCCTGCATGCAGGTCCATGGCGCCAATTTCCAACGCCGACAAGCGCAACAGGGATGTGTTTCCTAGTGTGCGCAGCCTAATCACCGGAACGGCGCTCTAAGCATGCTCCTTTCTCTCCATGTCGTGCGAATCCAAGGCCCTGCAAAACGCAGGCAATGGCTGTGGCGTGTCCTATTCACGCCAAAAGTGAGGTCCAGCCAATCAATCACCAACTCATAAAGAGGCAGGATGTGGCTGGCTCGGCCAGAAAGCACGGCAGAGAGCGTGGGCAGGCTAATCAATTGTAAGATAATTTGGCCGAAACGTCACGGTGCGAGACTAAACAAGCACGAATAGATTGGATTTCATGCGAGATTGGAATTGCTGCCTGGGGCTTGGTCCGAAGCTAATCGCGCCGGTAGTTCTAGGTGGTTTTGGGCTCGGGGCGGGATTGGCCGAGGCCCGGACCATCTGGGGTTCCCAATCCGCTTCAATCCACTTCAATCCACTTCAATACACCGGACCCTCGCTAACACCGGACTCTCCACAAAAGCTCCCCGCTAACAACGAAACTAGCACCGGGGAATGCAGTCAAGTGTTCCGTGCAATCTCCGTCACGGATCCGCCCAGACCGAAGCCCAGGCTAAACAACGGACGGTGCATCGACCGACTGCACGTTGTTACTAACTTTCGTCCGTCATCCCACATAGGACGTTGTGCCGTATGCCCATCGGTGCTGGGAGGTTCTCCTGAGTACTTAAAGGCCAAGCCCCCGGCCTCTAGATGAGGGCCGTATTGAGAACCCAGTGTCCACCATGGCTCCTTCTGCGCTTTCATTTCTGGCCGCACTGGGCGTCTGCTCGCAGACCCTTGCCGCTGCGGGGACAGTCTCGGTGGCTGCCACCACGGTCTCCTCCGCCAACCCCATCGCGAATGCCCCGTATTTCGTCAGTGAAACACGGCAGCTCACGGAAAGTGTCCTAAGGACGCTGGGGAACCACAGGTCCCTGTTCGATTTTGCTGGCGCCAACCTATCCCTGCCCGCCGTGGGCACATGCAAGATTTACCCCGGAGATGCTGCGTGGCCCTCGACCTCCCACTGGTCGATATTGGATCAAGCACTGGGCGGTGCTCTGGTCAAGACGGTCCCTTTGGCTGCCACCTGCTACCCGGCCTGGTCGGCGTACTACAACCAGACAGCCTGTGAAGAGATCTCCAGTGATTGGACTGTGTCGTACTTGCAGTACGTGTTCTGCCCCCAAGAATGCCCCTGAATGTAGCTGCTAATCGTCAGCAGTGCCGCAGACCCCGCCTCAATCATGTGGCCCCTATTCGAGGGTCGTAGCTGTCTTCCCACGGACATCGCGACCTCTTCCACCTGCACCATTGGTGGCTACAGCAGCTATGCCATCAATGTCAGCACCGTGGCCCAGATCCAGCTGGCGGTCAACTTCGCGCGCAACCATGGGCTACGCTTGACAGTCAAGAACACAGGCCACGACTTCAACGGCAAGTCGACCGGTGCCGGGGCCCTGGGCATCTGGACCCACAACCTCAAGGACATTGAGGTCTATGATAAATACCACCTGGGTAACTACCGTGGCCCGGCGGTGAAACTGGGCGCCGGTGTCCAGGCCTTCGAGGTTTACGAAAAGGCCCACGAGCTCGGCTACACTGTCGTTGGGGGCGAGGGCAAGACCGTGGGTGTGGCCGGTGGGTACGTCCTCGGCGGTGGCCACTCCCCAATGTCCAGTGTCTATGGACTGGCTGCCGATCAGGTTCTGGCCCTGGAAGTCGTCCTGGCTAACGGTCGTTTTGTGACTGTAACCGAGCAATCAAACCCGGATCTCTTCTGGGCTCTTCGCGGTGGCGGCGGCGGTAAGCACCTATGCATCCAGTTTCCATCCACCCCTTCCTCCAGTCCCGAAAGTAACACAATCCACAGGAACCTACGGTGTCGTGACCTCCATCATCTCGCGCCTACACCCCAAGATCCCCGTAACCGTATCCACCTTTTCCTTCATGACATCGACGAACGTGACCGCCGACACCTTCTGGGCGGGCGTGGACGCGTATATGAAGCGCTTCCCCACCTACGCCGACGCCGGCACGTACGCCTACTTCTGGATCATTAAGCTTGGGGAGGAGAGCTTCGAATTCCTGATGAATCCCTACTTCGCGGTGAACCACACGTTGGCCGAGTTCAATAGGCTGATGGCCCCGTGGTTCGCCGACCTGGACCGGCTGGGTATTACCTACACCCCCAATACGACTTACTACAACAACTTCTATGACGCCTGGGAAGCGGCCTTTCCTCTCGAGACCATCGGCAGCGTCACGATGATGACCGGCTCGCGCCTCATCCCGCGCGAGAACTTCGTGAACGCAACCCTTTTCAACCAGACTGCTGCCGCCTTCCGTTCAACTGTCTCCGCGGGCTACTCGCTGTTGGCCTTCAACCTCAAGGCCGAGCTCCCCGCCGGCTACCCTGAGAGCGCGGCCAACCCGGCCTTCCGGACCACGCTGATGCATGCCATCACCTCGACCAGCTGGAACAGCAACGCCACTAATGCAGAAATCCTGAAGGCAATGGATACCTTGACGTACGATGTGCTGGGCGAGTGGCGCAAGACCTGCCCGGACTCAGGGGCGTACATGTCCGAGGCGGATATCCAGGAGCCGGATTTCCAGCAGGCATTCTACGGGAATTTCTACGCGAGGCTGTATGCCCTCAAGCAGCGGTGGGATCCCGCGGGTCTGTTCTATGCGCCCACAGCTGTGGGCAGTGAGGATTGGGAGGTGAGGAGCTTAGATGGGTTACCAGATCAGAATGGGCGGTTGTGTCGGGTTGCATAGGTCTTGACTACTACTATTGATTGTTCGGCGGAGCTTTGTAAGATAAGTAGGGTACAACATCAACTAAAGTAATAGAGTTTTTGGCATTCATGGGCAGTTGTGAGTTCAAGAACATAACTTTCTGGTCTTGTTCTAAATTTTGTTCAGAGTACTGTTAATTATGACTTAGTCCTACAGCTAGGGTTTAGTTGTATTGCAGTTTTATCTTCCGCGTGGAAGTGATCAACCTAACAAACGTATGCAAACAATTTACCTATTTCCCAACTTTTGCGAATCAAAGGCCCGCTGCCAGCCTCTTTTCTTTAATTGCGGGAGTGGGGCTGGTGCATGTTCACAGTTTAGGCAACATATCTGACAAAGGATTAAGGATGTAAAAAAGGCGCCCATCTTTGTGGACCAAACGTGGGACAAGCAACATTATTGGATTGCCAGGTACAGTATCATCTTGAGCGCCTCCTGCAGTGGACACTGGCGCTATTGTTCTGTATAGTATCGCGAAGCTCGGCTTTTGGCCACATCTTAGTAAATCATCAGCAATTCTCAGTTGCGCCAAGGAAGAGGCAGGCTAGCTAACAATACGCGTCAAGTCAACCCAAGCGTTCAACTACTGATAATCAGGGACTCGATATGTACTTTTCTAAGGTACTGTGAAAATAGAATAGATATCCCTAACCTACAAAAAAGGGAGGGTGGTATGTATTGACAACAAAGATAAAGAGACACAGGAGTACATACATGCATTGTGGACCATAGTTTCAGGAGCCACAATCGTGGCCTTGCGTGCAGGAAAGCTGGGAAAGACCGTTGATTCGTAGCAACCAATGTGCAACAGCCGGAGATTACCTTAAGGTTTGGCAGCTGGTGACGTAGTTTCGGAACTAGCCGGCCGCCCGATCAGTTCCACTTCGATGATTCCTATCCCGCCTTGAGATGTTCCCCCCCGCAGAAAATAGGCTTACATTTATAAATTACTCAGTAAGGCTGTCTAAAAAAGGGAAATTGGATTATGCCGGTTTTATTAGGACTTATGATTGACATTCGCCGGGGAGCTTTATATCTTACTGTGTAGAGGAAGCGGTAGATGTAACTAAGGGCAGTGGTAAACAGCTGCCACCGGCCCATATTTACAATTTGAAGGCACCCAGCTATAAGACTAGAGGTGTTACACTTGCATGGCCCTTCCATGGCGTTTTGAATGTGTCTAGATCTTTACAAATATATGGTTCCTCCTCGGCAACACTAACCCAGCGCACTTGAGGGGCAAGCAAAAGCTGAAAGCTAGTATATCTAGATAGTTGGCAGTTCACTGGTATTATTTTATACTAGAGATAAAAATTTTTAAAAATCTATTCTATAGGCTACTTAAATTTAATTTTTTATATATAATACTAAGTTAAGGACCTTTTTTAATAAATAAAATTTTTTTTATATTTATATTAACAACTTTATTCTTTTTTCCAGTAAGTTTAAGAAGTACTTATAATATTTATACTAATCTTTTAATAAATATAAAAAAATATATATTACACTATTACCAGATAAATTATTTCTAGGATTTCTATTTATTAAGATTTTTAACTAAAATATTAATATTTTTAGTATAACAACTACTAATATAAAAGTTGCTGTAATTTTAAAGGTTAACTTTTTAAAAATACTTACTAAGCTTAACTATTTTATTAGTTTAATAAATTAGCTAAAAAACTATATATTTTTTTATACTAAGGTAATATATTTATTATAACAGCAGAAGACCTTACTAGCAAAGATAATTTTAAATAGTCTAAAAAAAAGTATAAAATATAATTAAACTACTAAAGCTTTATTTACTAATCTAATAAATATAAAACTCCAGTTATTCTAAGCAATTAAAAATATTATATAATAAAAGCCAGTTCTAATATACTTTAATAGAATAAAAGTACTTTGTATTAATATTAATATATCTAAAAATAAATACAGAAGTAATATTATTTTATAATATATTTAATAATCTAATAAATCTAAAATATAATAAAAACTAAATACTAGTTGTAAGGGCCCAAACAGCCCTTC